GGAGGGGCTTGGTGGGGAGGGGAGGGTGGGGAGGGAGGGGCTGGGTGGGGAGGGAGGGGCTGGGTGGGGAGGGTGGGGAGGGGCTGGGGAGGGTGGGGAGGGGCTGGGTGGGGAGGGTGGGGCTGGGTGGGGGGTGGGAGGGGTGGGGCTGGGTGGGGAGGGGCTGGTCACCCCGTGGTGCCCTTATAAAACTCAACGTTTAACCTACTCACGCCGGCTTGTGCCCGCCCTCACAGTCGGGTATATTTGCGGATTACACCACGCCGCCGTTGACCCTGGCCATTGACCGAGCAACCCAACGTTCCCCCCAGCTCCCTCCGCAGGAATGTGTTCAATCGCCACTTTTTCTACGGTTTTATGCGGTTAATAGCTGTGGCCGGGAATCATATGTTAACACAAGTTACCAAGTTCATAGCACAAGTACGCTAACCGCACGCACACTACTCGCAAAGCCGCTATCAGCAGCCTCATCACCGTGCCGCCACTCTCCCCTCAAGAGCTGGAACCGATCCATAATTTTCCTGCTGAAATTGTTGTCCATCAAATAATAAACAAGTTACAGTTTGGTATTCATACCTGTAAACCCATACGGTTTGCCCGTATTCTTGTACAGGGAAATTTAGTTTTCAGGTCCATACGACGTACAGCCGTTTCAATACGAGCAATGTTTTAGTCTATGTTTGTGTTTCTCCCTTGTGATGGGAGACTTTGTAGGATGAACATTGAGATTTATTATGGCACGGGAAGACCAATAAGGTCTGTAATAAGATAGGCACTCATAAGGAGTTGACGGGTATGAGTATTTTATTGAAAATTGTAAGTCTGCGGCCAATATATGTTTTAACTCCGCACATTCGTCAACACTGCTGTATAACAGAGACAAACACAAAGGGAGTTACATAGGCTGATGTTTTGGGTAATTCTTCCAAGGTTTTAAGCTTGTGAACCATGCGATAGCTTCGGGGTTGTAGAATGCGGTTATTCGGGATATGGTCCATTGCTTGGTTTGGGGAGTGGCAGTCACTGTGGGTCATCTTTAAAAAAAAAATCCACTTTGAAGAAGTGCACCTTCTTCAGGGAAGGAATCCGTGGCTTTGAGCATTAGGGGTGCACGCCACCGTGATTCCACTCATCCACTGAGGTGGTGAGATGTTAACAACCTCCCCTGGTATACAGAAGTTCGTCGGTTCGATCCTGACCCTGACGCCTGCACATTTGAAGTTTGCGTATCTTTATCCCCCAGGTCAAGTGAATTTTTCTCCAGGTCTTCCGGGTTTTCCCCCACATGTAGAAACATGCTTTTAGAGTATTTGCCTGCTATAATTGACATATAAACCACTTCGTTGAGCTATGAGTGTCCAGGTCGCTTCTGAAAAGGGGCTATATTAACATACCTGTCAACCCCTTATCAGTGCCTACCTTATTACACACCAATTCAGACCTTATTGGTCACCCCGTGCCCCTTATAAATCTCAAATGTTCATCCTACGAAGTCCCATCACAAGGGAGACACGCAAAGAAGGACAAAAATGCCCGTATTGAAACGGCTGTACGCCGTATGGACCGTATGGGTCGACAGGTATGTATGTCTCTACAACTATTACTCGCTTAGTTTCAGATTCACCCGTTCACTAAGGTGCGAGGCTGCAAATAGCATCGTGCAATCTTTTATTTGTCCGCAACAAAAAAAAACCAGACGGAAACTGCCCGCAGGAGCCTGGATTCGAACCGGCGAAAAATCAGACTCGGAGGAAACCCAAAGGCAGAGAATCAAACACTGTGGTGAAATAAACGGACCACACTATCTGAAGTATCCATGACAAACACGATACAAAACCCATTCAACAACACCACAGGAAATAATTGAAGTGCAATCTAAACTTTGGAGTGGCTGTAACAAACTTGTGCATTATAATGGTTTCCTGCTAAATCCCATATACAGTGAGGGAAAAAAGTATTTGATCCCCTGCTGATTTTGTACGTTTGCCCACTGACAAAGAAATGATCAGTCTATAATTTTAATGGTAGGTTTATTTGAAAAGTGAGAGACAGAATAACAACACAATCCAGGAAAAACGTAGGTCAAAAATGTTATAAATTGATTTGCATTTTAATGAGGGAAATAAGTATTTGACCCCCTCTCAATCGGAAAGATTTCTGGCTTCCAGGTGTCTTTTATACAGGTAACGAGCTGAGATTAGGAGCCCACTCTTAAAGGGAGTGCTCCTAATCTCAGCTTGTTACATGTATAAAAGACACCTGTCCACAGAAGCAATCAGATTCCAAACTCTCCACCATGGCCAAGACCAAAGAGCTCTCCAAGGATGTCAGAGATAAGATTGTAGACCTACACAAGGCTGGAATGGGCTACAAGACCATTGTCAAGCAACTTGGTGAGAAGGTGACAACAGTTGGTGCGATTATTCGCAAAAGGAAGAAACACAAAAGAACTGTCAATCTCCCTCAGCCTGGGGCTCCATGCAAGATCTCACCTCGTGGAGTTGCAATGATCATGAGAACGGTGAGGAATCAGCCCAGAACTACACGGGAGGATCTTGTCAATGATCTCAAGGCAGCTGGGACCATAGTCACCAAGAAAACAATTGGCAACACACTACGCCGTGAAGGACTGCAATCCTGCAGCGCCCGCAAGGTCCCCCTTCTCAAGAAAGCACATATACATGCCCGTCTGAAGTTTGCCAATGAACATCTGAATGATTCAGAGGACAACTGCGTGAAAGTGTTGTGGTCAGATCAGACGAAAATGGAGCTTTTTGGCATCAACTCAACTCGCCGTGTTTGGAGGAGGAATGCTGCCTATGACCCCAAGAACACCATCCCCACCGTCAAACATGGAGGTGGAAACATTATGCTTTGGGGGTGTTTTTCTAAGGGGACAGGACAACTTCACCACATCAAAGGGATGGACGGGGCCATGTACCGTCAAATCTTGCGTGAGATCCTCCTTCCCTCAGCCAGGGCATTGAAAATGGGTCGTGGATGGGTTTTCCAGCATGACAATGACCCAAAACACACGGCCAAGGCAACAAAGGAGTGGCTCAAGAAGAAGCACATTAAGGTCCTGGAGTGGCCTAGACAGTCTCCAGACCTTAATCCCATAGAAAATCTGTGGAGGGAGCTGAAGGTTCGAGTTACAAAACGTCAGCCTCGAAACCTTAATGACTTGGAGAAGATCTGCAAAGAGGAGTGGGACAAAATCCCTCCTGAGATGTGTGCAAACCTGGTGGCCAACTACAAGAAACGTCTGACCTCTGTGATTGCCAACAAGGGTTTTGCCACCAAGTACTAAGTCATGTTTTGCAGAGAGGTCAAATACTTATTTCCCTCATTAAAATGCAAATCAATTTATAACATTTTTGACATGCGTTTTTTTGTTATTTTTTTGTTATTCTGTCTCTCACTATTCAAATAAACCTACCATTAAAATTATAGACTGATCATTTCTTTGTCAGTGGGCAAACGTACAAAATCAGCAGGGGATCAAATACTTTTTTCCCCTCACTGTAAGTCACATCTGAATGACATTGCCATTAATAGTCTGAAGCCCACATGAGTCCGAGTATAAATCCAATACTGTTTAGTGAGAATCCCACTTACCAAAAGCAACTCTTCATTATGCCAAATACCAGGCATGCAATTAGTACAATTCAAAGCCATGATTGAATTAACACATCAAAAAGTCTCCTTTTCCATCTCAATTGTAGTTTCTCACTTTTCATGCCACATTTGCAGTTATGTTAACGCTATTTGCTTAAATACATTGTATTTTTGCATTCACATTTCATTTTACACACAATTAGATGCATTTATGGTGAGGATCATAATCTAATTTAAATCGATGAATCATTGTATCATGACACGTCTACTCAATAGCATATACGCATTTGTAGTAACTCCGATATTTTATTGGCTCGTACATTGTTATTTTCCCATTGCAGCGCCAACATCAAACTGGAGCTCCACACAGCCACAGGGCAGCATGAGGCAAAGGAGCAGCAAGTCACGCTGACCTGGGTTGCACACCAGGGACGTGCAGAGCGGTGAGGCAGAGCCTCACCTGTCATACTCCAATAATAGTTGTTACGAAAAGTAAAAATAATTTAAAAAAACAAATATTAAGATTTTTTCCACTGATCTGTTATAAATGTCATTTCTGTACGATTCCAATAATTTATATAGTCAAAATCGCCAAATTTGTGGAGCTCCGCTGCAAATACAGGAAGAGACGAGAGGTGAGGCAGCGACGTGCTCAGCCTCCCCTCTGATTGCGCAACCCCTCAGTAACTGGATGGAGCACGGGCAATAAGCGCGTGCCTGTTACGATCTCAGAATGTCACCAATGTAATGTTTGTAGACCCCTTCATTTCATGTCCTCGCCTTCTATACTCCAACTTATTTTTCACGTATGTGTATAAAGATATTTTGGCTCGCTGGTCTCGTCATGAAACTGCAATGAAAAAGCACCAGGGGAGGCAGCCATCAACATCTGCCTCACAGAGGGGAACGTGTCTAACACGCCCCCCTCAGTGAGGACACGCCCCCCTCAGTGTGTGAATCTGGCTCTGACACTAGCCAGTGCCTCCCCAGCCATTAACCTCACCGTACGTGACTGTTGCACACATGGGGTTGTACATGACGTCAAGGGTGCAACAAAGAATGTGTGCAGCAGGCGTTTAACTGAGAATGTACAAGTGCAGGGTGAAGTCAAAACGGGCTAGGTACCTCCATATTCTCCGGAATTAAAAAAAAATATCCCTCCGGCAAGTAAGATGCATCCCAAATTTGTGCCCGGTGTTAACAAAGTTATGCAAGTTTGACCACACGGACCTACCGGGTATAAGACGCAACTTTTGTTTTAAATTACAGGGGAAATTTGCTCAATCCTCCGGAAAATACGGTAAATGTCGTCCAGCCCACAAGGCATGCAAAACCACCACTGAACATATACACCATCAGAAAAGCATTTCTAACAGTTTCCATATATTTTAGTTTGCTCTTTTTTTAATAAAAATAGCAATATTCAAACATGTTGCAGCTACAGAGGCAGAGCACATATTTGAATTCCAATTCAAATCCCCACACAGGCAGCAAAGCTGCGCATCACATGGAATGACCCGAAAGAGTGCGACCATTGACCTCCACATGGCAACCTTCAATTGTCTTACACAAACACTACAATGTCCATTCTTTGGCTGTGCAAACAACATTTTTTCCCCCGTGCCTATCTACTGAATAAGCTTATAAGAGCTGGGCTGAGTAAATTAAGTGCAAAACAAATGTTTACATTATAATTCGTGACCAGACCGAGCCAATCAAACTCTCCACACAAGAAATCGTGGCTGACAGCCAGAGATTTAAATCGGCATCAGAGAACCCTGGGCCACTCCGATGCAACATCGTGAAATTAATCATTAATTTAACGAAGTGCCAGAGTTAATTAACTATTCAACACCCCTTCTTGGTAAATCATAATTACGCAGGGAGAAGTTATTCATATTTAGCAATTTAGTTGTATATCATTTTAAGATGACATTTGGATGACAATGGTGGCACACACTTTGCTATTCTTACAAATCATGCCACGAAGTATTTAATGTCCACACTTCAGTACAGTTGGCTTTGAAAATGCCAATGTCCCATAGAAGTTACTTGGCGGTTATAGCGGGAAATTTAGTGTAAATTCAATTGCAAACCAGTTCAGTGGTGTGGTGAGTGTGCTGACCCAGAGACTACCAAGGCCCTTTGTCAGTCACATCAAGGCCTCCATAAGACAGGTTTTTTTGGGGGGTTAGACCGCGTAAATATATAAATCTGTCGTTAAACCCGCCTCCATTTGCCAATCAGGCGATGTGCCACAATTATGTTCTTGTACGGCACACAATTACAACAGATTCAGAAGGGGTTTTTATCTGATTGGGGTAAGGAAGACAAGTAACCCGCAAATATAGCATATATACACAAAATTAATGCGATAAACACACGTGGAGTTGGGGTTGCATCACAATTAAGGACGGTTTAGAGCATTCAATGATATGCATAAGAGAAGAGACAGGTATTCAGTCTAGATTTAAACGAGGGGAAAAATTGGAGAGGTGGAGCAGCAAATAAACAAATGGGAAAATAGGCAGTGAAGTATGGTATTTACTGCACTGGAAGCAATAATAGGGTAGATATGTGCTATTCAATCTGACACAAATCGAGTACGATTTGTCTAAATATTACGGCAGCTAAGTTACGCGATTGCAGTTTCCTAAACAGGAAATTCTAGGCAGAGGTACGCCTTCATCAACAGCGAACAAGTTCAGTGATGAGAAAAAATAAAATACAATTTCAAATCCACCACAGCATCAATTCCAGGAATTAAGACATTTTGTACAGAACGAGCCACCCCTGAAAATGAGATTAACTATTACAGTAAACATACACTGAATTCTTAAGCTATGCCAGGAGACACTGTGCGAAGCTTACTTCCAGGCTCGCCAGGCCTTTTACAATTTAGCTGAGAGTAAATTTTTGAAATGTGATGCTAATATAAGTCTATCATATACCTTCAAATAACCTAACAAAATCTTCATAGTCCATCTTACAGCAGAACGTTGCTTTAAAATTTCATAATGACCAGGTGGCTTTAGTGGGAATTGAACTCAAGTTTACTGAGTCAACGGCAAGCATGCTAACTGCTCGGTTATCCAGCAGCATATATAACCATTCACATCGCCCTCTGCTGGAATAAAGGCTGATATATCAGCACCGAATCTTGATTTTTATTTTGTAGAACAATCACTTGGAGAAGGGGTGGGGAAACCTAATTTCACACGGCCCATGACCACGAGGCCCCAGAACTTTGAAATGGCCACAAGGTATTTATCCGATGCTGCACGCATCTCTAATGAAATTAATCTAGTCACTAGAATGGAAGATTTTCAACCTTATTTTAGTAAATTCGGTCACTTCTACCACTACAAAGCTCTCTTTATTCCAGGTCGACACGCAAGTTATATTTTCGCATTATCAAATGCCACGAAAACGTGTGTGGTACTGCGTGGCCCACCAAAGGCAACCTTAAGGTCCGACTCGGCCCTCGGTAAGGAGAAAAATGACCCCTGATTTATATCCTTAGCCGCAGTTCAGCACAGCCAAACGGCGTGGGCGTGCCGACACACGGGTTGCGGCGATCCTTGGGGACGGGCGAGTTGGCGAGGAGCGACTGTTTTGTCAGCAGCAGCGCCGCGCCGGTTGACCCGCTCCACGCAGCTGGAAACCGGGCCGATCCGACGAGTCCTGGCTGCCAGGAGGCACGCGCTCGCCTACACACGCGCAGGTACGGGTACGCACAACGGTGGACAGACGTGGCACGTAAAAAGGGAACGCGTTAATATGACAAAGACACACGAGGAATGTTGAACTTGTGCAAATAGGGCCATGTGGATGCGTACAGGTGATGCATGTGATACACACGTAAGGGCCACACAATACACAGGGGACACGCGCACAGCGGACCGACACACATGCATAAATGTGAACATAAACACACTTAAATCTGACACACGAGGCACACAAATTATACATGTGACACAAGGGGGACACACACGGAAGGAACACACACATACCGATATATATAGAGACGTGTGTGGGATGGTGCTACAAGACAACACCAGTGGTCGCACATGTAGACGGTATGACATCATAATACGTCCGTACACCTTACAGGGTGGTGTTAAGACATCATGTGGCCCGTCAGGACATGTAGTTTAAGTACATGGCTCGCTTGAAAATTGTTGGGAACGCCCTGGTGTAGTGCATGGGGTGGCGGTAGCGTTGCACGCACTGATGCGAGCAAAGATCTCGCAGATGTTGATGGCCGACTTGGCGCTCGTCTCGATGAAGATGGCGTCGATGGAGTCGGCGTAGTCTCGCGCATCCTGAACGGACACCTCCCTGCGCACCCACGCAAGCACCATCACCACAACTGCACCATAATAACACCAACACCATCACCACAGCATATACAGGGTATCAGAAAAAGCCAGGAAGCATTGTAATTTTATGAGACTCTGCGATCCCCGTTTGTGAATTTCTGCACGAGACATTCCCACACGGGTGGAGGAATGGATGGAGAGTTCCCTCCGAATAACCACTCAAGATCACTGGACCTTACACCTCTCGACTTTTGTCTGTGGGGGCATTAGAAGTCTGTCATTTTCAACAACCGACCCAGACACATCAAAGAACCAAAGGTAAAATACGAGCCAAGTGTGCCAAGATGTGCATGGAAGAATATCTTCACTCAGTGTCACCATGCTAATCAACCTGCATTTAAAGTTATAAGTTATTCAAACATAGCTATGTACTAGAGAATGTGGACATGATGAGGAATGTTCAAGGCAGCATGGTACAGCATGCTGTGGATATGATGTACAGCATAACAGCATTGTGTCATTGTATGGTGTAGCTATCATAGCCCAACGTTCTGTGGTTGGCATATAGAGAGTGTGATAGCAGTAGCCTGGGGTAGTGTGGTGTGGCTAGTACAGTACGGCGTGACAATCTGCGAATACCTCATGTCATCCAGGTCACACTTGTTGCCTGCGATGGCGACGATGATGTCCTGGGGCCCGTGCTGGCGAAGTTCCCGCACCCATGACTTTAGCATCTGGAACGACTCCTGGCACCCAGAGTCACAAGGACATGCAGTTACAGGGACACAAGGACATGCTGTTACAGGAACACAAGGACGTCCTGTTGCAAGAAGACAGAGGTAGAGACAGAGACGCAAAGCCACAAGTATGCAAAGACACGGAATTGGATGACAAATCTGGATTGGGCAGACAGTAGAGTGAAAGGGAACGGCTTTGCCCAAGCAGGTGAATGAGGGAAAATTCTTTGGGAAAAGACCGCAAGAAATAAAAAGAATGGCTACACGAGACAATTCTCAACAAGATGAGGACAAAGAGAGCAGCTGAAAGCAGAGTGAAGGAAATTGTGCCTCGGGCCTGTCTATAGACAGAGCACTTCATGATAAGGATTGATTTAGTCAACAAAAATAATTCCCAGAACAATGTCACATGCAGTTCGGGCTGTTATTATGTTCTTGTTATCAGCAATTTTCACACTGTTATAGGGCAGCAGTGTAAAATTACTCCTTTGAAGCAATTGTGGCCGGAAAGTAACCCGGAAGAGAGTCCTGACTTCCTGTAAATTCAGCAGTGGCGGCGGATGCCCTCACCTCCTTGGTGATGTCATAGACGATCACTGCAGCGGCTGACCCCCGGTAGTACATGGGTGCCAGCGAGCGGAACTATGGGGCACAACGCGGCACCAAAACACGCAAGTATGAGCACAACAATGACAATAACGATTTACGTCGATACAGTGATTTACACAGTAGGGCTACGTCGTGGTAAGCAGTGAGAAGTGCAACACGATCAAACATGCTTCTGTGCTCCACATGCGTATGCTCCCTGCTCCCACCACCAACAGAATCAGAAGTTAATTTCGCGAGTAAATACCGTTGAGCTATACAAGTCTCTTGCAAGGGCGACTTGGCCATCAGTCGCCAAAAACCCACAATGACCAGCTTGGTGAAGCATGGTCAAGTAACCCTCACGACTCGCACGTCGCGGGGAGGCCCTCGTTCAGCGCCAGATTGACAGAAGTTGTTGTACGTGTGTAACGGTGTTATTGGGCCAAGATGCGCCGTTATCATGCGGTAGCCGGCAATACTGGCCCCATGCCAATAGGGGGCAACAGAGGGACTGAGCCCAGTGCTGAGAGTCTATGCGCCATAGGGTCCAACGGTCACCCTATGGACCAGTATGTCAAAGGGGCAGACCCCAGACCCCAGGAGGTGGGCTGGGGGATGACATCATCTCCGGATCCTTCTCGAAGGTTCGAGAAGGAAGGTGTGGCCAGGGCGGAGCGAGCCACAGCTCTGTATAAAACCCGGACCTCTGAACAGTCCCAGCAGTCGTCGTCCAGCTGAAGACAAGAAGCCTCCTGAAGACTGAAGAGCCCTAAGGGCAGAGCCGTACCCCTGGCAAGGGTCGGCTCCAGCTTATATACCAGTGAAGATTCAAGCTTCACTCACGGAGGAATTGTAGATTAGCCAGTGAGAGGTGTGGTAGTCTGGAGAGTAACCTCCATAGTTTATCGGGTGTGAGGGGCCGTTACCTCTCTGTGTTAGGTGCTAATTGTTCAATAAAAACTGTGTTGCCTCAAAGAAGCCTTCTTATACTTATTCAACCCACTACACATGTGTAGTGACATATAATGGGTCACTACGGCGCCTAGCGCCATCTACCGACAGAGAGAGGAATTGCGTGTGTAGTAGCCCTCTGCCAGCAGAGTACACGTTCTGGGGGCTGGCAGAGTAGGAGGAATTTGAGGATGTAGTAGTTCGATTGGCTGGCAAGGGCATGTGATACGACAGGGTAAGGATGTGGGCCAAAAGTGATAGAAGGGACACGTGGTGTATGGCCCAGAATGTTCTGGGAAGTTCCAGAAGGGGGTGTGGCCGAGGGTGGAGCCAGGTCACGCTGGGGGGCAGAAAAGGGAGGTCTCGAGGTCCAATCAGGGCTGTCTGCTGGAATGGAACCCGCCGTGCTACATCTTCTTCTCGGTTATGTAGTTACCCCGTTGTGGTGACTGGTTATGTAGTTACCCCGTTGTGGTGACTGGTTATGTAGTTACCCCGTTGTGGTGACTGGTTATGTAGTTACCCCGTTGTGGTCGTAGATAAACGTGTAGCCTCCTGAATTTCTGTGTCCCTCAAGTGAACCCACTACACGTGTACGCAGCGTCGTTATGCATTCACATTTCAAGACAGTTATAAGTGGGGTGGGGGTGACAGGGCAGGGAGAGAGACACTGTAGCAGAATCACTGGAATGAAACAACCAGGACCCAGGACCAACAACACTGAGCCCAGGGCAGCCAGGGCAGCCAGGGCAGCTAGGGCAACACCAACAAGTCCCAAGGGGTCCTAGGGGGCGGCTGAAGCATGCGTCCCATGTAGTGATGTAAACATGTGCTCATGTACGTGCTTTTGTGTATTTGGAGTGGTGGTGTAGTGATATGACTGCACTAAAAACTCAGCTTCCAGGGGTTCAATTCCCAGCGACTACTAACTTTATTGGCAAGTGGCGCCTAAAACCAGTTCACCCTCAATTAGGTTGATTCAGTCTGAAATAAATACTTGGTGCAATGTGCATACATCATCAGTGAGGCTCGGTTTTGGCCCCACGGCCCTCTCTCATGCACTCTACCAGCCTTAACAGGTGCTCGCTAAAAGCCCCTGTCCCAACGTTCTGCTTGTTATACATTGGATTGATATATGCGAGTGGGTATACTAACACGCTCCTGCCCAGCTGTGTCCCAGATGAGATACTTGTGAACCTCGTTCCCTTGGGGCATCGTCTTGGTCATGAAGGATGCCCTGGAGGCAGAGAAACCACAAATGGGTAATATTAATCCTTTCAGTGACAATGTCACAAGTTTCAGGCCATGGCATAATTCATCCAAGGCTTCATCTTAAAAACTCCCAAGGTGTTGGGCCTGGCCGGTGGCTTGGAGGTAATTAGGCTCCCTCTGCAGATATTCTGGGTGAAATTTTTGGGATTCAATAGCCCGTGATGAAACCAGGTGCTGAAGTAGCGAGTTGATTAGTCTCAACTGGGGCACGAATTGTTGCATAGAAAATTAAAACATTTTAACCTGACTGCCTTAACTTCTAGTTAGTAAAAACAAACTGTTTGGGTGTGATGCTGACATACAGCATATGGCAAAGCACCCCCCCTACCGTGAAAAGGGTAAAGGCCACCTGAAGGATTATTGCATGAGAAGTCTGTTATGCGGCCCTTCTCTGATACATGCGCTATCCTGCACTATGATATTTTCAATTGGATTCTCTTAACCTCATTGAATGATATCAACAGCACAGGTGAAATACATTTGGGAAAAATATATATAATTACACAAAATTTCCAAAAAAATACATTAGGCTCCTAATTTTCATACAGTATACAACTGTTTGTCGTATGAGCTGCTGTTCTATTAATAATAGCCAAATAATGTATTTATTCAAGAAAGTACTTTTTGCAAACCGGAAACACACTGCACACGCGAGGAAATATTCCGTCTGGAAACACGTTTCCTCTTCCATATGCCGGCCTCTACGTTCCACGAAACTCCACGCACGTCCAATTAAGAGCCAGGAAAGCAGAAGAACACAACTCAACCAACGGGCAGGGAGATGGGGAAAGGGAGACAGGGGAAGGGAGGACGTGGCGGGGGTTGGCGGGCGGAGGCTGTGGAAGCATTGAGTCATGGAGCCAGCCACGACGCACCCGATGGTTGGGTTGATGTTGGGATCAAAGTTGTCCTGAACGAAGCGGCACACGATGCTCGACTTGCCCACCCCGGTATCCTGGATCACGTGGCACAACAAAAACGGCAACCACCATCGACAACAACGGTTTAAGCTGCTAGCCTGGGTAAGAAGAGAGCGTTCCATTTGAATGTCGAGTATAATTATGGCCACGCATCCACATGCTCAAAGGCACATACTTGCCTACTTAAACATGTCATCTTATACGGGGCCGTCCATAAATGACGTCACGCGATTTTGGACGATTTTTGACCCCCCTCCCCTCGTCACACGGCGTCACAAAAAGTCAGACCCCCCCCTCCCTCAAATATGACGTCACAAAGCTCTTCCCCCCCCCCCAAAAAATATTTCCATGTTGAAAATAAAACATGCTTTAAATCGCTTTAAACAATTGTCATTGTAGTGCGTATTTAATGTGGCGCTGCACTCTGTGTTGAAAATAAAACATGCTTTAAATCGCTTTAAACAATTGTCATTGTAGTGCGTATTTAATGTGGCGCTGCACTCTGATGTTGTAGGAGTGTTGTTATAACAATTATTGTTGTTATAACAATTCAATATTTATTTAAAGTTGCGCATTTTGATGTGACGTCACATTTCTAAAATCCCCCCCCCCTCGTCACACATCGTCACGAATGTCTGCCCCCAACCCAAGGTGCGTGACGTCATTTATGGACGGCCCCTAATTGCGCTTGTCCATATAACCACTTATCCACAATCATACACAAACCCACTCCAACTCCCCACCGACACATAACGCACATTATTTACCACGCTCGCCCATATACACACATTCACCAATATGACCACATGTAAAAGTATATTCACACACTGATAAAAAAATCACACTATCCCACAATCACATTTACCACATAAAGGGCCCACAAGCTCACTCTCATCCACGTCTACAGACTACTAGCCACACATACTATAAACTAGCCACACAAGGATCCACATAACCACTTAAATAAACGACAACTTCAATTCGTCATTAAGTGGCGATGACGTGAACACGGCGTTTGTGCCAGGCTAGGTACACCTTGGGGCCACGTGAAGTGAGGAAGGCTCGCTGACAGGCCACGGGACAGGCCCAGGTGTTATTGTTTGATTGACTGAGATGATTACAGACTCGTATACAAAACCAGACACTAGAACCACTCCCGGATCGCCTTTATCTTCCCAATGTGTATCATTACAAACTGCACCAGGTACTAATTTAAGGCCGAGTCGAGCTAGCGGAGGCCCAGCACCGATCAGAGAGCGCTCACCACTGATGCAAGCTGCGGCCTGTAATCAAACCCAGCAAGTCGCTTACCACACTACAAATAAGTAATATTTAAAAACTTTTTTTTAAAAACACGCTTTAATGAAATGTACCGTACTAGTAATGTCAGAACTTCACGACTCCAGGAAGTGGCCCTAGAAGCTTGCCACAACGTGGTGATTTACAGCCAACGTCTGTTGAGCGTGGACAATTAGACCCAAGCCGAAACATAACACAGAAAAATGTTTACATATATATTTTATGATAGAATATAGTATTGTCATCAGTATGACATAAGTATACCAAGTTTGCAGTCGATACCACATTGGCAAGTGGGTTAAAATTGAGTTACAAGATTTGAGGATACAACGACAACAGACACAGAGTTAAATAAAAGCGTGTAAATAAATTGGGACATCTAAACGCACACATCACAAAAACAATTCGCGACACCACAAAACCGCACACACCCACAACCACACACACAAAGATAAAGATCCCCCTGTGGTAGCATACACAAGATTGTTGAAGCAAGGGCTGTGAGCGAGCACCTAAGAATGCCGAAATAGCGCACAACCCACAACCCACACACACACACCACCAATACAATCGCACACAAATAACCATACTTTCATCAATATTTTGAATCCTCCTTCAACTCTCACACTCAACCACGCACTGCGTCTACGACAACAAATCACTCGCATGACCACCACGAGCATATGACCCACACACGCACAAAGATAAAGATCCCTCCACCCCGTGTTGCTTTTTAACGGGCCGTCGTGGACAAGTGCTGTTCGACTCGCCTATGAAGACCGCCGCACTTGACCACTCACCCCGAGCAGGTTAAACTTTTAACCCTCACCTACAAGCACCGATACAGCCACGCACGCGACTTACAAACCAAATATACCCCTTCGTGCAGCCTTTAACGGGCTGCTGGAGCAAGTGCTGTTGGCGATCACCTATGAAAGGCCGGCACGGCAGACGACAGAGGTGGGTTGGCCTGCACCACGCCCAGTCGGCGTTGTTGTTGTCTTCAGTGGGGTTGCTGACACAACACCACCACCACCAACACGGAAAACGGGCACTCATTTGAGGTCGATTCAACCTGGCGGGAGGGCCCCAAGAAACCCGTTCTGATATTCGCCCTCACCGGCATTAAAACACTTGAGGTTGAGATCCAACTCGGGTCGCCCGGCTTCGTAGCCCATTGGCGCTCGCCACACTTGCACGACCGCTTCCCGCAACACCACTTACACACACACAGCTATATATACGTTCACCCACGCGCATAACGCACAACAATCACGCTTCAACAAACGCGGCCCGCTGCATCCGCCACTCACCCCGAGCAGGCAAACCTTGAGCTCCCTAAGCGCCATGGAGGAGCCGCATACAGAACTCGCGTTCTCTTCCTCACCACAGTCTTCCTCCTAACCGCCCACCGCCGCCGCTTTTAAAAAAAAAAATCGATAATAAACACAGATAAATAAACGCACACTTCAACGCTCGCGACGCCAATTCGAGGCGATCATCGCGGAGCCTTCACGGAAGGAGCCCCGCGGCCCGGCACGACTCTGCTGCGCGCGACGAAGAGGCACTTTACTGTACGGGACTGTACGGGAAGTCAGCGGCCCTCCCACAGTGCAGCGCGCGCACGCACGCGTCAATCGTCCGATGCCAATTTGATTGATTTGAGAACAATAAGGAATTTGCGGTAACGTGGAACCGCTTTGTCAATGAATGGCAACTGCTGGATAAAGGGCGCTCTCTCTCTTCCACGCCGCGCTGGTCATGGATGTGATTGTTGTTGTGCGAGTTGTGTTGAACGGTGAGGTTCAGTCGTACTCTTTGGTTCTATTCGGTAAAGTCACGTTTTATTTTTTTTACCTACGTGACTTTACCGAATAGAACCAAAGAGTATGGATCCTTGCAGTCACGAAAGCTTCAAATCTAGAAAGGTTCAGTCGTCTCTCCGCAGCTGATGTTTAGCCATGGCCGAGAATCGAGCTCAGGAGTAGCCTACATTGGTTCATAGCGCAGTGTGCTAACCACACAACACCGCCGCTCCCCTCGCTGTGTAACTTTGTTCGTGGAACGAGATCGTGACCTTCGGGGTCAGTGTCTGTGCGTGATGCTCAATGAGCAGGATTAAGGCACCATCACAGGGCTCAACGTCCAAGGCTCATCGAACCAGACTATTGTACCATTAGCGTTTATTCTGTGCTTGAGAATGTTTTTTTTACCTGGGGCTCAGCCAGATGAAAGCACTCTCGAGTGTTCATTGTTTGTATCTTAGACTTGAGCCAAAAGCGCAGCGAGGATTCAGGATATGTATCTGCGGCTCATACAAAATATGGCACCATTACTGTTCAACGTGATTTACGCCTCAACCCATGAAACCAGACAAACGCATTAAAGGGATTTTTAGAGTTCAGCGGAAATGCCTGAGTCTGGGCATAAAATGTGAATTAAGTTGCCCCGACACAAACGTTGGGCTGAAAACAACACGTGGTTCCAGCAGTAGCGCGCGTCACGGCAACGGAATGAAGCTGTTGACGGTAGCGGTTTAGAAAAATGGATGGAAGAGGTCCGCGGGTGTAGATCCGACACCAAAAAAGTTGGGGTGCTTTGACATTTCTGGTATTGTTTAGTCTCCCTCTGCTGAGTAATCGTTTAACTGCTGACGGGAAACATTTACCAAGAAAAAAAAAGCCGAGGCATTACCGTCAATATGAAATAACAATGAATCGTTACGTTGTGGGAGGCGTTGGGACAGAAAAAAACAATGAGCAGAAAAAAGCAAATGTTATTGAAAACGGTTTTATTGTTATTCATATTACAGCTACCTTTACAGCTCAGAAACACACGCAAGGCCAAAGGGCACCGTCCTCGTGAACTAAACTTTACATCAACTCAACAAACATATTAATCATTTATATTTTAATAACATGTATTTATGTACATAAAACTCAACTCCCCTATAAAGCGACGGGGGAACAAGAATCAAATTGATGTCATGAATATTGGCTCTGGGAGCTCGCGTTTCAGCCACAATGTGGTGACTAGAGGGGAAACTTTTGGCGTTATTCAAAGTGAAAATACATGGGGGGGGACTTTGTAGCAAAACATTTGAAGTGACATTTAAAATGCGAGACAGTCATATTTTTCGCAATTTTAGTTTATAATAGATCCAATAAAACCGAACTATTAAGGTGTATGACCTCTAAGTTGTTAAAGTAAACTGTCTTTATTCCAATTCGGAGAGTTTGCATGCATTCACCAGTGCAAACAAGTCAAAACTAAATATTTGCTTTTAACTGGGATGTAATTTCATGACCGTTTCATCAGGTTTTTTTGTACTGCAGACGAGTGATTTTTTTGGCATTTTAACTATGCCAACTCAATACTGTAATGCCCAAATATCCCTATAACATTTGCATTACTTAAGCAAAAACTTAACTTGAACAGCCAAAATAATTCCTTTAAAAAATTGATGTATTTTACCAGATGGGAGACCATGAAGACTGTATATCATATGAAACGGGTAAATATAACTACATATATTGAGTTGCATTTTTTGTATATGTTCAAAAATGGGTTTCTGGCGATTTTCACTTTTAGATTATATGGGAATAAACCAAAAAACGATGCCAGATAATGTCCTTTTAAAAAAGCCCACCTTACAGCTCGTCCTTACACTTTCCTGCATCTCTTATTTCACGTTTACCAATCACCCTGAAAACATCACTTTGCCTGGCTTACACTCAAATGCCAAAGCTTGGTAAAAGAGAGAAAGGGCGAGAAGCTCAAAAATGCAGCGTGAAAGGACGTCTTCTCTACCCATGGTTCAAATTATAACTTTCCAACCGAGAAAACGTAGATGAAATGTTTTTTTAATATATAAAACGTGAACATAACACACACGAGCCTGAAAAAAGCGTGTAACTCGATCTAAAATAAATAACCAACAACCCTAATGGTTATGAATGACTTTTAAAATGCAATGTCTAACAGGTTAAGATATATTTTTTATAAAGCCCGATTGCGGGAATGATGTTCGACTAATATTCCTCTCAGGAGTATGGTCCTGTATCATATTTTGTTGAACTTCTTTATCACCGTACATAGCCCACCGTACTAATCGCAGGTGCGGGGGAAGGACAACTAAACACAAAAAGCAGTTCTAGAGAAAGGAGTCATCAACCGAACACCATGTCAAAACCAAAAAACATAAACTTGCACAAAAAAGTGGTCCAATTGAACAAGGTCTGTGAAATCTGAAACCACATTAAACATATGTTATTGGTACTGTATAAGCAATGGATGCCTTGGAGTTAAGGCTTGCCAACATCCAAAACCTTAGTACATAGGGATGGACTTGTAAACGCACCACTGGATTACACATTTCTGCTAAAATCCAATTTCAGAACCATGCTTGTTAACAAATCAGGTTGTTTTCCCCGAATATCTTCATATGTAAATGGATCCAAATTTAGCAAGATCAACAATCAAACCCCACAAGTTTTGTAACGTGCAATCGTTCAATGGGTTTAGATTTCTACACCACTTTTGGGTTTAGACAGTTCTATTCAACCCATTTAAATCCACTCGTCTGCTCGCCCCATGATGCTCATCCAAGGTGATAAACATTTTTGCTCGACCCAACTTCCAATGGTTAATAATCCCCCCAACTTGACCACACCCTACTTACGACTATTTCCGATTCTCACCGGCCATTATTCAGCCAGGTTGGAGCTGATTTTTTATCAACGATTGTCTTTCAAAGGAGACCTGGGAGGCCATAGGCAACTCTAATTTATTTACACTGTCCCGTTTTCATTATCAAATGTAGGACTTTCGATTTAAAGCTTTCGTGACTGCAATGATTCATCTTCTTTGGTTCTTTCGGTAAAGTCACGTAGAATGAGAATAAGATAATAAATTGATAAAATAAAATAACACAATAATATTCTCACGACGTTTCAGCCACAACACAAGCGGCCTTCATCAGGTGAAGGGACGAGACTGTCTGGTAGGACAGCACTCCAGTCTGGTAGGACAGCACTCCAGCGCCAAAACGTCGTGAGAATATTATTGTGTAATTTTATTTTATCAATTTATTATTTTATTCTCATTCTACGTGACTTTACCGAAAGAACCAAAGAAAATGTAGGACTTCTTTAAGACATGGAAAATCTTACATTTAGCAATACTGCAAATTGTATTAAACTGCCTAGTTAGCTTACAGATCTCCCTTGCAAGCGATAATTGACTTTCATATGGTAATATAACAAACTTATTTTATACAAAGGTTTTCATATATAGGGAACATCAAAATGAGTTCCGCATTTCTGGTTATTTTTTAAAATCTATTTCCTCTATGAAACCTGTGGATGTTTTTTTTTAGAATTCCATTTCAGTTTCCTCAATTTATTATGATTATGACCATATGAATAGATGTTTTAAAAAGAAAATGTTAAACCAGTGTTGATGCCACAATTAAAATTTAATAAAAAATGGGAAATAAACATTGCCAGTTGGCCACTATTAGCACATATATTTCTGCAATCAAAATAATCACCAACATTTACTTATTTGTTTAACCAATTATTGTAAATGTGGTCTTAACCAGATTTTAGAAAAGGAAGCCACTCCAGAAATAGTTGGCAATAGTTAATTATTTTAACTTAAAAAAAGACTAGAACATTCAAATAATAACTACTGTGCACTGAAATTTTAATTCAATCAAATCCCTTGAGCTGCACCGAGCAGTGGTGAGATCTCGAAGGAGAATCAAATGGCTGCCACACCTCTTGGCCAGGGAGGGTTATTCAACCCAACAAAACCACCCGATTGGATCAGCTACCTGTACCAATGGCTGAATTCTCTAAGAAACTCCAGTGATGAATGTGGCACCAAAATAAATAACTAAAATATCAATCAACAAATGGTATGAGATTCAAACTCCGCTGCACATTTCTGGGAATTTAGCTCTTCACTACGTTTGTTTGGCTTATACCTACACTTAAAAAAAGCATTAACCCTATCTGCACAAGCACATCCATAAAATTTGCATGTTTTCCCTATCCGTATCGGTAGAACTACCCTTTAAACTATCCTTCATTTAAAAAAATCCCTTTCACAACACTACCTTTGTTATAACTAACCTTATACGTAACATACCTCTAACTGAAATACAAACTTCACCATTTCAGCTAGCCAGCTTTGTTATTCCAGCACCCAATAGAAATATGGTATTTTTTACATTTCTGGCATATTTTTTAGTTATGTTTTTATTCCTTTCTTAATACATATACTTATCAACACAAAATGTACATTTTATGCACTGCATCATTTCTCACAGTCAGGGTACGTAACTTGATTTTATTTTTCCTGGAGGCACATCTAGAGGGCATTTAGTGACGAAAATAATCATTTCTGCAGTATGTGCAGGCAACAGTTCAAAATGCAAAAGCACCAAATCTGGCAGATGTCGTTTGCAACGTAATTTTATTACAGAATAGGAGTCATTAACTAATTCCCAAGGTCATAGTGTGTATAGTGAAGATGTCAGGGTCATAACATAACAGTACTGAAAAACTATACATTAAACTGCATCTGAACTAAACTTGGTGCTTTCATCCCAATTTGAACAATTGTTATTGACCTAAAGAGCTGCACTCATGTGGCCCAAGACAGTGAACATTTTTTATATTAAAAAATCATAAACACAGCATATACACGCACACACACTGTGCGTATACACACATACACCGCATATATAATGCGTGTGTACGTGACATACATGTGCATAATTACACCAGACTGCACGTGTATACATTGTACATGTGTACACCTCTACACTGAGTGCATGTACATGCACTGCGTGGACAGTGTGTATACACGGAGTGCATATTGTACACATGTGCAGGTAAACATGTGTATGTACATATATACACACACAGTGAATTCCCCCCAAACCGTTACAAGTCTCCCATTCTCACCATCAGGTAAGACAAGGCTTGGGAACGAGATTTCAAACTGTGAAAATTACCTGTGGGGGTGAGGAGGCGTGGCCGAGGCAAGCATTAACAGGTGAATAAGTGTACTCATGACCTCCTTGAAAGGGTCAGTGGCAGCACTGAGTGTTGACAAGTATGTGTGTGTATGTAAATATAAAAAAAAGAAACACAAATATGCACACACGTGTGCACACATACAATATCTGCATCTCACTGCAAAGAGACGCTCTGACACTCAGTGCCAAACGACGGAGCGGTAGAAAAGGGACAGCGGCGGTGGTGGCTGTAGCATCCCCACTCCCCCCCCCCCTGTTGCTCCATCCCACCACCTCCTATCCCTCCCCCTCGGTACCACTATGCACGCACATGCGGCAGTCACAGGTTGTGAAAGCGTGGGCCGGGCGTGGCCACGATGTCGCCAAATGGCGCGTCTTGCCGCAAGTCGATGGCCTGCTGCTTCTTGAGCACCAGGAAGCTGTAGAACTTGGCCGTCGCCTGCTTGCGGTTGTTCCGTCGGCACAAATCGAGCAGGCTCACCGAGTCGGCGCCCGTCTTTGCCAGCACCCGCTGCGTGTAGTGGAAGAAGGAGGGGGGGGCAAGCAGGGAGTAAAACCCAACGGCAGCGGTAAGAGACACCAGTTTTATCCCAGTGGAACCAAGATGTAAAAAACAGCGCTGTGGCATTTGTCGAATACAACAAGATGAGGTTATGAAGTGAAATCATGATCATTTTAACACTCCAAATATCCCCCACGTCATCTCTCCATGCATCACGACCCTGGACTAGTGTTGACAAACATTGGTGTGAAATAAGATAGCAAGCATGCTACGATACACACATTCAATCTAATGAAGCTAATGCATAACATATACAATATTTAAGATTTAAAAGACTCAATCACCCTGGTTAATCTTGAATGGGAGCCCAGGGTGAGACAGTCGTTATGAAGTTCAAGAGAAAGACACCCACCCATAAGGCTTAAACCTGGGGTTGCAGCAGAGGCCAAGTGCTCTGTCAGGGCCATTATGAACACTTTGAGAAAGCCATCCAGTTCCAAGGCTTAAATCTCAGTGGTGCTGGCTCAGCGCCATATCAGCCACCCCCCTATACTGTGTGGCCTCCTTGTTGTTACACCTTCAATTAGCACGGTTGGCTAGGTATGGTGCGAAAGAAGTTCAACATACATACGTTACTGCTGCAGGTGCTATGACGCAGGCAGACAACAAAAACAGGTGGGTTATGTGAGTGAAGTGGGGTACCTGTAGCGCATGCAGCATCTGTTGTGTGCGTTTGTTCCATCTCTTCTCCTCCTGGTCCTGGTTCTCATCACCAACCTCCTGTGGACACACGCAGCATGTAAAGTTGTTCCCAAGACATGCAGACACCCCCAGGCGGCGTCAAGTTATAGAACGCCCACGGATAATAAAAAATAAAGGTGCGTTAAAAACACACGGAAGCACCAAGGCTTTTGCGACGTTGCAATGTCCAACCCTAATTGTTAAATGATCTTTGACATAACCAACTACAAAAGATAAGCTGTTTGATTTTGTAATAACCAACAGCCCAAGGTTCGTGCTCTGACATTATGCAGGAAAGACATGTGTTTAAATGCATACGTTTACCAATAAGAACGTTTCTCAGTGACATGAACCTTGCAACCTCGAAAATGTTAAAAGAATATCCAAAAAAGTTTTTTTTGGGTTAGATCACGTAAATATATGTCGTTAAACCCGCCACTACCCGACACAGCCAATTAGTAAGGTTTTTCAACTAAGAACATGCCAATTCGTTACTAGTGTAGTTACGTTGAATGAGTCACTGTAGCGCGTGCCGCTGGGGGATTGGTAGACAATGGAATTAGGGGTAACAGCCCCTTCTAACAGTTGGACCTGTGGGCAAGACACGGAGCCCTCTGGGGAATCCAGAGGGGTGTAGGGACGAGGGCGGAGCCTGGCCACGCTGGGCAGGATAAAAGGCGAGCTCCGACTCAAAGTCGGGGCTGCTGCGAACTCGTCGTGCCGTCGTCGTTGTGATCTTTGCCCTCTTCAAGCTGTGGGTCTGGCAGCATGTTGGCCGTCCCGACTCAGTATGTAGTTATCCCCGGAGGCTGTGAAGGCTGGAATAAACAAGAGTGCCTCCTGCTAGTGTCTGTGAATAGTACACTATATTTGGTGTCAGGAGAGTTAACAAATTTTTGTTTTTATAATTATATATTGTAGGGTTAGGAATTTTATTTTGATTTTCCCTTCAAATCCTTGAGGAGATAGGGTATGTCGAAGTTCTCAAAGAGGAAGGCTCTCATCGGCATGTCCTCGGACGAAGAGGGCGACTGTGATGTGGGTTCTCGGGCAGCTCCGGCAGTTGAGACCCCGACGGGGGGTCCCGGAGTGGCGATCCCAGCGGGAAAGTGGGTGAAGGACGACGATCCCGTGCCGCCGCCGGCTGGAGACGGCACTGGTGGGGCAGCTGGGTAAGGAAGAGCCAGTGGAGGGGGCTGCGAATCGGGGGCAGCGAATGAGCGACTCCACCGTCACTGCCGACCAAGGGCGAGTATCGAGTCCCGCCGAAAGTAATCTGCCGCCGACGGCTCGTCTGGGGGCACCTTCCCTTGCGCAGCAGCTGCCGTTTCCCTAATAATTTTCGGCTGCGGGGGGTGATTGGGTGGCCTTCCGGCGGCGGTTCGCCACCACTTACAAGCTCGCGGGGTGGTCCAATACGGAGGCGCTACGTATTCTTCCTACCGCGCTGGATAACGCAGCCCTGGCGCCGTTTTTTTCCATTCCCGAGGCGGACAGAACGACGTTGTGTCAAGCGCACGCCCAGTTGGCGGCAATTTTTGACCCGCCGTCCAACGCGCGGCGGAAATTCGTGATGCGGAGTCGGGGAGAGACAGAGACACACCTCTTCTTCCTGAGCGCACTACTGTCGCTGGCCCAGGATGCGTACTCAAGGATGGAGCGGGCAGGACTGGATTCTCTGGTGCTAGAAAAACTGTTGGTGCTGGCTCAGAAAATTAACTTTTTTTTCCAGCCACAGAGGAGGACGACATGTCCTCGATTCAGGTAGCCCGATGCATCCAGGCCCACTGTAACCTGCGACGACGTGCCGGGGTAGCGGCCGGGGCTGGATTTCTGGAAGAAGAGGGCGACACAGAGCACCAAGTGTCCTTGGGTCTGTGCGTCGGATGGTTGGAGCCCGCGGGGGAGTCGGAGCGGGACGACAACGGAACCAGCAGGGGGGGGGGACCTTGCGTCCGCCATGGCGGGGCCCTGTTACCTGCTTCAGGTGTGGCCTACCGGGCCACATCTCCAGGGGCACCAGTGATGATTTGGGGCAGTTTTTCCCGGCATCGCCGTCCTCCACCCTGCCGGCCTCCGCCCCTCTGGGTCCAAAGGCAGGTCGCAATACATCACACACCCGGCCGACACAGCCACCTCATGCATGCCCATTGCAGTCGGTGTCGGGTGCACACGCCATCGCCCCTCATTTCGTCGGGGGCGTGGTTTTTCTCCACCCTGGATCTATTGTCAGGGTTTTGGCAGTTGCCCCTGGATGAAAGTTCAAAACCCAAAACCGCGTTCCGGACACCGCAAGGGCTGTTTCAATTTAACATGCTTCTGATGGGGCTTCACTCAGCTCCGGCCACGTTCCAGCGACTTATGGAGTTGGTACTGTCGGGGCTCCAATGGGAGTCATGTCTGATCTAATTGAATGACGTGATTGTCTTTGGCCACACGTTCCAAGAACATCTGCAGCGGTTGCATGCAGTATTTGTTAAAATGCGGCCGGCTGATATGAAATTCAAGCCGCAGAAATGTTACCTCTTGCAAAAATCGGTTCGATACCTGAGGCACATCGTTAGCGAGTCCGGGATCGCCACGGACCCTGACAAGACTATGCGTGCGTAAGTGGCCGACCCCCACGTCGATGGGCGAGGTCCGCAGGTTTGTGGAGTTAGTGTCGTATTACCGCCGCTTCGTGCCCGGGTTTGCGACGATCGCGAAGCCACTCCACGCTCATGGCAAAGGGCCAGAGGTTTCAGTGAGGGACGGAGGAGGGCGCATTTGTTGCGCTGCGCGACGGCCTCGTGAACGCAGCCCCCCCTTCGATACCCCGATTTCTCCTTGCCGTTTATGTTGGATACGGACGCCAGTGATACCGGGATCGGCGCCGTGTTGTCGCAGGTGAAGAGCGGAGTGGAGAGCGTGGTCGCTTGCGGTAGCTGGGTGCTGTACCCTGCAGAGCAGCGCTACTGTGTTACACGCCACGAGTTGTTGGCTATCGTGCACTTTGTACAATACCGCACGTTCATAGTACGCACAGATCACGCGGCTTTGCAATACGTGCTACGCGTTGACCAGCCGTCCGCGCAACTCTCGCGATGGTTGGAAATCTTGCAAGATTATTCATTCCAAGTCACCTATAGGAAAGGGTTGCCCAACTGCAACACGGACGCTCTGTCACGGTTATCGCCGAAGAGCCAGTGCGCATGTTTGATGGGCACCGGCCGTTGTAAGCAGGTAGATGAGGGGGAGCCAGGCGCCGTGGAAGCATCGGTGGATGCTCCGCCACCCGTACTGGGGGTGGCGCGCGATAATACTATTGGTCTTGCACACGAGGAATGGGGGCGCCTCCAAGCGGAGGACGCCTCCTTGCTAAAGTTACAGCACCGTGTTGATGCACTAAGCGATAGGAAGGGTCCAGGGCAGGGGGTGTCCCCCATGGTCCTCCGAGATGGGCTACTTATGCGTTGGGATACGGAGGTTCAGCGGTACTGTATCGTGGTGCAAACTGCTCTGCGGGGTAGAGTAACGAGAGCTGCCCATGTGCAATTGATGCACCTAGGGGTGCAGAAAACTGTCTACGTTGAAGCGGGACTTCTTTTGGCCCGGGATGGCAGAGGACGTTCACAACGTGCTCAAGGGATGTGTAGAATGTGCCGAAGCCCCCCGCGGAGACTGACCCGACCACCGCTGCAGTCCATTGGGGTGTCCCATGTAAATGAGCTTGTTGCCCTCGACATCCTCGGGCCATTTCCTACCACTCCGAGGGGAAATAAATTCTTGCTGGTAGGGGTAGAGTACCTGTTGCGATGGCATGGCCCCAACCGGATCAGTCGGCGGCGTTCATTACGGACACATTCCTGCATGGTTATGTATTGGATAAGGGGGCCACGGAATGTCTCCTTATGGACCAGGGCCAAATTTTTTCTTCAAAATTGTTGCAAGAGGTATGTGTTTTGTTGGGTATGAAGAAAATTCGAACCTCACCCGACCATCCCCAGACTGACGGGATGGTAGAGCGGTTACAACAAGTCAATGAGGCAGTCCGATTGGGACCTACACGTTCCACGATTTCTTGCGGCCTATAGGATGGCCCCTCATGCCGCTACCGGATTCTCCCCCATTTTTTTCATGTACGGGAGAGACTGCGACCCCCCCCCCCTATGGAAGCCCAGTTAAATATTGAGCCAAGCAAAAAGATTGTCGCTATGCCACGACTGAGCCTCACCCCAAAGCGGTTGACGGAAGCACAGGACGCGTCCCGGGGAAATTCAGCCAAACGGCAGGCTGCAAATGAAAAACTGTCTGGACTTAAGGAATTTGGGAAATCGTGGAAACCTGGGGAGAGAGCATGGCTGCATCACCCCCAGGTGCCTGTAGGCACACTTTAATTACATAGGCCATGGCAGGTTAGGAGGTGTGTAAGGGATCCAAGTTGGTCGCAGGCGTTGGTTGGTAGTGCACCCGTCACGACTGAAACCATATTTTCCACCTTATGAGGGAATTTCATCTACACCATCTGATGGCCGGGTGTATGATGTGGCCGACGGGGACGGACGTACGGTTACGGAGGGTGCACCTCTGCGAGACTGTTCCTCCATCCGCACGATCCCAAGGCTTGACGTCCATGGAACCGCCAGCGGTGCCGCCTGCAGGCGGACCAGGGTGGACGGTACAACCGCTACCCGCTTCTTCCTCTCCTCCATCTTCGTCCCGGGGGGGACCGCGCCCGTTGAGCCAGCTGCGAGTCACTCCCTGGGGTCGCTGGGGAACCCGTGCCGGGCCCATACGAGGGACCGGCGACAAGGACCAATTCCAAGACGGTTCGCTTCAGATGATCGCCACTACTCGTCATTGGGTTGCTGTTATTTTGGGGGCTGGATTGTTGCCATGCATTGCGAATGTTGCGTGGATATTGCGGTGGTCGTCATCCCGCGACGCATGGAGGTCAGCCAGGACGGCTGTGTTTTTTTTGGGGGGAGGGGGTGGGAGGTGATGTAGTGACATTGAATGAGTCACTGTCGCACGTGTCGCTGGGGGATTGGTAGACAATGGAAGTAGGGGTAACAGCCCGTTCTACCAGTTGGACCTGTGGGCAAGGCACGGAGCCTTCAGGGGGATCCAGAGGAGTGCGGGGCCGAGGGCGGAGCCTTGCCACACTGGGCAGGATAAAAGGCGAGCTCCGACTCAGTCGGGGCTGCTGCGATCTGAAATGGAACTCGTCGCTCCGTCGTCGTAGTGATCTTCACCCTTTTCAAGCTGTGGGTCTAGCAGCATGTTTGGATGTCCCAACCCGGTATTTAGTTATCCCCTAAGGCTGTGAAGGCCGGAATAAAAGAAAATACCTCCTACTAGTGTCTGTGAAATAACACTACACTAGTACAGCACACCGGTGTATTGGAGAGCAAATCCACAACATTTACAATCGGAGTACAATGTTTTGGCAGTAACTAGAATGAGCATCATCAGGCGTACAGCCAGATTTATGGAGAAATCCTATTTCTTTCCTTACAGGGATATATATGATATCACTTGTGAGTCCTTCACGTGTAAGGGGGGGGATTAATTAATGCATATAAATTACAATGGGTATCCATTGCCGGTTGGGTTATTTCATATGGTAATCAAAATACATTATGCAAGCACAGTGTTCTTATACCGCCTGTCATTTGTGTGCACTAAACCAGCAGTACCTGTTATTGTCTGTGATAGGTTATCCCCATTGACGTATGGTGACCTGTATAGGCATGGATTTCAACAATGTATTATTTGATGATTCGCTTCCAAGCAGCACTAAGCCTGTAGCTATCCGAAAGGTTAAAAAAATATCTATTTCGATAGATTCTCTAATTAGTCTTGGCCAGAGATAACTAGTTTTGCAGAGAACTTCAACCTTTTCAAAATAAATTTAGTGTCCTTATTGGCACGCATGTTCTGCCACTGCCAACAGTTGTATTTGGGAGTATTTAATATTCCTTTGGTGTTCTTGTTGTCTCATGCTGATCATTTTTCCTGTCTGCCCAACATAACATTTGCCACAAGTGCAATTAATCCGGTACACACCTTCTGTTGATAGCTTCGGTAATACATCTTTAGTACCAGTTATCAGTTTATGTATGTTTTTGGACTGTGCCAAATCTGACTCAGATGTTTTGTTTTTCCAAAAGTCTGGCTCGTTTATCACTTACTCCCGCAATGTACGGTATTTTAATAGTTAATGACTTGGTCAGTTTCAACTTTCATGTTATTTGATTGGGTTTTGGCATTCAATGTCCTGATGATTTGTGCATCATTGTAACTGTTCAATTGCAGCGCTACTTTAACATGTTTAATTTCACTTCTATGCAGGCCAAAATGGTCGCGAAAGCCTACGCGTTAAACTGTTAAAAAAAGTTTCTTTTCTTTGATCGAATCATAGCCCCATACCGTGACAATTCATGGAATCGCGAGTGGGGTGATTCATTTAACAGACCTAGCAAACAGTCAAATATATTTACAGCACATATAGATTGAACACAATCGATTCTTGCACATGCAATTCAAATAACATATCACAAGTGTAAAAATCCATTTTAACTTGTGACTTAAACAAATCGTTCCATTCCCTAATAAATCAGAGAATTGCTGTGTCTCTGAGAGAAAGAAGGGGCGCTCTCACCTCCTCCTCCTCCTCCTCTTCTCCCGTCTTTTCCTTGGGTTTCCCGTCGAGAGCCAAGGTAATGTCGGAGATGGAGCTGGGCTGCTCGCTCAGCTGTTCGAGGCTGGTCGGCACTATCGACTGCTCGTCCAGCATCATCAGCTCCAGCGGAGGGGGCTCCAAAGTGGTGTCGGGCTTCCGGGTCAAAGGAAAATAGGTTATCGAATGCGTCAATATTAGGAGAATACAAAAAAAATCATGATCACGTGCTCTGTCACAGCACTCTCTCAAAAGAGGTGGTGATCTGAGTTCGATTCGCGGCCACGGCTAACATGAGTGGCGAGTGATATCTTAACCTGCACTGGTCCCCCATATTCACCAAAACACACTGACCACCGTTGGTGAAGTATGGTCAAACAACACCCATAAATAAAAGTGTTGAGAGGCCTTCATACCACAGTAAATTGACAATGGGCTGTAATTTACAGTACTAGGGCACCATGGTGGCAAAATGCTAACTACCTTGCCTGGTATACAGGAAGTCGTGGGTTCGATCCTGATGCCTGTTTATTTGGAGTTTGCATGTTATCCCCAGGTCCTCCGGTTTTTCCTTCCACATTTAGAAACATGTATTTACAGTATTTGCCTGCTAGAAATTTCCACCTAAAAAGCCACTTCGTTGAGCTATAACTTGTGGCCAGGTCGCTTTCTGAAAAAGAGCCATACAGTTTAGTGGGCCTTACCTGATAATATATTGCAAAAAAAAGGTGAAAGTTGAAAGTTAACTTGTGTTATCGCAGCATTGATGTATGGAGCCGCATAACTGATGTCACTATAGTGCCATGACGACATGCTTAACGAATTTTAAATTCCTTTTTTTTCTTATGAATTAAGCTTCTATCTTATATCAGACAGCCTGGAACATGCAGTCTAAGTCTGTCATGATCAGGTAAGACCCATGTATGTGTTTTTGCAATGCCTCTTTTAATAAAAGGTGTACATAACTCACAAGCATGGGCTCCATGTATTCTGGCTGTGGCGGTGGCGGCACAGCCTGCGGCGTCTGTGGCGTGTGCTGTGGCGGCGGTGGCAGCTCAGGCTGCGGGGTGGCGGGTGGCGCCAGGTCTGGTGCAGAGAGGTCATTGGCCTTGCGCTTGACCCCCTTGCCGTGCGATGGTGTGGCGGGTGGTGCCAGGGGCTGCTGCTGGGGGGCTGTTCCCTTGTCATCAATGCTGGCGCGCGACCCCTCCACCACCAGTGTAGACTCCTGCAGGCGACTTGGCTCCTCTGCAATCACCTCGTCTTGAGACACGGGAAGACATTAACTTAAAGGTAGTCATGTAAACACGGGTATGCGCATGCCACGCTGACACACGCACAGGCAAGCAGACACAAGGTTACATTGAGACACAAGCACAGAGGCGCTTATGAACAGAGGTTCATAAGCTTGTGGACACATGAATATCGACACCTGGCCAAGCAGAAACCGACCAGCATACAATAGCACGTAGACACAAGCACCGAGACAAAGGCTTATGAAGAAACACGGGCACATTAAAACAAACTTTCAGAGACAGGAACATCCACGCAGACATCGGTATGGATACAGAGATTTACAGACAGATGTGATGTGTGCCGATTAAGTCACTGATGTTGCCATAAGTTTACACTTCAAGGACTGTAATTTCCCAGTACAGTGTCTCCTCCTTGTACAATCGCCCCATGATTATCTTCGCTTGCCACATTCCCCTGTGCCATATCTCCTGTGTCCACCCAAGCCTTGTGTCTGCGACACCACCGTACCGATGATGTGGTGTCCATGTCGCGGGACCTCAGGGTTCTCGCACTCTCTCATGAGCTCCTCGAACGCGTCAGCCTCGCCTCCCTGTCTCCTCTTACGCAGCTCCTCCGCCACCACCGGCGCCAGGCAGCGTGAAAAGAGCTGCTCAAGACACAAAGGTGGTAGGGGTCAAGGCTGTCAAATCTTCAAGGCTCTATCACAACACATCCATTAGACAGAATTCTATTAAGCTGTGCTAAGGGGTAATTTGCCTCCATGGCTGTCTGCATCAAGGTTGTTTATGAACGTTTCCTTGACCACCCTAATATTGCTAATTCGACTTCACGTCTCCCAGATCCAACTAATTCTGCACCACAAAAGTTTTCCTAAATCACCATTCCCTTTCTAACCATTTCCCAAAGCAAAACTTTTCCAGGTAAGTCAACCTCTCATACGACATCCCCATGTCATCCTTGCTTGGGTTTAATTTCCCTAGCTCACCTTTTTCCAGGTCTACCCAAGTAGACCATTCCAACAAAGGGAACCATTTTCCAGATCTCATTACCCCAAAACTGTCCAAGCTCACTGGCTTATTTCACCTTTTTGCAGCTCATTCTTTCTCAGGCCACCCTTTCCTAGGTCTCCCAGCCCCACATTGCCCTTTACCAGTACTTCCATCCCCAGGTCACCTTGAGCAGCTGGCTGTTCCATAGTGGCTGCGCAGGCAGAGAGAAGAGCTTCTCGACTCCACCGCTCTCCTTCCACATCATGAGCTTCTTGGTAGGTGGTGCCAGGTCGAGTGTCGTCAGGATGTCCGAGTAGTCGCTGAGCTGTGAGCGGATAGTCTTACTGTCCAGCTCCTTCAGGCTATCCACAATCAGCTTGCGCTTCCGCTTTGCCTTGATCTCCTTGACTGCGTGCAACATAGTTGGTGGCAGGGGATGGGGGTGCAGTCAGGGACATGCTATGCATATTAAACATTTTTATGACTAAGCATGGGGTGGCACTACATTTTATCTGAAGCTCTGAGCATGTGGCAAGGGCCGTCTTTCCAATGGAGTCATTGATCAGCCCTCCCCCTCGAAGGATAACGGTTGAGCGGAATCAACTCCCCAGCCAACCCAGTTTTAAATGTTATTTTCAGTCAAGCACTTTAATGACAGCACCATCTACCAGGTAAAAATCCAATCCAGAGTGTGATCTTCAACCATAAGACAATGAATCATTCTATGTTGCTTTTACTATAAATAAGGACCTTTGCCTAAAACATTACCCAATTACACATTTTTCCGATATAAGGTAATGATAATGATGACTGTCTTTGTAGTAATGTGTTCATGTGTGTGTGGGGGGGCACAACAGTCAGTGCACTACACTCTAAACCCAGTGTTCTGTGTTCAATTCCTGGTCACAGATAAACATTAGCGGTGAATGACATCCAAACCAGTCCTGGGTCCCCGCTCTCACCAATATGAACTGCCCAGTGTGATAAGTATAATCAACCAATTCTTATGACCAACAATGTATGGAGGCCTTCATGCAGTGATGAATGCTTTTGAGATACTTATGTTTAATTCCACATCACATTTAATAACCTCAGTTACTGATTCCACTTCTATTCAAATTATTCAATAACACCTGGATAGTTGTGGTCCGCCAATAATTGTGGAGCAAAATGAGTACACATCTGTGCTGGAGGAAAAGGGGCAGTGGAATAAGTATGTCCCGTGATGAGTGGCGGTTCGTGCTGCTTTACCCGTGATGTCGATGGGTTCCAGAGCGAAGGCCTCGCGCTCGTTGGGCACCAGCGTGGTTTGTTCGGCCAGCGTAGGCACAGGCTCCGCCGCGTCGTCTGACACGGGGCTCATGGGTCCGCCCACTGAGGCACAGGGGAGTAGTGGTGATAATTACAATCTAAATCATATAATATGCAAGCAATCTAGTGTAAACAATTAAATGTAACTGACAAAGCACAATCAACACAATGCAATCTACGCAATGAAATAAAAAATGCATATAATACAAAACACAATACAATCACCACAACACATTCAGTGCAACAATCACAGTATTGTAAAATAAACAAAAAATATTCTCAGTGCAATAAACGCAACACTAAATAATACAACAGAATACCATCATCAATCAAAACAATCAATACAATAACTTTCAAGACAAAATGAACTAAGCAAGAAATGCATTACCATCATCGTCATCATCCACATCATCGTCATCGTTGGGGCCATGAATGGGCAGCCCCACGTCGTCCTCCGAGGCCCTGATAGCCGGATCGTCGAAAATTCCAGGCTCATTACGCAGGAGGGTATCCACTGCACGCGCGCACCACGCACAAATGCCGTTAGCAAGCACCTATTAAACGAGGTAGATAAGACATTAGGGGGTGGTGCAGCCAGCACCAGAGAAACCTGGCCACCAAGTTTTTTAAGGTATTGAACTGACACCCAATCAATGTTTATCTGATGGATGGTCACTCAGTCTGCTACCGCTGCTGTCTGAATCTCCTAATGGTGACTACTTCCTGTTTTAAGTCCAGGCCTATTACCATTCCTCTTTTGAACCTCTGATTTTCCTCTCCCCCAAAAATCTACTCAATTGCAGTTGTCCCTCCGCTCGCCTCTGTTAAAACTCCGCTCGCCTCTCTGTTAAAAACTCAATCAACCACGTATTTTCACACTAGTACATATGTACATGGCCAGCCCTTTCTCAATCCACTGTTGAATGAGGGCCTACCGACATCGTATGGGTCGTGGGGGATATCTGGCCATACTTCGCCACGCTTGACTGTTGTTTGCCATTAATTCCATACCACATTATATAATGGGAAAAATAATTAACAAACAAACAAGGGTATGTTTATCCAAGGAAAAATTACATTGAAAAAACACATTGGTCAATCAGCCTTTTCATACAAATATTTTTCAGTTAGTTCACCTAGGCAAGCTCTGAACTAGCTTAGACTTTCTGAGTCGCAAAGTAACAGCGTAGTAACAGCGTAGTAACCGCAACCGAAATAACACAGTAACTGCAAAATAAACTGTGCACGCCGTCTCACCCAGAATGCCATCCTCGTCACCGAAACCATCGTTGCCTTGCCCGCAGGGCTCCTCTGTGAACTCCAGCGGGTCCAGGTCAGGCGCAGCGGGTTGTGGTTTCTCCACATTAATTCCACCAGCGATGACAACCTCTCTGCCGGGACTGACCACGTCGGCACGACTTTGCTCGGCGTCGAACAACAGGCTCGAACCAGTGATGCTCACCAACATGTCTTCGCCCAGCGCGGAATTGCCGTGGCGCTCGATCTCAGGTTCATCTTCATCCACGCCAAATCCAGCTGGGGTGAGGGGGGTGTCAGGAATCAGTGGTGCTACTGGCATTTGCCTCAGGTGGTCGGGTGGCTCAGCGGTAAAAGCACTCAGCTGGCACTGGTCACTCAAAACCAGGCAGCCACTTTTGATAAAACCGGCTTCTAGTTCAAACTAGAGGCCACATAAAAGATCTTCGTGGGAACTCTGTAGTATACATTTCTATGGGTTGTTCTCTAACACAATGGGTTGCACTGCTCTGTCAGAGTGCAAATGCATAATTTGTCTCGTGACATGAAACGGAAGACAACATTTGGATAAAACAGTGGGGAAAAGACAAAAAATGTTTAAGGGCCATGGGGCAAGCATGGTCGCCTTACCATAACCTTCATCCTGCAAGACCTGCAGCGTTCCCACATCCTCCCGCATGGTGATCTCCTCCAAGCGGCTCTGGTTCAGCGTGAATTGCTGTGCCACGTCAATGTCCCTACACGCGACACGCACATGGATCAGTGTTCCGTACTAACATACACGGCACTCAACAGCTTTAGCCACAGGGCAGCGTGTTACAGAACACAATGACACAGTGCAGCGACACATTAAATAGTACTACAATGACAATAGTTGAAAGCGATTTGAAGCATGTTTTATATTTTTTGGGGGGGAGGGAGGGGCAGAGCTTTGTGACGTCATATTTGAGGGGGGATCTGACTTTTTGTGACGCCGTGTGACTGGGGTGGGGGGGGGTCAAAAATCGCGTGACGTCATTTATGGACGGCCCCTAACACTGATGGCACTGAACCGAGACAGCCAACTACCATCTAGCAGCGCAATATCGAGTGAAGACGACGGCGACGATGGCAACGAGATGACAGTGACAATGGCGATGATTGATCTTCAACAGCACGACGGGGATTCCACTCCAAACGACAGCCCTGAGCTCTTGCTCAGGGCCCCCTTTTATGCTCCCAGTGTGGCCCCGCTCCGCCCCGGCCACGCCCCCTCTTCAGAACCTGCAAGCGGGTTCCCGCGCTTCCCAAGTGCCCCTTCTGTAACCTTTCCCTCAGATATCCCCTCTGGTGTATCACCTGGCCTGCTGACGTCAAGGCTGCTGTAAGCCGCAGATCCCATTCCCCGCCAGCAGCCAGCGCAATGTTGCTACATAGCCAATTCTATGTCACTACACATGGACAAATACACCCTCTATAGCCACAGGCAAAATGGGCAAGTCCTGTTCTCGAGCACCAACTACAGCCAGCAGGGGTATAGCAAAACACCAGGCCGCCTTGGTCTACCCAGTCTGACGTTCACCCACCGCACTACTATTTAAGGCCAAGCTGACCTAAATGAAACCCAAGACAGGTTCATACTAAATACACTGGTGTACATGACCTGGAATCAAAACTGCCGGGGTATTTGAGCAGTGTGTTAGCGACTGCATCGCTGCTTTCCACACACATACAAAGACAGACAATGAGGTAGGAACAGATATTCAAGCATACCCGAGGTCAGGCAGAGGCTGGTCAAAGTCATGGAACTCCTCAGGCAGTGTGATCGCATTATAAGCAGCCTCTCTGTTTTCCTCAGGAAGGTCCACAACACCTGCACACATATACGTACAAAATCACATATCCCATACACATACATCATATCCCACAGACATCTATAACACATGACTTGTAAACATGCATTTAAACAAAACCAATAGCTGAAACGCCCGTGCACAATGCAAGACCTGCACTAGCTAGTGTCAGTGGCAGGAACATTTGAGATTTCACGTGGCAAAGGACTTACCGCATTTTCCCACATATAACCCACGGGGTATACCACTTTTTACAAACAAAAGACCCTGTGGGGTATATTGAGGTGCGGGCTATCCCAAAAATATTTTACATGTGTGACATGTCTTAACTGGTTTAATTTTTTCATGGTAGGACTATGCACTATGCAACACTTACCTTTGACTAAAGCACTGCTGACACTACTCACACTAAAATTGAACATGTTATCACGTTTTAAATAATTCGAATTGTTTGTACAATGAAGCGGCAATGTTTGAAGTGGGCGCACTTTGTTTACTGTAAATACTTTCAGTGGCTGTAGGGGGGTGCAAAAGTTTCAGCTGAGGCTATGGATTGCACAATGGGAAGGGCCTTAACAAGCGTCTACCAGATGCGGAATCATAATTGCTGAGTCCATTAGGCCGCTGCTATTGGCTGAGCACTATACAGTCGCGACCATGAGCTTTGTTTCAAACTTCCAATGGCTTTGTTGCCAGGAGGCAATGGCGTTACTGTAGTGCCGCTATTGTTTGCACAGTGCGCAATCTACCAGTGCTAAAACTGTAAAAGGGTAACTACCGGTCCAGTACCTGTAATGAGGTCAAATGCTGGAAAGCCTAACAGTACACTTACTTACTTATCTACCAGTTATGTGTTACTTATTTATTGGATATTTACTTTTGTTACTTATTTACTGTTTTAAATTTAACACGTAGGCTTTCGCGACCAATATTATTCATAATAAAGGTTTTTGGGTGAGATCGCGTTATTTTTATGTGTCGTAACCCTCCACCGTGTCGGGTGGTGGAGGGTTACAACACATTTATAAAAATAACGCGATCTAACCCAAAAACCTTTATTACTGTTTTAAGTTCACTCGTTTCCGGTTAGTTTGTTTTCTTTGTGCACGTTATGATTTTAATGTTAACGATTGATAGTGGAATGTATTACAAATGTAAACTTTGTATTCATATGATGGAATTAAGCTGCGGTAACGACGTTAAACATATGAATGCATGCGGGGTATATGGAGGTGCAGGCTATCTGAAATTTGTTTTACACAAAACGCTATTTTTGCGGGGTATATGCATCTGTGGGTTATATGCGTATGCGAGCTATATGCGGGAAAATACGTTAATTTTGTCATGTCAGGTAAGGTCCACTGAGCTATATAGCTTTTTCAGAAGCGACCTTGCTACAAATGATAGCTCAACGAAATGGCTCATCATGTACAAATTGATTGCAGTCAAATACTCTAAAATGCATGTTTCCAATTGTGAAGGGAAAAGCCGGAGCACCACGAAAAAATAAAACGCAACCGCGGGGAGAACATGCCAACTCCAAATATACAGGTGTCAGGGTCGGGATCTAACCCACGACCTCCTGCCTATCAAGGCAAGGTATTTAACATCTCATCACCATGGCGCCCTAGGACCCACCCAATACCGTCCCCTCTTCAGTTTGCGGACACACAGGGAACAGAGCAATTTCCTCACCAGGCCGGAAGGCCATCTTGATTTTAACGAAGGCTTCATTGCAGTCGGCGAGGAGGTACTTAGCCTTCCGGCTGTAAATCCGCACAACACCCAGCAGCAGATGGCCCGACGTACGCAACGCCATTTTCACCTGCGGCATGAGGACGAGTAAATAAGCCAGAACAATTAAAGTTCAGGGCTATCGTCATTGGCAATCATTGCTAGCTACTGTCACAAAAGTAATTTTACATTCCGTAATAATTGCATAATGTAACAAAACATTGACAAATATGCTCGCCACTCCCCCTAGTAGTTAACTGATATGCCAATTTTGAGACCAGCCCAGCATGGACTACTATTGTGAACAATAACAAGGGAACAGTACTCAGATCAGTGGGCTTCGCGAATTGTCCAAAAAATGTATATTAACCATAACCCCCACACCAGTCACACATCCTTACCGAATGTGCATAGGGCTCACAAAAAATACAGGGGAAAGGTCACATCACATCAGGGCGAACCTTCGGTGAGATGATGCTCTCAACACTGCTCTCTAGGTTGCATTCAAACACGTGAGCCTTGGTCAGCTTCTTGTCCCAGTGGGCGGCCAGCCAGATCTTGGCCAGCGGCCCCCGCTTGCTGAGCACAAAGTGTGCGTAGAACATGGTGGCGGGAGACTGGACGGCGGGTCTGGGACGGAACGCTTGCCTCCCTCAGTTGGAAATTTCGCCAGCGCGCCCTGCCACATCACACACCGATACGACCACCATCACCAACACTGCAACAACTAACCCCTTAAAACCAGGGGTGGGGGCACTTTTCCTTACTGAGGGCCCAATCGGACTTGCATATTCCTTTCGGAGGCAAATTAGTTAATGCTACATTTTGATCATGCCAATACTGTATACATTTACTTTGTGCTGCATATGACTCGAGAAACAACAGTTGACCAACTGTGCAAACATAATATACACTGTTGCTAGGTCTAAAAATGTTGCTTTCTCGTGCTGCTAAGAAGCTTGCAGTGATGACTGGATATCGTTTGCAAGCCGTTTTTAAGTGGTCAGCTGTATATGGCCCCATGTGGCCGCAGACTGCATAAAAGCAAGTCATGGACCGATTGTATCTGGCCCGTGGGTTACAAGTCCTCAAACTTCTGAGTTAAGTAGTACAAGCAGGTCTATTACAAGCTAGACTGTAAATTAATGCACTAAATAGCGTAATAGGCATGTAATTATGATCAATTCGTTGATGAAAATCCATTCTTACACTCAGAATACATTAATTTAATTGTGCATGTAAAAATAGATTCTTATACGTTGTTACTTAAAATATCCAGTCAACATTCATTCCAGAAACAAAAATAACCAAATAAAATCATGACCCCAAATCACAACTGATTGAATTTCAGGGGACATCATTATATGCATAGCAATAAGCTAATAAAACGTAATTTCATATTTTATATAAAATTAGAGGTAATGGGAAAGATGGTACTGTAAATAATTTTCAACCCGTGTTTCTATGAAATTTACAACAAACCCTCATGTATTTCAAATGCTTTCTTTTATATAGTCTTGTACGTAAAATAATACATCAATATCCTTTATTTAACAAGTTCTGCGCTTGTTGATATTAATTTCCTATTTTACAATGGAGATTTCTGGAACAACAATTAATGAAAGACTTAATTTCTGTATTTTACTGTACTGTTTATGTAATGACACTTTTAACATCTTGGCTATAATACGGATATAAACCGTAGGTATAACGTTTTTTACATGCATTTTCACCAAATGTCTTCAGTAATAACGTTTTGCAGTGAGTACACAGCCTATACTCTTTGGTTCTATTCGGCGCTGTCCTCTGGACAGTCCAGTCCCTTCACCTGATGAAGGCCGCTTGTGTTGTGGCCGAAACGTCGTGATTTTTTGTTATTTTATTTTTACCTACGTGACTTTACCGAATAGAATCAAAGAGTATGGATCCTTGCAGTCACGAAAGCTTCAAATCTAGAAGTACACAGCCTATTTGTTCACTTCTAAACAGCTTTGATGGCATAACACAAAGCAATGTGGTTGCTTTGATACTGGTACGTGTGCAACTAATATGTAATAGTGTAATTATTAAATACACAAAGTTACAGATTTAAAATGTTTGTATACCTCCAATTACGTGTTTGCTATGTATGGGTTGACACCCTGGACAGGCTTACAAACGAGCTGTTCCATACCAATCTATTTTAAAAGTTAAATATTTCAGTAATTAACAAAAAAAATATCGTGGCTAAGTAACAAAAATAAGATTCATTATATATTTTTAGGGGTTAGACCACGTAATGAAATGGCCAAATTTATCGTGTAACCCTCCACCACCCAACAGGCGAACAAATGAAATTGTTAAGAATTAGGTCCGTAAGGAGTTTTAAACTTACAAGATCTCAAAACGTTATGACCATGCCTCGATATCCCGAAGTATGCAAGCTAGGCCAGTGGTCCCACCATGTCGGGACACGTAAACAACTAGCAACAGCCAAAATGTTTCCTTCACTAACCATCATTCACCAACACATCTTTATAAATTAAAACTAGTTCCACGGACCATTCCCTACGAAATTTCAAATTAAAGGTTGGAAAACAAAACACAATTGCTCCATAGAGGCCAATATGTTGACGTACATACGTGTTATTATATACGGTACGCGTTTGGTTTACGTATTAATTCAACGTATACCACATACCCAATCTACCACTTCATACAAAATAATTACGTGTAATTAACAGTCAACATGAAAGAGCACTATGCCTTCTTCACATCTCTCCTCCCGCCTTGTTAGTGCTTTAACGTAAAAAAGCGCATACACATTAGATTTAGGGGATCAATTGCATACAACCCAAAGTTTTCCTCAACATATTGAAATTAGCGTCAAACACATTTTACAAATGGGAGATTTTTCAGTCGAGGGTGGATTTTCACAACTTGCCACGGAGTTTTGTTGTCCTACCCCGGCACCTCCGATTCGCACGGTTGGCTACGTACGGTGCGAAAGAAGTTGAACCTACAGTACTGTAACATTGTGGATACACTCGGCTCCCTCGTTTTGTAAACACTGAACAATCCACAACACAAAATCGCAACCACAGCACGAAAGTGCGACTTATAAAGGTGCATACATGCTAAAAAGCAATAACAATAGTTGTTATATACAAAACATTTAACACGAGCTTAAAATTAACAACGATGTGGCTCCGCTCTTGGTCCCAGCCAGGCCACGCGAAAAAAATCCACAAGTTCGCGAAACAAACAATGTTGTCACGAATGCGTCAAAAACACAAGGCACGAAATATAAGCTACCGCGGTGTTACTTAACATCGCTGATAGCCGAAAACGCAATAATTATTTAACGTTTAACGGAAATACAAATAAAACCACAGGCCTCGCCTCGACTAGTCCCAGGCCTCCAGTGTTACCGCGCCGCATCAAAGACTTTTTAACTCAACTCGCAAGTCCCGCTGCATAAGCGCAGACACTTTAACGGAGCACACCGTTAGTACGAATCAAATAATAAAGTTATAAACGTTATGAAAATTGCATTTTAATAAAACCGAGAGTGATTTTACCTCAGCTTTCGCGCCGCTGCTCGCTTCACGGTGGCTAAGCCGCGGGGCACGATGGGAATAAAACAAGATGGCGGTCGGTGACTTCCCGCCAAAACTCCGTTCAAATTCGACGAGAAGTAGTGCGCGCAGTGAAACGGCTTTAAAAACCTTCAATTATCGATCACATACCGCACATTTATTTCCATTAGATTGGAATCAGTGCGATATATATTTTTTATAAATGTGTTTACGTTTGTGTGTGATGACGTGATGACGTGATGTCGTGTTTTTGACCGACGCGGATGAATACAGAGTCAGGTTATACCGCGCCCCCTTTGCTGTTGGTAACTTCTGGATGATGTTACCGTGTGTTTTTGTAGTCTTCCGCCGAGACTATTTGTTGCGCTCCACCGTTGTGAAGCCCAAGGGGGTTTCGCGTCTTCAGGAAGAAGAAGAAGAATAAGAGGTTTAATTTTTTTTTATTTAAAGCTTTCGTGACTGCAGTAATTTAATATTCTTAGCTCTTTCGGTAAAGTCACGTTGAAGGGAAACAATAAAATAATAAAATATATATAAAACAATAAAAAAATTCTCACGACGTTTCGACCATAACGCAAACGGTCGTCATCAGGTGTGTCATCAGGTGTGATGACGACCGTTTGTGTTATGGTCGAAACGTCGTGAGAATTTTTTTATTGTTTTATATATGTTTTATTATTTTATTGTTTCCCTTCAACGTGACTTTACCGAAAGAGCTAAGAATAATAAGAAGTGTGTCTACCAAACATGGAAGAGATCTAGAGAGACATCTTCTAAGACGGAGACGCGGGTACTCGGCAAGTCCGTCACTAACAGTTGTGGGCTTTAAAATAAAAGTGTATGTATAATAGGGGACGTTTCCGACATTTACAAAGAAGGGGCGTTCCGCGAAACGTCGCCAATAATATAACTTAACGTATTTTTTCCGGTAAAGTCACGTCACCATATTGTTATGCGGGATTCGGATTATCACCGTAGAACTGTGTTGCGTATACGGTGCACGTTGACTCAAAGTTCATAGTTCATTTATTTGGTATAGCCCTGTGAGCCATTCGGCTCTTGAATCGGGTGCAACCGCAACAAACAAAAAACATGAACAAGAAAAACATTTTAAAGTGACTATGTGACTGTGCAAACAGAAAATCCAGGAAAAATATCAAAATATTCCTGAAATAGCATCGTACACCAACGCTGTGTGCAAAAATCCCAGTGGGATGCAAGTCAAATAACAACCACAATACAACTAAGATTAAGGCCATCAGTCTAACTCCGTACTACAATAAACAAAAACATGGCCAAAACAAAAAAAATGTTTTCGAAATCACCAAAATAAAAGCCATGAATACAATGTAACAGTGATCACAGGGACTGTGACCGAATTTTTTTACAATAAACTACATAAATAAATTAAAACACCAAGTACAGAGAGTATCTGGATGCTATACTTGGTTGTTGTTTGACTTGCATCCCACTGGTATTGTTGCACGCAGCGTTGGTGTACACGGTGCTTTTTCTGGAAAAATGTTGCTGTTTTTTTTCCTGCATTTTTCTGTTTTGCACATAGTCACTTTTAAGAGTCATAATAAAGGTTTTTGGGTTAGATTAGATCGCGTTCTTTATAAATGTGTCTTAAAACCCTCCACCACCCGACACGGCCAAACAGTAAAAAAAATGTGTCACGTTTACAAAGGACAAATAGTTCACTACTTTTAGCCCACCGGTGTGTTGAAGAGTGAATCAACATCATTTAAAATTTGAGTACTGTGACGTTTCGCTGGTAATTACATCCAGCATCATCGGGCAATTCGCCAGAATGGCAAAGCCCTCTCCATTCTAGATTTGAAGCTTCGTGACTGCAAGGATCCGTACTCTTTGGTTCTATTCGGTAAAGTCACGTAGGTAAAATAATAAAATAACAAAAGCCCTCTTCACTTGCTCCCGGTCTTAAATAGAGCAGCAGCAGCAGGGTCATTTATCTCATTCAGGTTGCAGTGATTTGAGGGGTATTGTAATTATATAATCGATTGGTAATCAGTCAATGGTTATGATTAGTAATGAGTTGTAGATTACTAATTAGTTGTAATGTGTGTTATTGTGATTATATGCTACGTTAGTAATCCGTTAATTAGTGTTTCCCCTATAAGGAATTGTAATATGTATTATTTAATACGCTTCCAATCCGCACTAAGCCTGTAGCTGTCAGAGCCATTAAAGTTATTTCTATTTCTCTCAATTTCAATGGATTCTCTAATTAGTCTTTGCCAGTAATAATTAGTTTTACACAACACTTCAACGTCATCAAAATCAATTGAGTGTCCTTGTTGACAAGCATGTTCTGCCACTGCCGACAGTTGTGTTTGAGATCATTTAATATTTCTTTGGTGTTCTTTTAGTCTTATGCTGATGTTACGTCCCGCCTGTCCAATATAGCATCTGCCACATAAACAATTAATCCGATATACACCTTCTGTTGATAATTTAGGTAATTCGTCTTTAGTGCCAGATACTAGGTTTTGAATTTTGATTACTGTACCAAATGTTACTGTAATGTTTTGCTTTTGTAAAACACGGGCTAATTTGTCAGTTAATCCTGAGTTAAATGATGACGTCACCCTGCTGGTCTGTTTAAGACCGGGAGCAAGTGGAGAGGGCTTTACCATTCTGGCGAATTGCCCGATGATGCTGGATGTAATTACCAGCGAAACGTCGTACTCAAATTTTAAATGATGTTGATTCACTCTTCAACACACCGGTGGGCTAAAGTAGTGAACTATTTGTCCTTTGTAAACGTGACACATTTTTTTACTGTTTGGCCGTGTCGGGTGGTGGAGGGTTACGACACATTTATAAATAACGCGATCTAACCCAAAAACCTTAATTATGAATATTGGTCGCAAAAGCCTACGTGTTAAACTCACTTTAAGATGTTTTATTGTTCATGTTTTTGTTTTTTGTTTGTTGCGGTTGCACCTGATTCAAGAGCCGAATGGCTCACAGGGCTATCTCCATATATATAAAAGGCAAAGTTGTGAATGTGTGTTGTTTTCAAAATGTATAGCCTACTTCCCGACATGCAACAAACTGCAAATTTGCCATGTGGGTACTTTCCAGACTGTACACCATGCAAAAATTATTCAAACATACCTTCGTTTTTTTGTGGGGGGGAGCTCAATAATGCATATATTGTTTGCACAGCAAGTAAGGTGATGTCAAATCTGTCACGTGACCCTCGCAAGTGGAAGCGTAACGCATTGTAGTGTAGTGGTTAGCGCGCTGCGCTACGAACCCGGCGACCCGAGTTCGATTCCCGCTGACGGCCACCACCGGTGACGATTATTTGAACCGGTCCTGGGCCTCCCCTAGGTCGACTCAGCCTCAAACGAGTAACTGGTGTGGTGTGTGAACATCGCCACTGGGGAGAAAAAGGTGGCCGCCCGTGGTGAATCCAAGTCCCGGGCGAAGCCGGGTAGTACAGCTAGTACCAAATAAATGAAACTGAAAATTGCTTGTTCACTCGACTGTTGGAGGAACGACCTCTACAGCGAGCTCGAGAGCTCTCCTCGGGATAGCTTGTCCAACTCTTCCACCACAACCAGAACACTTTAACCCACCGCACCTGACATTGCTGGGAGGACAGAGGCGGCGGGTTAGGGAGATTAAGTAAACATAGCCCATCTTTTCAACTGCCGCTGTCCTCGAGTATTATTACTATTCCCACCCTGCTCAGGAGCTCTGTACGTTATGCTTTGTGTGTAAAATACAAGGTCTCCAGAAGTTTGTATCTCTGTGCATAATCATGCTCAAATGTGCATTCATGTGTTCATTGAAGAAACATTACACTCGTTAATGTCAAATGTTTCTGTGCAATGGAAGTAATATATTTGATGTCTTTGTATTAAGCAGCGATCTAGTATTCGATTGTGACATTTCATATACAGTACCTGTTATTTCAAACCACTTTATACTTCAACAGCTTCAATAGACTTTTTATTAATTATCACACATGTTTATCCAAGAAAGCCTCCTCGAGTCTCAATACTTTTTATAGGAGGGTCCTGCCAAGTTCATGCAGTAGAGGTCGATTTTGCTCCTGTGCGTGATCCCAACTGAGTAATGTGTATGTAGGTTTTCACCATTGAGATGTGCGGCTAATACCAGTTACATTGTACGTTTTCTCAACCTGCGATGTCGGATTGCTTTTTTAGAGTAAAAAAATTAACTGGAACATGCATGATAATTTTCTCCGGCTTATGGCGTAGTGCATATTGAAGCAAGATTCGGGGATGCATCCTATAATCCAGATAACGTCGTGCATCATGAACAGCACTCATTGCCATTCCAGTTCGTGTTACCGTGTGGCTTAATCCATGAAGTGCTAGATACAGCCGCATTTACCAATGTGATTTGTAACTTTGAATCTTACCGGTGCATGTATAGTTCAACTTTAATGTGCAAGGTAATTGAGGGGACAGTGTGTTGTTGTCCTGGTGTGGTCTAGGACTGTTGTTGTTTTGCTGCCTTGCCCAAACTTGTATTTGGTGTTGTTAATGTACTCGTGCAATGTGTACTTGTATACATCTTATTTATTTTAGCGACTTGCTGACCTTTTCTATATTTTTATCTTACTGGAAAGTTTTTTTAAAATATTCGTTGATGTAACATGGTGACCCGCCCCAACTAGACATCTATGAAAAATAACTTAATAGCTCATCCGATTTTTCCAGGATAAATATTTTGATTATCATCGTGGATGACGATGCAGACCTCCCAAAGCCATCACGATCCCTGACGGTACTGTGATGCGACGAGTCACCCAGCACGGATTCATTTTGCTCCAGCTGCACGGTGGATGTCCTCTCGGACGCTAGTTTCAGCCCCGCGCCATCTCTCTGCAAGCTCATCGCTCCAGCTGCCACGCACAGGCAGACAGCCTGGCGGAAGCACCTCCACTAGAGGTAGCTATATACTCGCCCAAGTTATGGCATTTCGCCTGAACTTTTACGCAGAAATCTTGGAACAGGTGGGGAGTACCCACACTTTACCCCACCACACGCGACTTGCCACTCAATTCATTGACCTACGCAGTTATACCGTTGGGTGGGCAGGTGGTGAGGATTAAATAATCTTGCACCATTGTTTTAACTGAAAAATCCTAAGAGTTGGAACTCACGATCTCTGGATTGCAGGTCCATTATGCCAAGTATTATACCACGAGAGCATCCTCACCGAGATTAACGATGGCATAGATTTCGCAAACTCACACTGGCATTTTGCACAGGAAGACAAACGCGCACGGACACAGTTGTACATTTATTTTCATTAATCCAATTAGTTTTCACTGATGTGGTTAGAGTGCTTTTTAGCATCGACTCGCATCCGAGAAGAAACTTTCTAAACATCAAAACGTGGCACAAACACAAATATTGACACCACACAACCACTGCGACAATTACAGTTAATTGGTTTCAGGATCATTACATTAAGCATCAACATTTTGATTTCCACAGTACACATTACATCTCTAGTTCCTTACAGTGGACTTGGTTTGCTGCCCCCAAGTAGCATTCATGTTACGGGGCACATCGAGAAAAAAGTGCGTTGTCGTACAGTGGGGAGGTTAAGCCAGCCCCACACACCCCCCTTTCCCAGTGGAACATCCGAGCCGGGCCCTCAAAAAATGGGTGGTGTTTTTCCACTGGCTATTTGCTGTGACGAGCTGGAACCAAAAACGTGATGCGCTGCTCTCGCATGTCTGAATCTGGGCTCGGAGGCCAAGGAGGGCCAGAGGTGGGGCTCGTGGTTTACTGTGACGGCGGTGCATTGCGAGAAAGATAAATACGGTGCCGCCGCGTCACCTTCACGTCTCGACTTTTTAATTGTGTGCACATCATCGGCATCACGGCTCTGGTTCCGCAGTGGAAAATTCTTGCCTCTCCCAAGTCGTGCCGGGCTGGCTTGGCACAGCCCTGGTGCGGCTCAGTTGTACAGAGAGAAAAAAAGAGGTATCTGATGTGAATGATCCCATAATTGCACAAGTATAAGATGTACAAGACAACACTAAATTCCTTTGTGAGAATGATTTACGCACCATTAGTGAACTTAAAACAATGAAAGGGTTCCTTTGCAAATGAGCTGCAGGCAGGTCGATTGAACCAAATCATAAATTGCTCCACATACCACTAAAACACAGCAAAATAAAAACAGGTTTCAGCTTGACTAAATATCTTCAGTCAGGTTTAGCCGAATGAAGCAATGGTAAGAAGGACACCCTGATGTTATGGTCAGTAGATATCCAAGAATGTCCAAAAAGACTGAATCATTAACACATACATTCGATAATTATATTGGAATATTAGCAATAGCTCAACATAAAACGAAATGCATTTTTACTTGTGTTGTATGGGTAAGCATGTCAGAGTGTCTCTATGGGCTGCATGTCTGCCTGTGTGTGTACTTGTGTCCGAGTTGATTATTGATGTTGTACATATTTGTGCCTTATGGGTGTGTGTTGTGCAGTAGTGACATGATGGTCTGCAGTAGTGACATGATGGTCTGCAGTCAGTGCCAAACCGTGTTACCATCACCACCTAGCCTGGGCCTCCACATCAACCCCTCCTATACAGTACCTGGTGTGGTGGCAGTGCGGTCATGAATATCAGCACAGGAAAAACAAAGGCGGCCAGGGGGTAATTTTACCAGCCTTCACCACCTACTCATTCATGTGCCATCCTCACCTTAATAACTGCTTATCAACAAGCCTATCCAGGCCAAAAATAAAAAAAACTGTCTTGTGTGTATGTGCATGTGTGTTTTTGTGTGTGCGCATCTGCCTACAGTTGAGTGAATGAGTATGCCTGCTGGATTTGTGGAGTGTTAGGTGCACAGTTGTGCTGTCATTTATCCTCTGGTCTGTCCAGTCGCCTCCTCGGACTTGAGCTGCTTTCCGAGATATTCCCTAGGGTGCGAGAGACAGGAGGGAAGGTAGCAAACGCAACAATGATGTCAACACTGCAAGTTACAACAACTTTGGGATGTATCCAACCGTAGAGAATGGCTGACAACTCATGACAAATTGTTGAGCTAGGCTGTAGATGGTGCTCTCGCTCTCAAACGACATGAATTGGACCTGCACCTTACCAAGTTACACCCATTTTGAATGCCCACATAAAAATAAGGCCACAGGAATGAAATTGTAGTCAATAAGGTTACATCAAGGCAAGGACACTTGTATTAATATCGATGCTTCAGCTCACGACACACACAAATCGAATCGCGTGTGTAAGCATTTATATTTTTGTTCGATCCATAAGTGTTGCATGTAATGGGTTCACATGACCTCTTCACCCACTTTGCTACAGTTACCACAACCCTAAATAATTACAGGACTGAATAGCAACATTCTGCATGCTCACGGATCTATACTGCCTGCCTTCACCAACGTGCACAGAACAGTGTGGTGAAGTTCGATCAATAACACTTGTGACCTGTATTGCGTGGATTGCAAATCCAACAGTGGATTGCAAATGTAAATATGTTTAGATTTATATAGCGTCGTTCATGCAAAGTGCATCTCACAATCACTGAGGAACCGCAGATAAGCTCGAAGACTGTCAGGCAGTGGGCTGGCACCAACAATTACCCAAGCTCTGCTGTCCTCTAATATAAAGATGTTTTCAGCCAATTAATGAGTGTTACACAATTAATGGGTCATATATTATATTGGTGTTACGCAGGTGTCCGTTAAAAACGATTGGTCTCAGTAAACTTCTCACCTGGTTTAAATGGCAATTTAATGACAACATTAATATCGTGACACCTGTGTCCGCCTAATGCTCCTGTTAGTGTAAAAGCCCGTAGCTCACGTGAATGTGCAGTGTGCGTGCACTGAGGGCCCCACCAGTTGTGAACCATGAGCTTCTGCACGGCGAGCAGGGCGTTGTAGCGCACATGCTGGTCCTCGTGGTGCATGTGGTTCATCACCAGGGTCTTACCACCCAGCTGCTCTATAATTCTGAAAAAATACAAACACACAACGTAGACGTATATTTACGTGTTCACTACGTAGGGTCAGCATCAGCACCGAGAGCCAGACTGCTCACTAGAGACACCTATACTCCTTCACTACTACCACATCCAAGCCAAGCCAGCGGGGGGACCTTCACGTTATGGATATTTGCGAAGCCGAGCCAGAACCAAACCATGATACGATGGCCTTACAGGACATCTGAATCTAGCTCTGGGTCAAGCAGAGCTAGGGGTGGATGGAGTTATTGACATTCATTGCACATGACGTCGGCGGCACAGTTCCACTTCTATAAAACTAAACTATTTTTTATTTTACCAGGTATGCCCCACTGAGCTAAATCGCTATTTTTCAGAGGCGTCCTGGCCACAAATGATAACACAACGAGGTGGCTTATCACGTATAAATGTAATAGCAGCCAAATTCTCTAAAAGCATGTTTCAAAATGTTGAGGGAAAAACTGGAGGAGCCGGAGAAAAATCCACGTAACCAAGGGGACAGAGACATGCAAACTCCAAATATACAGGTGTCAGGGTCGGGATCAAACCCAGGACCCTCCTGCATACCAAGCAAGGGAGTTGACATCTTGCCACCGCTGCACTTCTGGAGCGGAAAAACAACCTGGCGCCTCCTGAGCCGCACGAGGCTGGCTTCGCATTACCCTGGCGCAGCTCGGCTGTACCATGAAAAAGAGGTGCTATTGACAAGACGGCATCCATCTAATCATAATCCGGAGCCACCTCCCACATAACGAAGTGTGTAGATGATGTTGGTGTATGGGCGCGCTGGGCTGCGACGAGGGAGCGAGTACCGTTTTCCACGGGGATAGTGCCGCACGTACTCCCCCACGTCGTGCGCTGCCACGGCCAGGATCTGAGGCTCCTCGGAGCGCTCGAGCAGACGTGTAAGAATCCTGAAAAACCAAGCACAAAAAGCACAGATAAAGATCCCCGAGTATATCCTTCGCAAGCTGTTGGGGCAAGTGCTGTTAAGCGAGCACCTACGAAGGCCGGCTCGGCACACGAGGGGGTGGGTGGCCAGCACCACGCCCGGCCGCCTTTGTCTCCCCAGTGGCGATGTTTACACACCACACCAGGTACTCATTCGAAGCCGAATCGACCTAGAGGAGGCCCAGGACCGGTTCACATATTCATCACTGGTGTTGGCCGTGAGCAGGAATCGACCTCGAGTTGCCGGATCCATCGGACAGCGTGTTAACCGCTATACCACGCCAAGCGCTATACACACAGACACATACACACACGGAAAGCACCTGAAACACAGAAAGGGTGAGACTCACTTGAGCAACTCGCAGTTCTTCTCGTTGAGTCGTGCCGCGTTTTCACGCCAGAACTTCTCCGACTTGTGCACGGGGCTCCACTCCAGCCGGCCAGACTTCAGCTCCGAGCTGTACTCGTCAAATGAACTGCAATGCAAATAATTTAAGTACACAAAATATATATAAGAACCCTCCATTTAGCCTACCACACTATCGGTGCTCATTAAACCTCTGAACAACACAAGAGGTGGTGCGATAGACACCACTCATTTTAAAGCTGAGTCAACCTAGGACTGGTGCAGATATCGCAAGTCAATTGAACCCATGACCTTAGATCACCAGAGCTCACAGCACACTATACCTGTGTATGGAGAGCCATTGCTCCCCATGTAGAACAGAGACAAAGATGCCCCGTGTAGCCGTTAACAGACTGCTGAGGCAAGTGCTATTAGGGAGCTCCTATTAGGTGCACACAGATGTACAAGATCCCCCATGTAGCCAATACAGGCTGCTAGGGCAAGGGCAGTTCGCAATCACCTATTAAGGGCGACACGGCACATGAGGTGGTGTGATCAGAACTACACCCGGTCGCACTCACACAAACGCACACACACACCCATGCTTGCACACGTATCCCGGGAGCCCGTTTTGTTTGAACCGCGTGTGCACCTAAGGTCCTGCACGCTCTCTCCGAGTTTGTCGAGCAGAAAGCGGATATCTTCCGAGATATCCTCATCGTCGTATTTCTGCTGCTCCAGGTTCTCCAGCTGCTTCAGCACCTGCGGCACGGTTCAATGACGATTAACGACGACAATGATAACAGAAGTCAAGGTGCAACAATGGATTGATTCATCATCATCATCATCCATCTTAAATCCACTGACAGTTTCCATGATGTATAACTATTTGGTGGTATTCAGTCTTAAGTTTGTACGATTTAACAGGACGCTGCAATTGGATTTCAAGACTTCTGCAACTCAGTTACGGGACATAGCTAGTCGGTGCTGCCATAGCTCAAAGGTTCAGCTCACCTTTCCCTGGATCATGGCGAGAGCATACTCCTGCCGACTCTCACGCTCCACACTCTTCTCCAGCAGATTCTGTTCCACACACAACAACCACCACAACAACCATTACATTAATCAAAACAACACTTATCACACCACTCAACATCACAAACACCATCTCACCATCATCACAACACATACAACAACACCCATCATGCGTATGTACGTTGGACTTCTTTCACACCGTACGTTGGACTTCTTTCACACCGTACGTAGCCAACCGTCACAACCACCATAGCAACCATCACCTCCGTAAAAATAACCACCTCCACAATGACAACACTCACTGTTACCATGAATCGTCCCCCACCACCACCATCGCGTGTGCTCATGGTTGCGTGTGTGTACCAGCGGGTGCATGTGTGCGTGTGAGTGTACCTGTGCATGGGTATTCACTGTGGGTGTACCCATTCATGTGCAATTGTCCATGTATGTGGATTTACCACTGCATGTTACATTTTCTAGTGTGTGCACAAGATTGTACATGTGGGTGTGCGTATGCATGTTGGGGTAAGTGCTGTTTACAAGTTAACGACGTTTGGCTTTCTGCACGAGTGAGTGTGTGTGCGAGCGAGAGAGCCAGACATACACGGAAGGTGGCAAGGATGATGCGGGTGACCTTCTCCTTGACTGACTCTTGCAGAATGTCGGACAGCGTGGTGACCATGTTATAGCGACGGATGCTCTCGCACATCTGCGGGCTGAACGTGAGCAGCCAGAGACAGAAGATCATCTGGTACTGCAGCTGGAACCCACACTTGGTGTGCAGGACCGACATTACACTGTGGAAGCACACACACAGCGGAAAGATAGGCATGGTGAGAGATACGCAATGGAGTATATGTGTGTATGTTTGAGCATTAGGTCGGTGTGAGTGTGTGTGTGCATTGCCACTGGTTCGTGTGTCTTTCTCTTTGTGTGTTCCTGTGTGTCTCGGTGTGCGTGTGTGAGTGCAGTAGTGTACTAGTTAGCGCGATGCGCTAAGAACCCAGTAACTCAAATTAAATTCCTGGTCATGGCTAACAAACAATAGCAAATGTCTGAACTAATCATATGCCTACCCGTTGTTGATTCAGCGTTTTAAATGAGTACCGGACATAGTGGTGGTGGTCACACCACTCCCTCATGTGCCGCCAGCCTCCACATAGGTGCCCAATAACAGCACTTGCCCAAACAGCCTATTTCGGCTGTAAGGAGGTTCTTTGTCTTTGTGCTATTGGAGTGTGTGTGAAAAAGCATCACTCACCAGCTGACGCCGTCCATCTCCACCCAGGCGAAGCGATACTCGTTCACCCTGAGCATGAGCTGCAGGCATCCGGCCGAGCACTGCAGGTACTGCGAGTTCTGCACAAGCCATAAAGCGACAAGCAACGTCAGTGACTTGGTAGTGGTGGGCAAAGACTTGTGATGTTTAAGTCACTTGTGGAATGCAGATTCGTTAACGACAGTGGCTTAGAAAAATATAAGTTCACCCCAAACGTGGGCTGGGTTGCTGCTGGTTTCTTAAATTGTATACATTTTAAAATCGCAATGCAGAGACTTTACTACGACTACACTGCAACGACGGAGAATCTGACTGTTTTTAAAGTCATTTTTTTTTCCTATGGAACCTTCCAACTCGCATATTTAGTTTATTTTCATTTGAAGCTCTCAAATTAATTGGACCACATTTAACGCATGTGTCGGGAATCTACTATAAACGCTCACATGGTAACCTTCAGTGAGAGGCACTGTGCCATCATTTCCCTGCGGCGTCTCATGTTTTGCACGGTTCCACTAGAGAGGACATACCTCGGTCGGTGAGACATGGCCACCGTCTTGTCCACCTGGGCGATTTTTCTACGCATTACACACATTACACAGAGGTAGCGACAGTGTGGGTCAGCAACTCAGGAGCGTCACAACTGTGTTTAAGACAAAGGCGGTCAGGCGTTCATGTGCAGCCAGTGCCAGTCAATTAATATGTTCCTTTCCCCCAGAATATTTGTTCCCCCTAGGAACAAATATATATTTCAGAATATTGGTGAACATTGGTACTCCTTTTTGGTACTCCTTTAAACTATTTTTATTTTACTAGGTAAGGCCCACTGATCTACATAGCTCTTTTTCAGAAGTGACCTGGCCACAAACGATAGCTCAACGAAGTGGCTTATCATGTGGATATTTATAGCAGCAAAATACTCTAAACACGTGTTTCTAAATGTGGAGGGAAAAACCAACGGACCCGGAGAAATATCCGTATGACCACGGGGAGAACATGCAAACTCAGAATATACGGACATCAGGGTCGGGATCGCACCCACGGCCTCCTGTGTACCAGGCGAGGTAGTTAACATCTCACCACGGTGGTGCCCATTGCATATTTGTACCTCTTAATTTTTTGTTTGTAACAAGTATGTCCATGCATGTGTGGCACCTGTGAGCCAAGCTGTGTCTTGAGCCAGTTGAAGTAGTAGGTCAGGTCACTCCCCTCCATCAGCTCCTTGCCCCATGCTGCCAGCTTCGCAATGATCCGCGCAGCCTGCGCATGCGGCCACACAGGTCAGCACGCGCACGCACGCACTCCAACGTGGCAACAGAGCGTGATAATCCCCAGCGAGGGCAAAGCCAAAATACACTCGCCAAGTAACTATGTTAATTATATTATTTAGGTTGGTGAAATACGTGCCTAGCTGCAAATGGTGCTGTGTAAGTCTGTAGAACCTGCATTTATCAGTGTACTGCAGTGCGGTGGTGGGTTAGCTTCACCAACCCATACTGACTAGCGTGGTGAAGTTTGGTCAATCAACCACCGTGACTGACACAGTGTGCAGAGGCCTTCATGTAGCAGTTGACTGACAAAGGGCCCTAGTTGCTCCATCGCCTTTTGACCACATCACCCGGCATTTACCCAATCTCGTGAGCCCTCATAGCTTAGCCTTGATAGTGCTTGGATGGGTGGCCACCGCACATACAACTGGTGTTAGAAGCTGCTGTGAGCCAATAATTGGGCATTAGAGGGCAGTGCTGCAAAATTCATTATTGTACTGTACTTCTATGCTCCTACATCTATATCGCCCACATTCATCAACCCGTACTGACTGGCATGGTAAACTACAGTCAAACAACTGGCATGACCCGCACGGCGTGGGGAGGCCCTCATCCAGCAGTGCATTGAGAAAAAAGCCTGTGTGCTTACATAATAATGGGGAGAAGATTCAAATCACTTATATAATAAGTAACATGGCTACACCCATGCTGACGACGCCCAAGAGTGCCCACCTGGTGAACGGTGAACTGGTCCTGGCGGTTGAGCATGGGGAGGAAGTAGGACCAGGCCGAGGACTTGTTACGCCTGGCGTGGTCAAAGAAGATGGACACGCGGCTATGGTCCTCCTAGTGAATGCAACATCACACGCAAATAAAAAATATAGTTTGCACCACAACAGTGAAAAACACAATGGTGGCAAGGCCACAGAGGTAATCCCCAAGCAAATTAACCATTTCATTGCCACACAATCATAGTTATGAGTGGCACACTTGACCCAAAATAGTAATTGACCACTCGATCAACGTGAAGGAGGAGAGGAAAAGTGGTGGAGGAGTCACCTGCAGCATGTCGTCCACCATGGTGAGCAGCAGCTGCACCGTTTGCTCACGCGAGATTTGCGACATCAGATTCAGGAACGTCTTGGCTGTCTGCACACGGAAAGCAGGCATGACACGTGCAGACAGGGATATGACCACATGCCCTTGGGGACGTGGTTGATTCCCACGTGTAGACACAGTCCATGCAGAGTCAGGTATATGCACGTGCACATGCACACACTAAACTTCAAACAAAGCTTTTCACGGTCTGTTCTGTTAGCGAGCACCTTTTAAGGTTGGCACGGCACACCAGGGGTGGTCTGGAGAGCACAACACCTGGCCAGCTTCGTCTCCCCAATGCTGATGTTTACACACTGCACCAAGTATTCAGTTCAAGCTGAGTAAACCTACAGAAGGCCTAGGACCGGTTCAGATATTCTTCACTGTTGGCAGCCATGGCCAGGAATCTAACTTGGGGAGCCAGGTGTATAGCACAGTGTGTTAACCACTTCTGCTCCTTACATACTCAAACTCAAACAAGAACCACACTCACACGGCCAAACATATACACATATTCACACAGCCTCTCACTGTCACTGCACGTGTGTAGGTATGCACCTGTATGCCCTCCGTCTCCAGAATGTGCTGCCGCTGGGCGGTGGGCATCCGCTCGAATCGCTTGATGAACTCGCAGTCATCCTGGGAGATCATCTGACTCCTGCCAAAGTGGCACGGCACAACGCGACACAGTACGCCATCAGCACCCCCAACCTTCCCTGCATCAGCGATGATCGGTGAAGTCTTTGAATCAAATGTATCCTTGCATTCATGGTACTTGTGTTGAAATGTGTGTGTAAAAATCTATATATTTTTTTTTTATTCACCTAGGTTGTGTGCAGTACTCCAGGTGAGATTATGAGTCTCAGCAATTTACCCTCCAATTTTGATACTATCTTACACATTAAATGCCAATATCTTATGAACAGCCCTTTGTCAATGCAATGTTGGATGAAGGGCTCCCCACAGCACACTGATCATGGGGGTTGTATGATCATACTTAACCACATGCCGGTCAGGGTGGGTTTGTGAAGGGGGAGTTGACCAGGACCGGTTGAGATATCACTTGCCACTGATGTTAACTGTTACTGTGAATTGAACTAAGGTCACTGGGTCCATAGAACGGTGCACTAGCCACTGCGCCACACATCCCCACCACATTTTATTGTCGATTGAGACTCATGTAGATATGAATGTAGGTGTTTTTTTATTACACTTTATCAATGTTCACATCTAGACATTCAACTTCCATATATGCGGTGTTGTTATTTATATGCACATGATTGTTTTAATATTCCGCTTGCTTTAATAATTTGATGTTGAACACCGGAATTACACTCAAAATGTAATTTCTTTCATTTTACTTTAAGCTTCTTTTCTATTTTACCAGTTTTGACATTATACGTATGTATTGACATTGCTAAGTTTTATTTCATTTGCTGTGCTTAAATCGTTGTGATTTAGAAGCGTTATGTTTGTACTTATTTGACAGATTTTTCTTGAAAAAGTTGGGCCCTCACCTGGCTATAGAGAATATTATTTGATATAATCGAAAAGACTAATCTGTCCCTGAGTGTGATACCAAGAGGAATACATGGATCAGAGGACAAATGCAAATTAAAAGACATTTACAAGTAATAAGATTCAGTGGGCTTGGGCAGGATACATCATTATTAGGGATGGCCAATGGACGATACTGTTGATATAGTGGCAGGATACGTATGTACATTGAATATGTATATATGGATATGCGAGTATAAGCAAATATGAGTATGCCAAACATGGGTATGCCAGCTCATGTATAAGACCAAGGTTGGATTGTCGCATCACGAGACCTTGTGGGATAAGAGCTTGGGCAGCCCTTCATGCAGCAGTGGATAAAGCATGACTAATGGGGAGCCCTTCATGGAGCAGTGGATAAAGCATGACTAATAAAAACGAATTTCTTTAACACTATTTTTTGTGTTTAGTATGTTGTCCTTCCCCCGCACCTCTGATTAGCATGGTTGGCTACGTATGGTGGAAAAGAAGTTTCAACATACATGCATACGTGAAAGCTTATCATTGGCAGAATTTCCCGGTGTAATGCCACGGGCTTGGCAGCGTCACTCACTGCAGGTAAGACTGCCAGTTGACGCTGGATGAGCGAACCTCTGCTGCCTTTGCCGCCACGATGTTGGTGGGGACGAACTCGGTTACTTCATGGCGATCCATGGTGCTACAACAAAGACAGAGATTCACATGAATATACTGTTGGGACAAGTGTTGTTAGTTAATACACACGCACACCCACGCGCAGGTAATATCCATTGTAATCCGTACAGACTGCACAGCAGGTGATGCTGGTGAGCACCTGTCGGTAAGATTGTGAATCAAGCATTGATTATAGCTCTCCGATGTGTTTTCTGTTTGTACCACATGTCCGACGTTTTGCCACGCGTGCTGGAAGCTTATTCAGGAACATAAAACACAGAGCTATATAGTGCAACTAGGAAAACCCACACGACACAGGTATTGCATTAATAGTATGATTATAAACGATTACAGTGTTGTCAAATAACCCCCACAGCCTACACGGTGTGTGGAGGCTCTCATCCAGCAGTGTACAGTATTGACAAAGGGGCTATGCATGTACGGTACATGGAAAGTACAGTTCGTGTATATTCTGTGCAGTTGTACATTTTTTTGCTAATGGGCTTTCATGATGGTGGTCAAAACAATTTGTACCAACAAGCCAAAACATTGCTAAACAATACAAATGAGATTATTAAAATGAGACGAAAGCTGCTGGGAGGGTGGGGGGTGTTTAATGGAATTGTGACCCCGAATCTTGGCAAAATCCAATCTCTGGACGGGTCATGCATAACTGTCTCTTGGTCACTTGTACAGTGTTCATTTTAGGTCCGGGGGAGCGGTGGCATAGTACGTACGCTGCGCTATGAACCCGCGTTATTGACGAATGTGTTGAATTAGTTGTGGAGATCACCGAGTTCGAATCCTGGTCACTGTTGACATCGGCGGGCGAGCGATATCTGGGGCGGTCCAGGCAACTACCCCCCCCCACCACGTCGTAGCGAAACCGGCAATGACCAGCGTGGTGAATTAATGGTCAAGACAACTCTCATGACTTGACACGGCAGTGTGTTCACAACGCAAGGAATGTAAAAGGGATAAGAACGATTAACGTAAACAGTCACCGCGCAGACCGACGAGCGCGGCCTACACCGCGGGAGTCACCATCGGCCTCGACTTGTTTCCCCGGCCGCCTCACCGCACCATTCGCCCGCTAACGAAATGACCAAGCGGGCCGGGAGTCGTCGAACTTTCGGGGGTTAACAACTAAATAAAAAACGTTTCACGGTGAAATTAAACGACGCGCCGCGAGCCGCTGGGTGATTGTGAGGGTAAAACCGAAACGACGGCGCACACGGATGTTTAATTTCAATAATTTTAAGGCGAAAAACCCCACCTCGACTTCCCGTCGCTCCACACCGGAGCCTGCGGAGATCACGGGCGGTCAGGTGACGGTGACGTCACGCGCAGGGTCCTTAGGGTTCAGAGTCTGCAGTGAGGCTCATAGGAACAGACTCAAGGGGCCGCCCATAAATGACGTCACGCGATTTTGGACGATTTTTTGACCCCCCCCTCGTCACATGGCGTCACAAAAAGTCAGACCCCCCCTCAAATATGACGTCACAAAGCTCTGCCCTCCCCCCCTCCCAAAAACACATTTCCATTTTGAAAATAAAACATGCTTTACCGAAAGAACCAAGATTATGAATCACTGCAGTCACGAAAGCTTTAAATCAAAATATCGTCTTTGTAGTGCGTATTTAATGTGGCGCTGCACTCTGATGTATGAGTGTTGTTATAATAATTAGTGTTATAACAATTCCATATTTATTTAAAGTTGCGCATTTTGATGTGACGTCACATTTCTCACCCCCCCCCCTCGTCACACGTCGTCAGAAATGTTTGACACCCCCCCCCCCCCAGGTGCGTGACGTCATTTATGGACGGCCCCTAAGGTCGTGTTAGGAGCCTTGGGTTCAGTGTATGTGGCGAGGCTCATAGGGACAGACTAAGGTCGTGTTAGGAGTCTTGGGGTTCAGTGTCTGTGGTGAGTCTCATAGGGACAGACTAAGGTCGTGTTAGGAGCCTTGGGGTTCAGTGTCTGTGGTGAGTCTCATAGGGGCAGACTAAGGTCGTGTTAGGAGTCTTGGGGTTCAGTGTCTGCGGTGAGGATCATAGGGACAGACTAAGGTCGTGTTAGGTGTCTTGGGGTTCAGTGTCTGTGGTGAGTCTCATAGGGGCAGACTAAGGTTAAGGTCGTGTTAGGAGTCTTGGGGTTGTGTCTGTGGTGAGTCTTATAGGGACAGACTAAGGTCGTGTTAGGAGCCTTGGGGTTCAGTGTCTGTGGTGAGTCTCATAGGGACAGACTAAGGTCGTGTTAGGTGTCTTGGGGTTCAGTGTCTGTGGTGAGTCTCATAGGGGCAGACTAAGGTTAAGGTCGTGTTAGGAGTCTTGGGGTTGTGTCTGTGGTGAGTCTTATAGGGACAGACTAAGGTCGTGTTAGGAGTCTTGGGGTTCAGTGTATGTGGTGAGTCTCATAGGGACAGACTCAGATCGTGTTAGGAGTCTTGGGGTTCAGTGTCTGTGGTGAGTCTCATAGGGGCAGACTAAGGTCGTGTTAGGAGCCTTGGGGTTCAGTGTCTGCGGTGAGGATAATAGGGACAGACTAAGGTCGTGTTAGGAGTCTTGGGGTTCAGTGTCTGCGGTGAGGATCATAGGGACAGACTAAGGTCGTGTTAGGAGTCTTGGGGTTCAGAGTCTGTGGCGAGACTCATAGGGACAGACTAAGGTCGTGTTAGGAGTCTTGGGGTTCAGAGTCTGTGGCGAGACTCATAGGGACAGACACAGATCGTATTAGGAGCCTTAGGGTTCAGTGTCTGTGGTGAGTCTCATAGGGGCAGACTAAGGTCGTGTTAGGAGCCTTGGGGTTCAGTGTCTGTGGTGAGTCTCATAGGGGCAGACTAAGGTCGTGTTAGGAGTCTTGGGGTTCAGTGTCTGTGGTGAGTCTCATAGGGGCAGACTAAGATCGTGTTAGGAGTCTTGGGGTTGTGTCTGTGGTGAGTCTTATAGGGACAGACTAAGGTCGTGTTAGGAGTCTTGGGGTTCAGTGTATGTGGTGAGTCTCATAGGGACAGACTCAGATCGTGTTAGGAGTCTTGGGGTTCAGTGTCTGTGGTGAGTCTTATAGGGACAGACTAAGGTCGTGTTAGGAGTCTTGGGGTTGTGTCTGCGGTGAGGATCATAGGGACAGACTAAGGTCGTGTTAGGAGTCTTGGGGTTCAGAGTCTGTGGCGAGACTCATAGGGACAGACTCAAATCGTATTAGGAGCCTTGGGGTTCAGTGTCTGTGGTGAGTCTCATAGGGGCAGACTAAGGTCGTGTTTGGAGGCTTGGGGTTCAGTGTCTGTGGTGAGGATCATAGGGACAGAATAAGGTCATGTTAGGAGTCTTGGGGTTCAGAGTCTGCGGCGAGACTCATAGGGACAGACTCAGATCGTATTAGGAGCCTTAGGGTTCAGTGTCTGTGGTGAGTCTCATAGGGGCAGACTAAGGTCGTGTTAGGAGCTTTGGGGTTCAGTGTCTGTGGTGAGGATCATAGGGACAGACTAAGGTCGTGTTAGGAGTCTTGGGGTGCGGTGTCTCCACTAAAGCTAATCGGGTCAGTCTAAGGTGAAATTCTAAGCATTCATGGTGAATACAGAATCAGGGGGTCAGAGCCAGAGTTATGATTCAGACAAAGGTAGTTTTGGAATTCTCAGGGTTTTATGAATGTAAATGAAGGGCAGGCTACGACAGTTTAGGATTTTGTGTTGACTTAAGTTTTTTTTAAAATATTAATCCTGGGGTTTAGCGTTAATACCTGGCTTGGACTTAGAGGGGTAGAGGTAGCCTTGGTGTAGTTTTTGTTCATACAATCAGACTGACGGATCCATCGGGGGTTTAGTAATCGGTGTCAGTCCCTGAGGCTGAGAGACTAAAGCATTTTTAAGATTCTTAGAACCAGGCAAAATAATATTTCGTGTACTTATATTAATTATTTGAACCGGGGGATAGCTTTGCCCAGGTGGATTGACAATCACTATTATGAAAGTTATACAGAATATGCACATATACATAGGGGGAGTGATGGTGCAATGGTTAGAGGACTTTGCTGTGAAATCCGACAACTTGAGTTGTATTTACAGACACAGTGACGAAATGTCTGAACCAGCCCTGGGTACTCCTCACCCCTTCATATTGAGGCCACGTGAAGTGTCGAAGGCTCGCTGCTGGCAGGAGGTCACGCGGCAGACCAAGGTGCCATGGGTTGACTGACTGATATAACTGATAGATGCACCACCTGTGTCCCTTACTGTGCAAACTTGCTAGATTTTAACCCCTCGGTGCTCCGCTCGTTGTTGTGAGCGTTGCTCCTCTGCCCTCCTCTTCCCCAGCCCGTGTCGTGCCCGTTTAGCCCCCTCTATCCGGCCAAACAGAAGCTGCTTGGGCATGCGGTGTCTGGGCATGTTGGCTACATGACCCAGCCAACGTAGTCTCGCCTGCTGGAGCTCATGGGACTGTGTCCAGATCAGAAACCCAGTCTCTCACACACACAAACTCACACGCACGCAAGTGAAGGATATAGTAAACAGCACAAAGACAAAAGCGCGTATAAACTACATAGATTGTTGGGGAAACTTATATAGGTCGGTATGACACCAGGTTTCGGGACAGACCCAGGTGCTATGGTTTTGCTGGCTGAGATTACTGGTAGATGCACCAGCTGTATGACCTACTGTGCTAACTTGCTGCATTTTAGCCACCCGGCGCTCCACTCGTTGTTGTGAGCGTCACTCCTCTGCCCTCCGTTGTTGCTGGAGGTTGACTGCCTCCAACTGCCCAGTAGCAGATTCCTTCACGAGCCTCCTCCATAGAGGCCGATCTTGACACCGCTGGTAGCAGTCGTCGGCAAGTCCACTCAGCTCCATATCCTCCTGTACCACATCACTCCATCTCTTCTCCAGCCCATGTCGTGCACCTATGCGGCCAAACAGAAGCTGCTTGGGCATGCGGTAGCTGGGCATGCAGGCTGCAGTGATTCATATTCGGTAAAGAACCAAGAATATGCTGGGATTGTGTCCAGATCTTCCAAGGATTTGTGAGCTCCTCACACAATCCAGCCTGGTAAAACCCATGATGGATAGTAGGCATACCAGCCTGAATGTGTCTACCCAGCGCAGATGTTCCATTAGAGAAGTCCACGTTTCGCGAGCATAGAGAAGGGAGGGCATGACTATGACCGAGAAGACCCGAAGCTTCGTGTGGAGCGACAGACCAGATAGCTTCCACACAGCGTTACGCAGCCAATGAAAAGATAATGCCGCCCGACTGATTCGGAGTGAGACCACTGCTGTCAAACCGGAGCCGGTCATAAGCACACTTACAGATACACACGGAATATACATCGTATGTTGAACTTCTTTTGCACCGTACGTAGCCAACCGTGCTATTCAAAGGTGCGGGAAATATATAACAAAGACCCCCCCCCCCCGTATAGCCTTAACAGACTGTAGGGGCAAGTGCTGTTAGCGAGCACCTAACAATATATAATACGCACATAATCACACATAAATGCACGGTAAATGCATAGGTTACATCGCACACATACAGAACCACCCAAACAACCACATAGAATCACACAAAGCGTACACACGCGGGATAGATATTACTAGCTGCACCCACAAAATCTCGCACACAGATTCACTCACACACGGGATGGACATAGCTGACACAGCACACACACAGAATCACACACACACACACACATTTCCATTCTCTCTCACACACGAAATGTATATAGCTGACAGCACACACACAGAATCACACACACACAGCTCACAGCACACCGTCATTGTCACACAGATTCACACACACACAATGGATAGATATGGCTCAGCACACACACAGCATCACACACGCGGAATAGACATATCACACGGATAAACACAACTCACAACACACCGTCATTGTCACACAGATTCTCAACATAACTGGACAGATGTAGCTCACAGCACACAGTCTTGATATATATTCACACACACACATTGGATAAATACAGCTGACAGCACACACACACACGGAATAGACGTAACTCACACAGCACACGCAGAATCACACCCTCACTCACACGATACCATCATAACTAACAGCACACAGCGACTGCCACACAGATTCACACACACACTGCATCGATATAGCTGACAACACACACACAGTCACTCTCACACAGATTGACACTCATACGCGCGCACACATTCACACTGACGGGATAGACATAGCGGCCAGAGCAAGCGCACACACACACACTACACACACACAGTCACGCAGATTCACACACACACATACACATCACAGATTCACACACACACACGCGCATACACATCACAGATTCACACACACACATCACAGATTCACACGCGCGCGCGGTCAGAGTGCATCATTCTCCGCGGTGCCGCTGGAGAGGAGAATCGGTAGCTGCCCGCTGGTCGTCGTCGTCGTCTTCGTCGCTGCTGCTGCTGCATGTGGAGGAGGAGGGATGCGCCGAGGTGAAGCAGAGACGAGCAGCAGCAGCAACAGCAGCAGTAGCGCATAGAGGTGAGCGAGACGGGAACGAGGCCGGGGGTTGGAATCGCGCACGAAGTCCATCGCTACTCACTCGCCTTAGCACAGCGGCGGCGGCGGAGATGCCGCCGGCATGAATCGAACGCGAGCATTTATATAACGCCAGCAGCGACGCTCCCCTTCATGCTGCACCACTCGCATGATGGAATACCGGCAATTCACACAACGTTATCGTTAAGACAATGCCGGCTTTGAAACAGTCATCGCACAGCGTCCACGACTGACATGAAGCAAGCACCCCTACCACCCCCACCCCCCCTTAGAATAAGAGCGTCCATCGATAGCATTAGCGCTAATACAAACGCTCGCAATTGATGCAGCACTCGCATGTCCACGCACAGAATTCACCATCAGCGCGAACACATTAATGGCATCGCAAAAAAAACACAGCACCCGTCATTAACACATGCACACGATTCGCATTGAATTCAGCGTGAGCATCACGACGATATAGTGGCAGTGTCCCACACAGGGCATCCATCGTTAGCGTTCAAACTAGCATTATTAATACAGTGCTAGCATTACACACGCAGCACCCGTCAATGGCATGAATGCAACTCAGCATAACGTACGATAGTCGGTTGAATTCACATCTACCGTCTCCATCACTACCATAATTCCCATCAGCGGCTTGCTTTAACATCGTACATCTCCATCATTAGTATTAAACTAGGGTGCTTTACTAGCAGCATTATTAGTCAATTGCAGTGACCCTGCCATCATCACTAACATAATTACCAGCTTCATCGTCATCATCAGCACAAAGAAGAATAGTGTAACATCGTAATCATGACCAAAATTACTAGCTAGCACCTTAACTAGAATGTATACTTCTGTGTCGTATATCTAACGGAAAAATTAAATGCGAGCGTGAATGCATCTTAATTAACATCAAGTGTCATTAATGCAAGAGTATCCTATCAATAATATTCCCTTAGATTCATTATAACAATTTAAATTCGTAGTTCTTTATATTACCATTTCTAATACGTATAAATTCAACTCTATTCACAATTTTAATTAAAAACATGTTTTGTATTTTATATCTCTCACGTTAATCAATACAGTAATTATAAGTGTCAGCAGTGCTTATTACAAAATACAACGGTATAACACGGTATATTATTACAGTTCAGTATGTAATATTGGAAATTACTGTTTTCATTGGTGCATCAATTTAATGAAACAGTTTAATATTGCCTTTTATTGTGCTTTATTACAGGAATAGAAGTGCCTTGTGCACTGTATAGCAAGGCCTATCACAGGCTTTGCCTATCCTACACACTATATGCTGGTGTTAAATGTGAACTGACCTAATATATTAAGGTATTCATTTGTGTGCACATATAATGGACTTCACATGTAACATTATTTCTTATACAATAAAAAAATATAAACGTAACTGTGCATGTACTATGTTAACATTTTGATGTATATATGTTATACATTGAATGCATGAAAGGCTAACCTCACTGTGCCCTTATGCATTCAACACGGTGGACATTGCACTGCAGTAGAGCATAAACTGACACATTGTGCGAAAATATCGAATCTCATACATCCATCTCCCAATGCGTGTTCACGCGCAGATGAGTGTTGGCCAGTGCTCTGTGGTTGAGCTTGTAGGTACAGACCAAAATACCAAGTTCCTGTGGCCAGGATAGTTCGATACAAACGGAAACAACCACCGATGACATTCTTGTATTAATATGTGCACCCTTCTCCAACGGTGATAAAAAAAATTCTGCCACAGAAGAACGATTATGCTGCTGCTGCTAGTGATGATAATGAGGGAACTAGGTTGACCCTAGAGGGAATTGAGCTCATGTTTCCACGACTTGAGATAACCCTGCTTCTTTGCCAAATGAACCACAGCCCATTCCGGCTGCACACTCTCTAAACACAGGACCTCTATGATGAAAGGCTTCTGACGCGCGTATTGTGTGGGGTGTGTGTTGGGAGCTGTTCACACACTGGGTGCTGAAATTTTTACTTAAAACTTTCGTGACTGCAGGAATTCATATGCTTTAGTTCTTTCGGTAAAGTTGCGTAGATAAAAAATAAATAAATAAAATAAACACTACGACGTTTCGATCACAACACAAGCGATCGTCTTCAGGATGAAGACGATCGCCTGTGTTGTGATCTGTTATTCTTTCTATCTACGTGACTTCACCGAAAGAACCAAAGAATATGGGTGCTGAAAGTTCCAACAGAGTTGTGCCGTGGTGGAACTACAAGTAGGCACATAGCCCTCCGTCCAAGATATAATATAAATCAGTTGAAGACAACTGTTAAACCATGAAGCCCAGTAAACGTTGCAACGTTGAGCAAACATTGGCATATGGTTCGAACCGTTGGACGAATGTTGACGCAAAGTTGGTCCAACGTTCCACGTTTACTCGTCGTTCACAATTTAAGCTGTCTCCCTGAAGGGGGTTCCATGGTACTTGGTTACTCTTTTGCGAAATGACCGGTTGCAATGCCTTTACATCAACGACTTAGTCAATCAGTTTGTGCTACAGTAATCTAGTTTGCCTCTGACGAAATCAACTAGAGTGCACTTGATCTCATTAGACCTCGGAAACGAGGCACGTTTCACTGGATAATTCGTTGATGCAGCGACCACCATGCACAGCACAGGTGTTATAGGCTGCTGCGCTGTCATTGCTGTTGCGGTCTGCAGAGCAACACCATTTATTGAACACGACTGCACTATTCTCCCCACCCTCACCCGGCTGCACTCACTAGCACGAAGACTGATCAAATAACACTCACGACCTGCGTGGGGAGGCCCTTATCCAAAAGTGCATTGATAAAGAGCTGTCTGTATATTGGTTGTACCTTCTCCAATGAGGTTCTGATTTTCAGCGTGTTTGTCTATTTTTCTCTCTTCCTCGGCACATTAATTGTAATGAAATAGTTTAAGGCGATTACACTCAGAATGTATCATGAAAAGTAGGCTTTATTAAACAATTTAAGTCTTTATCAAACAACTTCGGGAGCAACAAGCACTATCCTTCGGTAACGAAAACCGTCTCTCTATGTAGTGTATATCCGGTCTCAAGCACGCACTACTAAACCACCGCATGGTGACGTGTAAAACGCTCTCCTCTTTGAGTTTTCCAATGTGGCCATGTAACCTAAAGGTCTTACGCCTTAGCGTGTCACGTGACAATGCTAACGATGATGATGCTGCTGTTATCTTGAACCAGCAGAAGAGACGCGAGAGGGCTGGACATGCGCAAGAGGCAATCCTCCGTTGGAGGGCTCACTGCCGCCACATCCACCACCACCACCACCGCAACCGCCGCCACCACCACCACCACCGCCACAACTACCACCGGCACCAGAGAGGGGTCACCGGACACACGCGCAACCGCCCGTGGCAGCAGGACCGTCCATCGAGGAGCCCCCCAACAAGGAGCCGCAAACACCTGCTGCTTCTGCTGGTGCTGCTGCTGCAGCTGCTCATGGTACCATCACTGCCATCGCCATCATCCACTTCATCTTCCATAGTCCATGCCGTGGTCCTGGAATTCGTGTCTATTCGCATCGCCACCATCATCGCTACCAACCAGAGATGGGGAACGATTGACAAAAAACGTTCCGGTCTGTGCTGCTCGTTCCAAACAGTGCTTATGTTCCATTATGATATCTTCATGATCTTATCTGGAGTGTTCTTTTAAATCCCGCTTGAATGATTGGAATGCTCCTTAACAATCTATCAGTGAACATCACTGACTACTAGCAGGTGTCCAGAATATGTACATACATGATATATTATACTGTGCATGATAAACAAACTGCCTGATACAAATAAACTCACACCTTGCGCAGAGTGGAGTGGATGAATAAAAAAAAAACATTTCGAAGAACACACATTTGATTAATTAAATTGGAATGGATTATCAAACAAAAAAGAGATGAAGTTTCTAACATTCCGTTCCTATTGTTTTAACTCAGTTACGTCCTGCATTCTGTTGAATGACTTTCAATCATTTTCTGGAGCATTCATTAGTTCCATGTACCGTTCCCCTTCCTCGCTATCAACTTCACCATTACATCTGCTTTACCATTATCATCCACCTTACCATCATCATGCACTTCACCGCTATCAACCGCTTTGCCACAACCACCACCACCATGGCCATCACTGCTTCACCATTAACACCCATTTCACCATCAAATATACGCACTCGTGCATGTCCTCACCGTACGGCCCCACATCTACACGTGTGTGTGTGTGTATGCGTGCACCATGCAGCCTTGCCATCCGGAACCGAGAGGAAGAGGATGTGGGGCGGCGTACATCGCGGGACACAAAACTGGAGAGCATCCCCAGCCCTGGCGAGAGGTGGGAGCCACGGGGCTGTACTCGCTACAGAACACACGTATGCAGACAATCAGGGCCCAGTTGCTGTTGGGTTCGTTTGACCATGAGCTGCGGGGTATATGGATAGATCAGGCTATATTTTACGGTCAAGCCTAACTCTAAACCTAACACCAATCCTATCCACTCCTGGTACAGTTATACTACATGGGGCAGGGGGTACAAAATAATTGGCAAAGATGATCCCATATGAACACATTTCTCACTTCCCTACCGAAAACTGGTCAATGTTCAAAGAGTTTTCCAAAATTTGGAGTCACGAACCACAGCAATAAGGACTATTGGCAAATAGGGAAACACATTTTGCCCTAACAGACACTGGTTGGCTTCTGTAGTGCTAATTAAATACTTTCGAGGATATTTGCATTTTGGAAAGCATTACATAACCTGTGAATATGCATATTTTTCCATACTTATTTTCACTCGACAAGGCGATGACACAAATAGTAGCACATTTACCATTTGTTTCACAGGTTTGACGTTCAAGCCAAGTGGCTGCCCTGGCTAACACTGTGGGTGTATTAACCAAAAATGCGCACCATCTACTTCACAGTACAGGCGATCATCGACTTAAGTCGGTTTGACTTATGTCAATCTGCACTTACGCCGGGTCGCCAATTGCCACACCAGCGTTTATTACCAACGGTGGTCGGACTCACATTTACGCACGACGCTTACTCAGGCACCGCTTCTACGCACAGTTTGTCGCCCAGCCCGTCGGCTCCTCGACACGCTCCAGTGCTAAAAACTCTCTGTGAATTCTTCATGAGTATTTAGCATTTCTATTGATTTCATCCTTAAAAACGGCTGATAAAAGGAACGCTTCGTGCTCTGGTGATGGTGTTGAAAAAATAAGTAGCAGAAAGGCGATTTCTGTATTCAATCCAAATAATCCAGAAATTATATGGAAATCAAGGTAAAAACCGTCATAAACACTATTATTGTACTTTATATATCATTGATTAAATATGCTATTTGTATTCGTATCAGTAAAAGTTGCATATCAGACTCTTGGTCAGGAACGTAACTCCTGATTGTATAATTGTTTCTCTGGGAAAATCTGTCTCGACTTACGCCGTTTCGAGTTACGGTACCTTTTTCTTTAGGAAAGTAAACCTGACGCAGTTCCAAGGACCACCTGTAGACCCCATGAACTTATTCAAAAAAATAATAGGCTATGTGTGCCAGCATCACGGCCCAAATTAGCAAGTTACTTAATTGGGTAAAACAACGTATAAGCGTTAACTACCGCGGGACAATACTTAGTGACAGCCTTGGCGCTATAAGAATGGCACAGATACCAAAAATACTGATGATTTGATTTGACAACAGTGCTCCATCTCCCGAGGAGGTGCGTGCCTGGGGCCGCTCGTTCGACCGGCTCATGCGCTCGGCGGCTGGACGGCGAGTCTTCCGCGAGTTCCTGCGCTCCGAATTCAGCGAGGAGAACCTCCTCTTCTGGCTGTCGTGCGAGGAGCTGACACACGAAAGCGATCCCGCTGCCATCGAGGAACGCGCCAGGAACATCTACGAAGACTACATCTCCATCCTGTCCCCCAAGGAGGTCAGAGTCCATGCCTTCTGCATCCATCTGTGTCCATCTATCCATTCCATTCCCATGCACCCGCTGAAGAAATCTGTGCAAGAAAGCTCGGGGAGATGCACATTTGGAATTACACTGAGACAGCAAGATGTAAATGGGAGCATTAAAACTTTTAAGAAAAGAAAGTGGTTTGGACAGGACAAATCGCAGGAAGAGATTATGGTTACAAAATAGTAAATGGCAGTCAAGGAACAGAGAGCCTTGGAGATGACATCCAGCGAGGAAAGGGAGTGATGCAACCAGCTTATGTGTAGGGTTAGGTGGATTAATACATTGCAGGATTGTGAGATACGGTGACGGCTTCATCAAGCAGTGGACTGATCATGGCGAACGATGATTGATCAAATAGTTCAACAGTATGTTAGTCCCTAGTCCAACGGCATTCACCCAGGGAACACACTCCGTACTTTTGTTTGACAGCGGCTGCAATTATGCTCATGATTCCTTGAACACTCATCACTGCCCTGTCTGCCTGCGATTAATACAGCTTCATCTTCTGGCGAATTAAAGTCGATAACCTCATCAACAACTTCATGTTCCAACATATTTCGGCGAAACGTCTCCTTTGTGTGTCTAATAAACGGCAACATCAGGTCTAATGGAGGTCAAAATCTTGACCAGCAATCGTTCTAAAATCTCTGTTAAAATGATACTTCTCCATATTTTGCTGAATAAACATCCCCATCCTAGAGCGTCTCCACTGTTTTTTTTAAATCGTTAAAGCAATCTCCACGACATGCCTACTGGATGCCTGCATAATCAATTATTCAACACCTCCACATTCCATACCTTGTAATTAACACATCTACCGTACATAGTTTGTCCAAAGAAAGTGGAAATAACGATCATAAATTCATGACCATACTCTTGTTCCAAGCATCATCAGCAAACTAACAACTTTTATTCTTCGTCTGTGTTGAACATATCTACACTGCTTGATTGATGGAGGCCATCATCTTTAATGTCAATGCTTCAACATCTCAACTTTTTTTCGGGAAAACATCTACATTATATTGTGTGCCTAATGGAAGCCATTTTCATTCCAACCATCTCCAATTTCAACTTCTTCTTGTGTCTTGTGCTAAATAGAAATCATCATTACAATTATAAACCCATTAACAACTCCATATTTAATATTGCAACCATTCTATTTACCTAACAAATGCCACTATCAAACGCACTAACCCATTGACGTCTTCGCGTAAAACATCTGTTGTTCCGATTTAAAGCTTTCGTGACTGCAGGGATTCATATTTTTGGTTATTTCGGTAAAGTCACGTAGAAGGGAAACAATGAAATAATAAAAATATAAAACAATAAAATTCTCACGACGTTTCGACTGCAACACAAGCAATCATTATCTGTGTGAAAACCACAGCAAGAAATGTTTTTCTTGCAGCTGTGGAAAATTGTTTCCTTGCTGTGGTTTTCACACCTGATGATGATTGCTTGTGTTGCAGTCGATACGTCGTGAGAATGTTATTGTTTTATATTTTCATTATTTTATTCTTTCCCTTCTACGTGACTTTACCGAAAGAACCAAGATCATCTGTTGTTCCATTTACCTTACAAGAGCCACCATGAAATCCATTAGCATCCCCCATGCTTAACACGTCCACGCCATTCCATCCTTGTAACAAAGGCTGAGTTTTCGCCGAATTGACCCGTAAGCATCCTTCACCGTTACAACATCCGTGGCGGACGTCCGTGAGACACGTATGGCATTGGGGCCGTGCCGCGCAGGTGAGCCTGGACTCGCGGGTGCGAGAGGTCATCAACAGAAACATGCTGGAGCCCACACCCCACGCCTTCGACGACGCGCAGCTGCAAATCTACACGCTCATGCACCGCGACTCCTACCCGCGCTTTATCAACTCGGTGCTCTACAAGTCCCTCCTCAACTCCACCAGGGCCTCCTCGACCGCCGGCTCCTCCTTGTCGGAGCCGTAGTAGGCCGGCGACGGCGGGTGATGGGAGAGCGATATTTTTTGGGCCGCGGGACGTGGAGTAGGCGCGCAGACGTGAGCTGCGTTTGTAAAAAGATGTGTGGGTCATGATGGGCGTTTGTGGGGAGTCATAACAATGCTCCCTCCTTCAATGCTGGAGCCTGTTTGATTTGGGGTGAATGACACGTTCTCAGGATGAACTTTAGTGTGGGCCAGTCGCGGGGTCCAAAGATATAACAAGGGGACACCGAGTCGTTAACAAAGAGGCCTGTGGGCCCTCCCCTTCTAGAGAAAATATGAGATCCTTAAAGAGTTCTTTATGCTCGGCAAATCTTTAGGCTGAGCAGGGATAACTTTGCGTAAAAAGAAATACAAGGGCTTAACCTGAACGGGCCTTGAAGCCGGGCAGGAGGGTGTGTGCGTGCGTGCGTGTGTGTTTACTTCACTGTTTTTAACGATAAGCAGGGAACATTCCACAGCCCATCATCTAACCGACCATGTGACCACTCTTGAGCACAGTAATGCGGCTTGCATCTTTTATTTTTTGGGCCAAGTTGTACGGTGGCGGGGCGGTGGGTTGCCATGATTAACGAGTGTCTCCTTCTCTTCTCTGACATCGGAGTAGCTTTAAAGAAAGAAGACTTGCTCGAGAGATTTCCTCACCTTCATTTGTTGCTTCAGGAGGTTGAGTTCGAGCGATCTTTTCCACGGTGCTGAACAGTGAGACACTTGACGGGTGGCTCAGTAAGTTGTTTCATAGCCTTTATGTGATGAGCAGTACAAGCCGAACCTAGCTGCTTGCTTGCTGCTCACGGATGTGCATGCAGCTCCATGATGCTCATAGTGCTTTGAAGGGTGGTGCCGGCTCAGAGGCAGCTTAAGAGAGGTAATGATTTAGGGACACGGAGTAAAAATTACATTTACACAAACGCATAAAATATGGGCATCGTTGCCTTTTTGGCTTTTAGTAGTTTTTAAAATGGACTTTTTTAGACTTTGTATCTTCAGTTTGATGAGTCGGAGAGCAGATGCAGCCTCTGAGTTTCCCATAATCACCTTCTCCAGTTGACGAACATCTCTACCAACTTGGAAAATAAAATATGAATGTGCACGCCAGTACAATGCACACATATATTATATTATTAAACACACTGAGGATAAATACATTGAAGCAATCTGGAGAGAGAAATAATCTCCACAATACCACAGGGCTTGAAATGTGCCAAGCACCCTGTAGTTTTCACCAGCCTTGCTAAAATGCTGAAAGTGTGGCCGTGCTGAATCCTACGGCAGAAAAACGGCAATGAAAATGTGATAAAAAAATATTATCTTCACTTGTACAGATATTTTAGTTTTCCTGTGAGCTGCAGTGACAGTGCTGAAGGGAGTCAAGGGCGATATTTCTTCCCTGCCTTTCTCACCAGAAAAGCTGTGTTCTCTCTCGACAGTCTAAACGGTGTCTTCAGCAATGTTTAGGCTGCAGCACTGCTGCTGTGCAAGCCCAGGTCAGCGAGGCCTTCGTAATGTGAAGTTGGGTATTTTTTGTTTAATTCCTATCGATTTAGGCCTGAGGGTGAGACATTTCATGGTGCATAAGTGACCGGTAAAAGGCATTTTCGGTGAGCAAATGCCTTAACAAACCTTTCAATGAATCAATTTATTTAATTCCAAGGCCTAGATGAGGGTTTCACCATGGGCGAGGTGGACAGCATGCTTTATTTATTGATTGGTTTTGGCTGAATGCATGGGAAATCTCAGTAGTAAGCCTTTCCAAGTTATTTCCATAAGGGCCAGATTTGCATTATGTGATCTGGCCAGAGATTGTGAACGTGAGGGCTGGGGATGGGGTGAACACTTAAGTACACTGAAATTGAACGGTGCCAATATGTTGCATGCAATTTACTTGATGTTTACGAACTACGTGAAAAATTATGCGCCAGAGAAGTCTAACTTTTACGTTGTGTTGCTTCTTTTGCGCGGTAGAGTTGAGCTGACTGAAAGAACACTCTCTTTTATTTACTGTAACCATTAATAAGGTTACGCTAGGCCCGCCAGCCTGTAGAGCAACAAACCCCTCTCCCAGAGAAGCCAGTTTCAAAGTGCTTGACAAGATACACAGTGAGATGGCGATTCTCCTGGGGCAGTTCCCGAACGCAAGGATCTGAGGCTCTGCCACATATGAGAATCACCACAATGGACGTTTCTTATCCCCGTGCCTCCATTCGCATAGCACGATCGGCATGCCACAACTCAAGATGAAAGTTGATTAAGCCAAAAAGATGGGGTGGGGGGGGGGAGGACAAAAACAACCACGAATATTCTATCAATTATCAGCAAAACAAAAATACACCAAGTTATAACTGTAAACAAAACATGTCGCACATTTATTTCATTTAAAAGTATGTAAATATATGTACATACAATTGCGTGTGAAAGGCAACGCAAGTTTGAAATGTGTGTTGCGTTGGTCTTTTAATTTATAAAGCAGGGGGGTTTTTAATTGTTAATGTTTCACGAGCAATAAAAAATATATATAGAAAAAAAGAAAAGGATTTCTGTAAATACTTTATGAACATCAAGTCCATTTCCTTCTAGGGGTAGCAAATAAGTAATCGGGACAGATTTAATTGCTATTCATTTATTTTTCAGATCAGATATGCTTTAGTTGCTGAAGCTCAAAGGTTTCACGTGCTTGGTATATTACTTTAAGGGGGGAGTGAGTGCTGACGCAGCTTCAATTTACAAGTTGGCGTGCTTTTTGTGACTTATTTTCAGTCTGAGATTACATTGAGATCTCTAACTGGGGCTGCAAAATAAAATATATTTTCCTTCACGTTAAGTGTTAATTTTCTTCACCTCGTGAAAACTGTGCCAAAACATTACGTTTGGTGGCAACATCAACATATTTGTATAAACTTTACTGCTACTTACATTTTTCTGGTTGTGCTGTATAGCCCCCTGATGTGGTTTTGGGTTGTACTGCATGTTGTTCGACATGATGTTGGGAAACGAATAAGCTCCCAGCACATGGAGCAAAACATCGAACATTCATTCAGTTCCTGAAGAAGCTCCCAGCACCTGAAACGAAATGTCGGACATCATGGCGAACACGCTGTTGAACCCGAAAACACATTAGTGCCGTGAATGTTTCTTAGAATTGAAAAGAAAGAGATGTGGATTTTATGACTGTGTAATATCCCATTGTGAACATTTGGAGTTTGTTTTATGCCAAGATGTGGGTTTGACATATTTTATTGCGAACAGCATCTATTGAACCAAGTGTGAAGTCTGCCTTCTGCCATTGTGCAGTGTGTAATGCAACCCAAATATATGGACGTGGGCTGCACCTATATGCTATGAAGCTACATATAGCGTAATGCCACCAATGTACATTATTTTACTTACACCACACTCTTCGACGGTACGGTATTCTACACGGCAAGCATGCAACAATTCATTGGTTAAAATATATTCAAACGGTCACAATATATTAATTGAATCATGCATCGTACAATCTATTATTTACAATTAAAGTATGTTTAAGCAGAGCGTAATTTCTCAAATATTTTCTGGGTTAATAATAGAAGACTGGATTAGGTGGCAGATGACCAATATCCACAGCCATAGCGAGTGGTATATTGGATGTGGTGTGCTGGGTGAAAACATTTTTATTGGCCACTGACCCAAACAAACCTAGCTGAAAGTAAGCTCCATCTTCAAGCTAATGGGTGAAACCAGATTAGAGAGAATACAAGACGAATAAAAGACTAACAGGAACTAGTTATTGACAAAAAAGTAATACCAAAATTGGTAAATCACTCAATATGGACCTTATCAAGGTAAAATACGACATTGAGAGGTAAAATACGACATTGGGATTTGGCTCCTGAACATATTGCCATACGCAAGAATAACTCCCCGTTCAAATATGGGGTAGTGCTCACGTCCATTTATGGCTTTGAGGTAGTAGTGAAAAAAAAATCTACATTCCTATGGCAAGGATCAGCCTCCCCCATGGGACATATTTGTAAGAATGTATGGCCATGCATACCAAGATTAATAACACGATGTAACACAAGTTTTGTACCTGGGTAGCAAGTGTTATTTCGTAATTGCTCATGCCTAAAAAGTATAGAAAATGGCATTTTATTCCCCACAAACTTTGCTTTTGTGACTAGGACAGTGGTATTTAGAAGTTTACCTATTTTCAATGAGAACACGGACGAATTTGTGTCATTTCGTTCGCATAAAGTCAGAAAACAACAACATATGAATCAAAATGAACATGTATTTATATTAAAGTAATACAAAAATGACTACAAAAGATTTAGAAGTGAGTAGTTTTTCGAGATTGTTCCTCCCCACAAAGAACTCGGTCCGCTGTGGCCAGTCCCGCCTGTGATAAGTGCACCTTGGTGTCTAAATCTTTAGCTGGATCTGGTTGTGTGCTAAGTCGGGGGGTGTTATGGAACTCAACTATTTATAAAACAGCATTACATTTGACTACTGCTTAGGTTTTTATGGTTGCGATGTGTAGCTCTCAAATGGGTTTGCAAGTTGTGCCATGTATTGTTTGAACATCATGCTGAACAAGACGCGGTACATTAAAAACCTATCGGCGAGTATTACATTTAATGTAACAGTGTAAAGTACATTGTGTACTTTAACTGTAAAGTTTTTTTATTACACTGTAAACATAATTACGTACTGTATGAGTCACGTGCATTCTATCGAATAAGGCAGTTAGCAGTTTTGTTAACATAGTGTTTACCACTAATCGTGCGTGCAATTTGACGTGGTCGTCAGCATGAATTTGTTCTGAGGTCAGTCATTCAGTCTGTGAGACTAAGGTCAGAGTCTGTTAGACTAATATCACAAGTCATTCAGAGTCTGGTAGACTAGACCTCAAATAATCTTCTTTTTGTTTTGCTTGTGTATAGAAACACCAAAAGCAAAAAAAAAACATAAAAAAGAAACATATACAATATATGATGAACTTTGTAACATTTATTTTGAAATGTATTCGCTTTTCCACAAAGCAAACAGTTCAGTTAAGAGAGTTTTATGAAGTTGCAGTCTACCCCTTTAGGTCGATTTCAACTTTAAGTTCGAGGGCAAGTATGTGTGAGCGTCTTTTGACGCGGGGAAAGCCGAGGCTATAGTTGAGGCGGATTTTCGAGATCGGCGATATCCTGCAAAATGTTTTTGATTGATTTGAATCGCAATAGAAAACTATGATGAAAAAAAAGTATTTGTTTTCGTTCCAAGTGATCTTGACCTTTAACAAGGGTGAAGGGAACATCTCAATTTAGAGCCCACATAGTCTGTTATGGGCACATTTTCTTTATTTATTCACGTTGACTCTGCTGGTTTATAGTACAGGTTGATTCGTTTATAGATGCCCCCCACTGATTGCCAATGACCATGGTCTTGTGAAGTATGTGACTGGTTGAGACGTTTGTATGTTGGACTGGCCGAGATTGAACAATTGCATGACGCCGGTGTGTCGACTGGTATAACCACACTAAGATTTTTTTTTCTTGTCGGGTCACAACAAAGACTGCGTGTATGTGGATTGTTTATTAAGTGTGTAGAGATTGGTGGGAGGCTTGTCGAGGCTTTCAAATAAATGTATCCCTATGACTTTGGTGGGGTATCGTCAGGATCACGAGGTGGTGGCAGAAAACTAGGAGAGGCCTTCATCAAGAAGTGGATTAAGGCTGACGATGATCGAGAAATAGATCACCCTTTACATCTCATTTGCAAGATGGTCATATGCTGCTGAATAGATTGGACACGAAAAACCACCGCAATGATTTTGTACATTTTTTTTTAAATCTAATACCTGAAGCACTAGATCGGCAAAGTCAACAGTGATGCCAAACGTGCTGTGCGGGGCAAAGAGAGATCAATGCATGTGTGTATCCTTGTCTTTGACCCAAGACCGTACAACACTGTAACGAGCGGTGCATTGTGGGTCCAGGTTATTCATCTAGCCCATCGGCAACAAGCAAAATGCTCTCTGCAATCATTATTTGGCTGGTGCTTGAATCATTGAGATAGGTGTCAGTTATTTTACATACGTTTTCACTTAAGTTACTCAGTGAGCTACGAACTACATTTTTTTGGGAAGATGTTTTCCATGCTGTAATATCTGCGTTTTTTTTTAAATACAGCTGTACAAAAAAATTTACTCTACTTGGATATATCTACAGTATGTACATGCACAGTCTCTACAATGAGCGCCAAGCGGTGTCATTTTTTGAGAACGAGATACCGAACACATTTTATACAAACTTACTCGAACGTTAAGCTCATTTAAAAGTCCTACCTTTGTGTAATAATCAAATATCTATATAGTATTGACGTTAAGGGTGCCCATACTGAATAATAAAGTAATAAGTTTGAGTCCATCCGTGTTTTTATCTCGTTCTCTAAACTTTTGTGTGATCGACTAGAGCTCAGTCGTAGTCGAAAGTGCATCTATTAGTGTTGATTGTGTTTAATGTGTGCTGTCTTAGAATGTGTCAGATTCCAATTCAGTGGAATTGGCTGATGCTCTATGAGCCCAAGGCCCCCTACTGAGATGAAAGTTCTGTCGGATGCGTCGCTGAAGATGTGTGGCCATGTTGTTCCGAGGAACTTTTTCCGAACCATACTTTTCTATAATCGGATAATGTTCTGAAGTTAAATTCAACAGCCTATTAATGGCAGCTCAAATATGAGGTTATGTGCAATGTAATTTGCAACATGGACTATAAGACTAACATGTGATAGACATGTCGCCTGATATATACACACACATATGAAAAGTTGTATAATTTAGGTCACTTTATAATTAATGAAAAATGGGACCTAAAGCACACGTGGCTGTGTGGAGGGGGGGGGGGCGACTATCCTGACACTCAGTAAGTTAACAAGCATAATCTATATTGTTGATTCCCACTACTGCCATCCAGGTAACTTAACAACAAACAGCATTTTTACGCATGGTATACCGTAATCGCAAGTCCCCCATAACAATGAGCTAGTTGGAAAGGTTGGAAAACGTTCATCTTTAAGGTCAGATCGTGTGTCTGCTGCACAGCAGCTGTGGGATCTGGCAAGAGGGTAGAAAGCGTTGACGAGAGGTGTGGTGGTATCAACGGCTTTGGCCAAGATGACATCTTGATCTGGAGGAATATAATCCCAATGTCAAACTGCTGAGCCGACGTTGCTGAGATAATGGGTCTGAATGATTGTAAGTCAGCTAAGATAAAACCAGGTTCACTGCACAAAATGGCATGACATTTGGTTTTCCAAATTTGCCTCAACATTAAATGTACCGAACTGGATGACCGACTTTGGAAAATCAAATTCTACTTAATACAATGATTTAAAAAATGTATGTGCAACAAAAAAATTAAATGCTGAGTGTTTGGTGTGTGCACGATGCTGCTGACTACAACGCTAATTTATATTAGCGTGGCACGAAACACACACAGTGGGCCACCACCCCTGGAAATTGGTGCTATTTCCACCAATTTCCCAACAAAAAATCCCATTGCACCTGGATTTTTTCAGTCCACCGATCCTGACGTGTGACTGATGATCGTAATTGTTCCTGATCAGGAAGAAAATGTAACATAACATTTTTATTTCCCAGTGAGTATTTTCTATCGTTCCATTTTTGCCAATGTTTTAAAAACTGTGTTGATGCAGACTTTATAAGGGCTAAGTGTGCATATAACTGCATGTCATATTAATACATGAATGCTTGTGTCATATAAAACACATGCACACAACCACACAGCTCACATTTCACTCGGTGCTGAATGCGTAGTCACAATTCTAGCGCCACCTCCAGTACTGAAAATGCTGCATCCCATCACTGCACCCTTGGTGCTCATTTTAGGCCAGGCTGGGGAGACCCAGACCTTGTTCACATAACGACTGCGACTGGTGATGTGCAGGATGAGGAATTAAATCTGGGTGGCTGGGACCATAATGCAACATTGAATCACTACACCACCACTTGCCACACATGCACACACACTCAAGCACAGAAATATTTTACAAAGCTCTTTCTCCAGCACCAGAAATAGCAGGTGGGTCTAGAAGAGAGGCTTTTCATTTTCTCGATTCATGCTTAACCTTGCTCTAGAACTTCCTGTCAAAAAGGCTGCTTTGTGCTGGTGCATCACTTTCTAACAAAGAAACATATTTACTCATTTTCTACACTAAGAACAACAACGGATAACTGTAGATGGATCCGACTCGATTGCTCAACTGTATGAGTGTGAAGCACTGCTTTTATTTCGGTTTTTTTCCCCTCTTAATATGTAAAGCGTACTGTTATGGCTTGATCAAGTTGGCAACATTTGTTATATTTCACTGCGAATTAAACAGCGCTATTTGATTTCACTCTCATTGGTGTCAAAATCTCTGTACACATTACCGATGAAGTTGCATGTCTGGTGTTCCTCAAAATGTAGTCTTCTATCTAAACTAACACAGAGTCCCCTTTGCAAAGGAGATCTTGGATTTCATGGCCACGCTTTGAATTACATTGAGCAACAAGAAGAGGAGCACGTGGATTAGACAACACACGGGTTTGAGACAAACAAACAAAAAAAAGGACTTGGGATGAACACATCACTAGCAGGATGATGGCTGATGGCAAAGAATACCAATGGAGTGACGGCCACACAGAGGAAACGTGCAAAACGAGAACATTTACTGCGGAGATGAAGTGATGAAATTAGCTCGTGTGCATGCGCCAAGTGGATTGTTACATCACAGGACTGTGAAATATTGCAACAGCTTGGGAAGGATTTGATCCAGCAGTGGATTGGTCCTTGTTGAAGATGATTATGGAAGAAAAAGTTAAGTTTATTTAGTTTAAGTGTTATACTTCAGGCCACAACACCAGCACCTCCGATTAGCATGGTTGGCTATGTATGGTGTGAAAGAAGATCAACATACACATACATACATACCAGCATAAGACAACTTGCTCTAACAAATGTCACGTTGTGTTTAATGTCCATTTTACAGAAGTTGGTGTACTCTGGTAATTTTCTGCGTTACCCGCTGAGGAGGTGTCGTGGGAATCAAACTGCTGAAACCGCCAACAGCACCACCAGCTAACCGCTTGCATTGTAAAACGAGATATGAATGTTTCAAAACAATGGACTCAATGCTTTAGCAAGGGGTGTATTTCAAAAAACGACCATCTGCGAAACACAACATTTTCTCCCACATCTTTAGAAAGCAGTGTAGGGGTTGCCATCTCTATCTGTGCTCACGGGCACTGTGGGGTTAAAACACATGCGCCGTGGAGACAGAGACAGATGCGTAGTTCCTAAATTGACCCATACATGGTCTTGTATTTTGGGTTCATGTCAGGACTGTATTCAGAGTTGCAGGAGACTCTTGAATACCGTGGGTTTATCTTCCGCGACTTAGACCTAAAGCGAGCAACCTCTTTGTCCACCAATTTAGCTATCACGGGGGTTAGTTTTGGCCTTTCGCGGGTATACTTTACCCAGAAGTACTCATCCTAAACACTTCATAGGTGATGTTTTAGGATGAGTGATGGATTCAGGACCGTGGTTTATGGAGAATGTTAGGGTTATCATTGCAGGAACAATTGGCGTGGATTTGGGACTAGGGCTGTTGCAATTAGAGAAAACATCTGACGAATACATTTTATTTATGCACCGATGACCCTTTTAGCACTCAGTATTGTGATGACTGCTGCACACACTCGCATAAGGGCGGTAGAATAGGAATGAGATGGATTTACCTTCCAGTGGTGCCCGCAGGTGACGGAGAAGGCGTAGGTCATCATGGGCGCGAACAGGCCTAGCTTCTTCTGCACCTGTAATACACAGCGACCGTCACCGAGGGTGGTAACCCCCGAACCCTGCTGAACTACACATGCGATAACTATGTTAACAAGTATCACCCTCGTTATAAATCATCAGTGCAGGAGAGCCCTGATGAGAGTACAAGTATGTGTATCTACATGCATACCTTGTTTAAATCCGCTTCTGGATGAGGGCCAACTGACGTCGTGCTGGTCATGGGGGTTATTTGCCTAGTTCACTACACTGATCAATGCAGGTTGGTCAAGGCAGGTAGCATACGATGTGGTAGCATAATAATACAGTATACCATGGACTTTGCTGCACTGGCCCTCTGATGCTCACATTATAGCCTCGCAGAAGCCTATAACACCGATGTTTATGCACGGTGATCATGCAATCCAAGAACTTTCCATGATTAACCCCGCACACGGCTGTGCACGTACGGATTTGCAATTCGACCGAGCGCGTATAGCCGTATACGTATGTGTGCATGTGCGCCCCCCCCAGCTCCGTCGGCCCCCCCCCCCCGGCTCCGTCGCCCCCCCCCCCCGGCTCCGTCGCCCCCCCCGGCTCCGTCGCCCCCCCCCCCTGGCTCCGTCGCCCCCCCCTGGCTCCGTCGGTGTTTTGCTCCACCGTCGTGCAGTAAAAACCATGGGGGAAGTTGTTCCACGTCCTCTCACGCTTCAGCAATATGTTCCAGGGGGCGACAGAGACTGCGTGGAGGAGGCTTGAAATTATTTCATTGTTCAGCCTAGCCAGGGGTTTTCCTATATTAAGAATTAAACAATTAGAACTGAGCGTAACAAAACAATACAGTACATGCAAATTTAAGAGTTATGAGCAATGAGTCTGGTTAAGCGTTGAGTCTGTTACACGTCAAGTCAGGGTTTAAGGTCACAAATGTCAATGTAAATGCATGTGTCAGGGTTAAAAGTCATGGGAACCATGCCAGCTCACAGTTTTGATCACACGGGATGATGCAGGAATGCTAGTCCCAAGGTCATGGGTCACACAGGATTCAGGTATCACCTTCCGATGAACATCTGCAGGACACAACAACAGCCACCATTCGTTATAAAGTGGCGGTGATGTCACCACAGTGCTTGTGCCAGGCTAGGTGCAAGGACACACACCACACAACACATGTTCAACTGCACATCTATACTTTGGTTGTACACTTAATTTGGTTAAATGCCAGCTCTGAGATTTAAAATACAACTTTTGCCACCGAACAACGAACATTACTCACGCCTGTTTAGTGGGTGGGAAAGTTGCTACTTTCTATTAGACCCGATGCCAGAGGTCATGAGGACTCTCAAATGTATCTCTGTGGAATCAGCTCCCGTCAGCGATTCTCATCGCAAAGGATTATAAAAGATCAGAGAGGATATTTTGTGTCGTGAAACGATGCTGAGAGCGCCATTGCGGAATTTTTTTAAAAAAATTACAAAAACAATAAACTGTTCGGTCCATGCGCACCCCGGTGTTTTTTCCTCCAGCTCTTGATGAGCGATCGTGCAACAGAAACCACCTCCTCCGTGCTGAGATGGCGAAGGGAATTCACAACCAACCCAATCCGGGACACCTGCCGGAAAAAGGGGTAAAAGGGTGAGGCCATTGACGTGATGAGAGACAGGCAACTGCGTGTGGTCCAGATTGGTGGAAATATATCAGTGCCTTCATCATCATAGAGCCATGCTCTAGGAACTGCTGGATGAAGGCCTCCACAAGTTGTCCCCATCTCTGCCACATGAGCTCATCTCATCTCTCCACCCACAAGGCAATGTAATAGACGACTGTCTGCACAATTGTGTAGAGAATATACCGAACGGTGATAATTGTGAGTACTGCCAGGCCGTAAAAAACAAAGCATTAGTTTTACATTGCGGCGCCTTGAGAACACTATTAATTTCACATGGTGGTTCCTTAAAAAAAACTAGTTTTAAAACACCATTAAAATCACAATGTATTGCTTTTACAAAACTATTTTTTTTACTTTACCAGGTAAAGCCCACTGAGCTATGTAGCTCCTTTTCAGAAGCGACCTGGCCACAAATGATAGCTCAACGAAGTGGTTTATCGTGTGGAAATGTATAGCTGCCAAATACTCTTTGTAAATGTGGAGGGATAAAAACGGAGGACCCCGGAAAAAAAAATCCACGCGACCACAGGGAGGGAGAACAAATGCCAACTTCAAATACACAGCAGGCATCAGGGTCGTGATCGAACTCCACAACTTCCTGTATATCAGGCGAAGTAGTTAACATCTCGCCACCGTGGCACCCTATACATGCCGGTACTTTAAAAGTACTATCGAGTGCCTTTCATGCACACTAATTTCACACATTGGCTTAAAAAAACACACACCTTAATTTTCACCTTGGTGCATTGAACACGCCAAGTTCATTTCGCACTGTCGCCTTGGCGGTGACCATAAGTTAATTGTTTAACACGTCGCTAAACCGATGTTTACCTTGAGTACGTCCAGAGATATTTTCATCTTCTGAAGAGTCTTCAGCAGCTCCAAGGCTCCCTCCTGCAGTTTCACAGTGTTTGTTAAACTTTTTTGTTCGTAATTTAATAGACTTCTGAATAATAATTTGAATACTTCATTTTGTTGCCATAACTAAAAGACCTATTTCCCGTGTCAATGTTTCAATACTGTATCTATCATACGATGGCCAAACGTTGGTTTATTTGTAGAATACAAACCCAAGGCTCGTTTAACTTTAATTTCGCTCAGCACCGTAAGAGCGGATTACATCAATTCGATGGGTTTTTTTTGGCCCACATCTGTTCCATGTACAGCGCAGTGGAACAAACCTTTGGATCGGTGAGCTTTACATGTATACCCCCAGGCACCGTAATATACTTATAATAAATACACGCATCTCACTTGGCCCGCTATTACACTACATTACCACCGTGGCATTGTTGTCCATCATCTTCTCCAACTGCTCAGCGATTCCCAACACGTCCGTCCATCTTCGACATCGCGTGCCCTTTATTTGTCGACGTTGTTAATGGTCGATGATGATCGATGATGATGTTAATGGTCGATGATGTTAATGGCCCATGTCGATGATTGTGTTAATGGTCGATATTGATCGATGTCGATGTTAATGGTCCATGACTATGTTAATGGTCGATGGTGTTAATGGTCTATGATGATGTTAATGGTCGATGATGATGTTAATGGTCGATTATGATGTTAATGGTCGATGATGTTAATGGTCTATGATGATGTTAATGGTCTATGATGATGTTAATGGTCTATGATGTTAATGGTCTATGATGATGTTAATGGTCTATGATGATGTTAATGGTCGATGAGGATAATGGTCTATGATGTTAATGGTCGATGTTAATGGACTATGATGATGTTAATGGTCCATGACGATGTTAATGGTCGATGTTAATGGTCTATGATGATGTTAATGGTCTATGATGATGTTAATGGTCTATGATGATGTTAATGGTCTATGATGATGTTAATGGTGCATGGTGACAATGGTGTATGATGATGTTAATTGTCCATGACGATGTTAATGGTCTATGATGATGTTAATGGTCTATGATGATGTTAATGGTCCATGACGATGTTAATGGTCTATGATGATGTTAATGGTCTATGATGATGTTAATGGTACATGGTGACAATGGTGTATGATGATGTTAATGGTCTATGATGATGATAATGGTCTATGATGATGATAATGGTCGATGACGATGTTAATGGTCTATGATGATGTGAATGGTCTATGATGATAATGGTCCATGACGATGTTAATGGTCGATGATGTTAATTGTCGATGACGATGTTAATGGTCGGTGGTAGGTGTTGTATTCAGAGCATTGTTTGGGGGTTGTTGCCACTAACTATATCGCGCTGCTGTTAGATGCGAATGCGGTCGACGTTAAACTTTGGTGAGTTTATAACTAGTTTAGTTACGCAAGTGTGCGTGTGTGTATGTGTATATATAACATAGCTTCTCTAGATTTAAAGCTTTCGTGACTGCAAGGATCCATACTTTTTGGTTCTATTGGGTAAAGTCACGTAGGTAAAAAATAAAATAACAAAAATCACGACGTTCCGGCCACAACACAAGCGGCCGAAACGTCGTGTTGTGGCCGAAACGTCGTGATTTTTGTTATTTTATTTTTTACCTACGTGACTTTACCCAATAGAACCAAAGAGTATAACATAGCTTGTCAACCCATACGGTTAACCCGTATTCTTGTACAGGGAAATTGAGTTTGCAGGTCCATATACCGTACAACAGTTTCAATGCGGGCAAACATTGTTTTTTTATATTCTTGGTTCTTTCGGTAAAGTCACCGAAAGAACCAAGAATATGAATCCCTGCAGTCACGAGAAAGCTTTAAATCAAAACATTGTTTTTGTCTTTGTATTTGCTTCTCTCTTGTGATGGGACTTTGTAGTATGAACGTTGAGATGTACAAGGCACACGAGGTGACCAATAGTGTCTTAATTTGTCTGTAATAAGGTAGGTACACTCATAAATAGAGTTAACAGGTATGATGGTGGGGGTGCTACTGGCGTTACTTTACTTTGTTGTGTTGTTTAATAATTGTAATAAACGAGTTGTTACGAGGGTCGTTGTGTGCGACATTTCACACTTTTATTTAAAAAATTTTTATCATATTATCGCACATAAGCGGCGCCCACCGTTTCACCCACACAACATCATTCTATTGACTGTACTCAGTTTATAATGATTAAACAATTTCCCCCTTCTTCATGGCAGGCAAGCGTTAACTGTTTTGTTGGGTTTGTTACTTCAGCGATCTTCGTTACGTAAACACTCAAATCCCAACACGACCTGAACTTTAATTTAGAGGGTGGGGATGTAAAACTTTTCAGTAAGAGTTTAACTGTAAATAGGCAGCGTCGTCTATAATTTGATATTAATTGCGTTTAAAAAAATGCAATAATAAAACACGTAACACGATTTCCGTTTAATTCAGGGGAGGAACACATCGAATACAAAAAAAACCCCATTGTAGTTTAAACTTTTACATGCACGGCACATAATTAGTTTACACCACTAAGCAATACAATGGAAAATATTTGAAGGTTAATGTCGATAACTTTAAAGTGTCACGGTCTTAAGCTACAGGGGGGGTTTGGCAACCTGCGGCTAAGGAGCAGCGTACGGTTCTTAAATGACTCCTTCGTGACGTTACTTATTAAGGGCCGTCTCGTATTCACACATACATTGCGTCTCTCGAAGTATCGAATTTAAAACAAAATATCTCTTTCAAATTACCTCTCTCTTTCCCCTCACGTCTCACGCCGGATTTCACTTTTCCCGCGCTTCCTCGCCCCCCCCCCCCCAAGGTCTCCCCCCCAGCCCCCAACCCCCCCAGCCCCTCACGGCCTCCCCCACGCTCCCAGCCCCCCACCCTCCACCACCCTCCCCCACCTCCCCCACCCCCCAAGGTCTCCCCCTACGCCCCAACCCCCCACCCCCCAAGGTCTCCCCCCCAGCCCCCCACGGCCCCAGCCCCCCACCCGCCCCCACCCTCCCCCACACCCCACGCCCCACCCCCCACGCCCCCACCCTCCCCCAGCTCCTCCCCCTCCCCCCACGCAGCGGTGGCCATTTCCCGCGTAGCGTAGCGACGGATCATGTCGCTCCCGCGCCTCTCGCGTGCCGAGGGACCCGGCGTCCTCCGTCCGCTCTCCGCCGCGGGCAACGACGGCTTCTTCGCTGCGCTGGACCAGCTCCGCCTCGCGCAGCTCCGCGCCGTTTCCACCACCACCTCGTCGTCGTCCTCCTCGCCACAGCAGCCGGCGTTTGTCTCGACCCGCCGCCTCGGACGGTCCGTGAGCGGAATGAGTTCGCTCGGCCAGAATTCACGTCGCTGTTAAGGCCCCGGCGTCTTAAACACAGGTTGCATCAAATTATAATGGGCGAAGATAGAGAACGGGAAGCTTAAATGGGTTTCCTCGCGCCTACGGATTCTCGATGCCCTCGACGTTTTTTTTTTACCTCGACTTTTTTACCTCGACATTCTCACAGTAACGGGGGGGGGGGGGGGGGGGGTGTGGTGTTATAACGGCTTGTGAGAAACTCCACCAGTGAACGGAAAGACGAGGACATTGTACAACACTCCGAGAGAGGGAGCGGGGGGTCATTAAACACGTTTGTGAATGCCTCTTTATATAGCCTGTGACTAGAAAACATTGATTCCACCCACGCCCTTTCTCGCCTCGTTGTAACGTACATACTCTTTGGTTCTTTCGGTAAAGTCACGTAGTTTAGAAAAAATAAATAAGAAATCGCGCCGTTTCGATCACAACACAAGCAATCGTCGTCAGCTGAAAAGATACAGCGGTAGAACTGAACAAGAAAGGGCTGCTGCAACAAGAGGTTATATAGCGGTTTGAAGTGGGCGTCACCCAAGGATAAGTGGGCGGGGTCAGGAGTCCCGTCGCCGCACGCACGCACAGCAGCAGCTGCGTTAAAGGGACAAGAGAGAGATTGGTATGTTAATGTGAACGAGTATAATGGAAAATGAGCCCCATAGTCGCACACGAGCACCGTCGCCGCAGCTGCTGTACGGGGATAGTGTTGCCCCCTTACATGAGTAGGTTTTCTCTGGGTGCTCCGGTTTCCTCCCACTTGTATAATAAACATCTCATCATAAATTGGCTGAAAATATCTTAAAATAAAAACCGACTGCGGGACCCTCATGAAAAAGAGGCCTGGATAAATAAGTCAATTATTTTAATTATTCTTCTCTGAAAATAGGCCAGCGAGGTAGAGTGAATAGTGACTTTACATCTGGCCTCTCTGTGCTGTGATGAAGTCATTGCCCATGTCACCTACATTTCTTTTTAAGGCAGTGTTATTGACGTATGTGTTTTGAGAAAACCTAGATCTCACCTCTCAAAAAAGCCTATGTATACTGTTTTTTTTTTATCAAATGCCCTTCAAATCCCTCTCGTTCATGAAATAAAAACCTCACATTTGGAAAAAAATGCAGTTTCAGTGTTCTCCCCTCATGGTGGTTTTCTGCAAATGGTGCAAACAGCAAAAACATTTTTTTTTCAGTTTATAAGCTTACCTGGTTATGAATTCCTGCAGTCACGAAAGTCAAGATCTTACTTACCTGGTTAATTTATTTTTGAAATGAAGCACTCTTTACCAATGCCCAATTTATGACAGTTGGTATAGTTTTGCACCTTTATATGGTTGAAGATTTATGATTATACGATGGCTATTTAAATATATATTTCATACTATGATTACACAAGTACTGTGAATATTTGAACTCCATTTTATTTTTACCATATTTTATCCATATAAAAAAGTTAAAACCTATTTGATACATTTTCTTAAGGCGACCAGCCCAACTGATTCTTAAATGCAGAAATGTTAGATATGGAAAAATGCACAGTGGGAATGTAATAATGCGGTTTAATTGCACAAAAATATAATGCTATAACCATAAAATCCGATGAATATTAAGGATAAGACTGCGACATTTTACAATGGCAATTTACAATCTGGCTGTGGTGACTGAACCCACTGACATGAGGTTGTCTGCAGGGAGGAGGTGCTGAGGGCTATTGAGGATGTGGCAGGCGAGGTGCTGGCCTCCATCGCTAGGAAGCAGGCGCCATCGCTCTCATTTGTCTACCGGCACAGCTGGGCCACCGTGCGGTGAGCTGCACGTCAACGTGCCCTCAAAGGGTGCTTTCTGGCAATCGCAGTGGCCAATACCTCATTTTCCAATGCACAGGAAGCACCGCATTGTTCTTCCTTTGCAACAGCCGAGCCGTGCTATTGAACATCGCATGCAATGAACGAATTCAGATGTACGTTGGAGACGTGGTGACTGTCTCTTCACAGTGTATTGACATCACATGCAATGATCATGTCATTTATTCCACCTCAAACCAGACTCTGACATCTTGTGAGCCGGCGTAGAGTATTATGGTTTGGCTCTCGCTCAGCATGGCAAATAGCTAGCAGAAATTAACTAGCTTGGCTCAAATGTGCCAGTGGAAAAGGGGTAAAAGAAACACATTGGGATAGAAAATGGCCTGCAAGTTGGCTCAGCAGTAAAGCACATGGCAGGTTAACTGGTTTCATCGTTATTAATACTCATCAGTGAACTCCAGCCTTGCTACCCTACTACCAATACGGTACTTAATATGCATGTAACGCCTCGATGTATCGATTAAAATTGATTTTTACCCTCAGGATACATCATGCTGTGCGTATGAGAAATGATATGCTGTAACATTTAGTAAGAAACAACACTGCAAATTATATTGTAAAACGAGGTTAATGAGAATCAAATGAAAAATGCAGTTCATAAATCTATCAAATCACTAAAAGGGTGAATAGTTGAATGCCAAATACCTAGAGCTCTTTTACATGGCAAACCCACACTTTGAGGAAAATCAACAGGGGTTGTCATGTTGATACGCATCATATCATAGGAATGTGTAATTTCCAACACCGGCTCTCGGCTGTAAACTGGAGATGAGTACTGCCTCATGCTGAACAGAAAACCACCAACACAATCGCTAAGGGTCCCATCTGTAAACGGTAAAATTACCCCATGTTAGCAATGTGCTTATGTGAAGGAACCACCTCACTCGCCGTGTGTCTTCAGATTCAATAAGGAGGTGGGGCTGCAAATGCTGCCTGAACTGGTGTTAAGGGAACAGAAGTTCACAATGCAATGCTCCATGTTGAATTTGTGTGAGTAGTGCACTCACAAGCACATTGCTCATCCAACCCGCCCCTTTTCAGATTTCTTTTTTTAGCCCAGGTGATAACCCGTTGAGATTTGTTGTCTCGAGCAAAATAAACTGAAGCCATATTAGAATATATTTATATATACACACACACCGTAAAATGTATTTACAATTCAGCTGTTTTTTTTATTTACCTCTTGTGCATGATGTTAAAGGGTCTTCAAAGTCTTTACAGCAGATAGCTTACTTTGAGTATCACCATTTCAAAAACATGTCCTGTAATTTAACTGTACGCAAATGTCTTTGCAAAAGTTAATGATATAATGCAGCCCTGGGTCCAAGAGACCCAGCATGACGTCTTTGGTATACTGTACATGTGACAGGCTCTTAGATGACCTAATACAAGACCTGTAACTTATTAGATAAAGGGATCAATAATTAATATTTGGTGACCAAATATACATGAATGCTTATATGGGTCTTGTTGACCAGTCAACTGAAACACTGTAGAGTAACATTACATACAGGGTTGATGTACTGTATTTCCGTTTCACGCTCTCATGATACAATACACTTGGTAGATGTGGCACCGTAAGTATCTTACTACTGTTTTGCCATGCCATACGATGCGTGTGTTAGGTATGACTATGAAAGTCCTGCACATGATTTACAATCTCGTGCAGACCAACCAAAACTCAACTAAGAGGTAAGCCAAGCTTCTATGTGTGCGCATTGATGCATATTTACATGCATGACGAAATAGATGACTGTAAATGAACGAGAATGTGTGCAAGTACCTTTGTGTGTATGTTTGTCTGGTTATGATTTTAGAGACCTCTATTACCAATACCCCACGGTGTTCAGAAGCCAGACCATAGTTAACAATATTGTGGACAACATCGCCTGTCTACTGAGGGTTCCTCGGGACTGTCTGCACGTGGTAAGAGGGTCTACAGTAGTAGCACGGGAGGGGGGGGGGGACCATCGGCTAAGATACAACCCGAAAACATAAAGCACTCTTATGTTGCAATTGACACGATGGACACCATTGCAAATGAGATGTTTCATCTCAAGGGATTATCCAGGTGAAATACTTTATCAAATAAAAAATGATGATACATGACAGGCATCTATGCATCATTTACTCGATTAAAATGCATTCTTACACTCGTCGAATTGTGCGTGTTTGAAATGGTAACTTACAATGTATGCAAAATATATACAAACTATTGTTAATTCTACATTTGGACTAATGGAGTAAAACACCATAAAAACAATACAAATGAGATGGTAAAACTGATATATTCTAAAAATGTAGTTAAATCGCAATCCTGAATTGTGACAATTCAGAAAATTGCTGGGGAGATCAATTATTTACATGTATTAGCAGTTACCCATCGAAGATGCATGTCGCAGGCTGTTTAAAATGTTTGAATCTTCCTTAAAAAGACAAAATTACTTGACAATATCAGCCAGGCACACTTTTATGATGTCCAGCAGTTGTACTCGTATACATTTTAAAATATCACTACAGTGATTTCCCGAGAGAGCTAAATTATTTCTCATGAACAAAGCTTCACACTCATCATACTGGACCACCTACAACTCACAGCTTAGGAACATATCTGCAAGATGAAAACTGTGTTTTGGGTTGGAACTACCTTTAAGGATAACTTCCATCACTCATCAAGGTCCTAGCCCTATCATTCATCCAATATATTTTCTCATTCTAGTTTACTTGCAATTTTAGTCTTAATGTTGGAAAATAAATGATTTTTTGTTATATTCCAATCAAAAGCCATGTAACCATGAACATTACACTGTTTATCTGATACAAACATATGTACACGTGGCCCAAATGGGTTCACTGTGATTGTCCAATGTCCAATTGCAGCAGTCCACCTCCAAGGGCTGTGTGGCCGGCAACCTTTGCTACATCGAGGAGGACGGAACAAAGATCTCCTGCACCTGCAGTTCTAATGTACGCACATATGGATGGGAGGCAGAGTAGGCTGGAGCTTGTCTTCTCATTTGCTCACTGATAGAGGTTGCAGTGAAAGTTGCTGTTGTGTAAAAAAAAAAAACACTGCTGCCACCAGAGTTGATTTTGGCGAGGTGGCTCAGAGGTCAGAACTTTGAGCTAGCATTACTGAGATCATGTTTCCAAATCCAGATGGTTGCCTATGAATAAACCAGGTTCTCAGGTATAGAAAGCTGGTCTTAGCCCGGTCACCTCTGCAATGACTGGCTTAATTGCAGCTCTGAAAAAAATTTGGTTTGACTGTCAAGTGACAACCACTACTCTTGGTGGAAGAGTGTGTGAGAAAGTGCTGCCCCTATTATTTCCACCAGAAGTTACTTGAACTGGATGTTAGCTCACAGGTGAAGGTAATGGGCATGTTGTTGGGAATACCGTCATAGCCATGCATGGGGAAGGGCAATGTTGGAGTTAGGAATAGGGTTAGGGGCTACCGATTGGCAACATAAATATTTTCAAGAGCAGCAGTGCCAATGTCCACCACAGATTTTGTTTCATGTGAAGGTGGTCCAGTGTTGAAACTTGTCACTGTGTGCCGATTACAGGGAATGCTGGTGTCTAATAATGTGCATGGAATGCACAGTATCCTTTAATGCACAGATTATGTTGGACTTCCAAATACACGATTGCCTGTTTCATCATGTTGCGTACGTCTTTGGCCTTTTACATAGTAGTACAGCACCTTTGTAAATCCACTGCTGAATGAAGGCCTCCCCACACTATGCAAATCATGGAGGTAGAGTACAAACATGTCCTCTCATGCCCGCAACTTAGCAGTACTGTACTAACACACAATAATAACTAACACACACTTCTCCTATGACTAATATCCGAACATACGAATCCAGAATATTTCAGGGGTGCCGACTTAGTTTGACAATGGCATTGCACGATATGGCCACAAAGATAGATTTCTGGAATATATTCTAATTATATCTCAACACACTACAGAAACTATTAAGACATCCTTCCCACACAAATAGCCTAAGACTAATTAATCTTTATGGGTGCATCCAGCTCAAATATCCATGAAAAAAAGACATCGGTATTGGTGAGCACTTCACATGCACACACATACACGTGTGCACTTGCATACACACATGCGTGTGCATGTACGCATGCACACGTAATGTAAGCGCGGACCTGCCTCCTGAGCCTCGTAGACCTGACGACACAGGCACGGTTCGTGCTTGTTGTGGAGAAGGATGCCACCTTCCAGCACCTCCTGGATGATGACTTCTGCAAGCGATTCCACCCTTGCATCATGGTTACGGTACCAAATCTTACAATCATGGCAGCAATAATAAAAGCCAACACACAAATACGGCACACTCACTGAAATAAAATAATTATGGAAAATCTAAACATTAATCTTAAGATTGATATACTGGTAAGGCAAGCGGCCCTAAAAAATAAGATTGAAAACCTTTATTACGTAAATTCAAATCACTTCCCTGCTCCGGTTAATGGCATGATGACTGTTGCTGGTGGTTACCTGATGCTGGAGCCAGTGTAATCCATGTACTCTCTACGGAAACCAGGGGAAAGGCATCCCGGACCTGAACACTCGACTCCTGGTACGAAAGCTATGGGACACATTCCACATCCCCACCCTGGCATTGGTGGACGCAGATCCTCACGGTAAAAGGATGTGCTGAATTGCCCACGACATCTTGTTCAGCTGATCTGGTTGGTATATACGGGTGTCCCATCATCCACGCTCTACAATAGGGGTTAGGGGCTGAAAAATACTGGAAAACATCAGTGCATACTTGAAGGTGTTTTAATGTTCCTGCTGTCCAACTGAAACAAAATATGTAAAGTTTCTTGAAGAATGAGTGCTAGGCAGTGTTGTTTAATTCAAGGCTATTAGTATAAATTACATTATTATGGTGGGAGTCAATTTATCCTTAACACAACAATTGCTGTTGAGTTGAATTTGACACTAAGTGTTGCTCATTTTACTGACTATATAGACGGGCTGACTAACCAGACCAATGCATACTCCCATCAGCATGAGAAAAGTACCTTCATTAAGTACATTTCTCGTATCATAACTCGGTTGTTAAAGTACAAACATGAACAAGATTTTTCAAGTCAAAGTTTATTTTGTTTCTACACAGTATAACATGCTGCAGTCTGAGCTAAGTATGAACATTTTAACAAAGTTTTGTTTTTCAGGATTTGAAATTATGACAATCTACAAGTATGGGTCCCTGGTAAGTGGATAAAAAACACATTTAACTTAATTAACATGACCACTAGACTTTCCAACCTCCGAGGATTTATTCGAAGGCTGGGAAAACTAGACATTAGATACAGGTCAAAATGAAGACTAAGAATATAAAAATGATTTTTTTTTATCAAGCATCACCATTTCGGAAGTTAAGAAAAACTACTAAACTTGTACGTTTCATATTCAGCTTAACCGAAATACACTTTTTCAAAAAAATGATACAATCTTTTGCTACACTTCACTCAGTGTGACCTGTAGGTACATGTAGGTACACCTAGACATACTCAGCTGCTATTAAGATTGGGTGGAACACGCTGTAATAAAATAGTGAATAACTCACACGTGCTAAGTTCACGTCATGGTGCAATTATTTAAATCAAGTTAATTGTATTAAGCGTTCACTCTTTGTATGTACGAACCTCTTTTGCACTGTACGTAGCCAACCATGCTAATCGGAGGTGCGGACACTTGTGCCCCATTAAATCCGGTTCCAATGAGCAAATAGTTGCACAACTTGGTTGCATGTAACTGAATTGCTTATATGTGGACGTCTCTGAAACAAGTTGCTAGCAGTTACACAATCTGTTACTTTTAGCAGAGGCAGACTCGAATTTCAAGCACTCTGGTCAGAAATTTGTAGCAAAGTATTTAATCACGTGTACATTTGCAAACTATAATTGGTTATTATAATCCTGATATGGGTGGAGGTGGAGCTAACCATAAAAAGGGTAGGGCTATGCTGCAAAAGACATGGCCAGGTGCACTTTAGCCACTCAGATGTGGAAAAAGCAGTTGGAAAATATTAAGTTGTGCAATTTCTGCTGCAATCTTGCACAAATGATCACTCAGGCATGGACTCAGCTTAAGCCTGCTTCTGGCTAACCCATACTTGTCCTGTTGTCCTTACAGTCCATGTCCTTCGATGCTGCCAACCTAACTGTGCCAACCCTTTGCTGGCTGGGTGTGCTACCCTCTGAAATAGAGAGGTGGGTCCCACGACTTGGCTTCATTTCACGTCTTGGGATTGTATCTATTACTGGGTGGAGGTAGATGATTTACCATCAACCCCCTTTTCAAACTGTCCCAATGTACTGGCCAGATCTGTCACCAAGTCACCTGGCCACTAAAAAATAGTTTTTTTTATCCAAGAAAGTCTCACCGAGTCTTAACACTCCTTTTCAGAAGGGTCCTGTTTCAGAATGTTTGGATACAAACTTCATAATTTAGTATGGTAAGAAACCAGGGTACCAGGAGAAAACCCATGCATACTCAGAGAATCTCACTCAAACACCACACAGATAGGTCAGCAACCTGTTTTCTGGACTGTATCATACTGCCATGTCCTCATCTCCATGCAGGTAGATGTCTCATGTGCAAGATTTGTGCATGATATATACCAAGTATCTTAAGTATAGACGTGCATTATAACCAACTACACTCAGCAACTACGCATATTCAGGTAAAATGCACTGAGTGTTGGTTATTGGTGAGCACCTGTGTGTGTCCGTTAAGTGGGGAGCGGTAAAGTGTAGTAGTTGGCACACTGCACGACGAACACAGAAATTTGAGTTGGATTGACGCTAATGGCCAGAAATCGATAACGAATATCTCAACCAGTCCTGGACCTCACCTAGGTTGACACAGCCATAAGTACCGAGTACAGTGTGTAAACATCATCACTGGGGAGATAAAAGGTGGACAGGCGTGGTGTAGACCACACCATCTTAATATGCACCATGCTCCCCTTGATAGGTGCTCACGAACCGCATTTGCCTCAACAGCATGTGAAATGCTAGATGGGGGATATTTATCTTTATTCCCTGCTCCACAGGTGGAACATTCCCACAACTGTGCTGCTGCCACTCTCTGACAGAGACCAGAGGAAGCTGCGGGGGCTGCTGGGCAGGCCCTTCATGGAGCTGCACCCCGAGTGGCGGAATGAGGTTAGAAGCTGACCTCAGCGTCCCTCACAAACTGAAACTCGTGCCATGGCTACGAGCTTGCGTGATGAGCAAGCGTGTGTGCACAGGATTCCTTCACTGGTGGATTGTCAAACTGGATAGGGGTTTTCTAAAACTTTTAACCTGTTGCATAAGACACCTTAAAATTTACCATTAAGCTAAACAAATATTTGACTGCGTTCGCAGTGGTACACATGAACGATTTGTCATCAACACTGCCTTCTACTAAATCAACTTAGCCTGAAATTACCATTTGCAAATACCTCCCATAGGTTGACTCAGCTGGATATCAGTCCTTGGTGAAGGCCTCCGCCAAGTTAACGCAGCCTGGAATTACCACCGGAATGACCGCTGATAGGTTAATTTAGCCATAATTGAAACCAAGTCAGTGCTTTCTCGAGGTCCAACACAGAATTACCACCAGGTGAAAACTTCGACTGAGTCAATGTCACACACCAGCGATCGCACCTGCCAGGTTGACTCAGTCTGAAATGAGCGCGTCTTGTATTTCAGCTGGAAATAATGCAAGCACGTGCCGTGAAGGCAGAGATGCAGGCACTGGAGTCGGTCTCGCCAGGGCTACTTAGCCGTTACTACCTGCCCAACAAACTGCAATTTGGGGGGTGGCTGTGAGCAACTGCATCCGAGGTGGCTCTGGGCTGGGTGTAGCTATTGCAGGAACAAACCCAAAGGAACAAACATGTTTATATTTTAAAAGTACATTTGCTAGGTTTATGAAAAAAAGAATACGCTAGGTTATTTGTGTCCACTTGTTTTGAAAGATTCTCCAGAAAGAAAAAAAGATGACATTAAAGATAACTTGCTCTTCTCTGCTCTTATGAAGTGCTGTGAAACATATCGGTAGATTTGTGCCATTGTGAACTTTTATATCAATTATGATATAAATTAATCAAAATGTCAGGCATCTTATTTGTGGACATCTTGGATTTGTGTAAAGTATTTCTTTACCTTGATCGCTATGTGTCCTTGGAGAAGACTGCGACATCACTTTCATACATCTAAATACATCGGCGCAGCAATATCACTGGAATCTGAAGGAATATCTAAACTTACTTTTCAAGAAATGTTCTTATTCATGAAGCTTTAAACTCATGTTGGATAATCCAACACACACCCTAGATATGCATCAACAGCTGTTTGAGTTTGCGTTGCGTCTTCCTTCAAAGATCCTGGAACAACACGTAATGTGGATTAAGTCACATTTAATTTAGAATGCTGTGGTTATAATAAAACGGTGATATGACTTAAAACGTGACTGCTTTGAGCGATCAATGAACCAAGATAATTTTAGTCAAGAGACAACTTCGTCACTGCTGCTCGTACAGTCACTAAATGTTTTACTCCAATCCTGTTAAGTATTTATGTTTATATATTTGGCTGTCAGACGATGGTCTCCTGTGGCTTTGTGTCCTACACCTGCCAGATGTTTGTGCAGACCTCCTGTCTGGTCTGCTGTGTCCACAAGAGAACACGATTCCATCAAATACAAATGTCCCAGGCATGTGGATCCTAATATTCAAGCTGTTGTTTACCTTCTGAGTTAGGAGTCTGCAGCTGCTGTATCGCTCACTCAGTGCTCGACATTTTTTCCAATAAATTAGTTAACAGCTCATTATTTAATTTATATTTATAGCTCAGTGGCTCGGCTAAATAAAGCGTCGTATGCGCTCACACCCAACTCGAGTTGTACAGCTTTCCTGAAATGTTACGCATGCTCTGACCCTATTGTGTATGTTTACCAGAACCCTGTGTTCCAAGGTTCAGGAAGGTTGTATGTGCATCTGTTAACCATGTCTCAGTGAGACTACATTTACCATGGTTCATTTATGTGTTTACCATCATATGACGAGTACAGCAAGGGGTATTCCTTTAACCAGTGCTTGTAGATGGATCCTCCACGCTGTAGAGGACACACATACATACTCCGTCACACAAAAAAACTACAAGACAAAGATATTCTCTTTATCCCAGACAAGTTGTTGAAGTAAATAAAAAACAATGTCGCATATCCAATCATCACATATATGCCCTGACCATTTAACTGCCCACGAGTGCAGTAATTATGTGTGCTGTGACTGTCATTTTCTTCGGATGTTCACAAATCCAACCTTTTAATATTCAGCAATGTATTCTTAGCCTCGCATACATTTAATTCTCAAACACTGTATTTCCCACGATTAAAGCAGTTTGTGCTTTATTTTTGTCCAGTGGCCTATTTGTGCATGGATTATCCATCATTCTATATATCTTCACACATCTGACATGTTCACATATCCACCTATACCTCGGTCCCCAGTGAGTCAGATGTGACATATAGTGTGGTAAGCAAGCACACCTTAAAAATATGCCAAATAACAGCAGTGTAGCTAGCACCACATCATAGCGATACATCACATCATCAATAAAGGAATGTAATGATTCACCCTACTATGCTGCCATGAATTGCCATACGTCGGGGTCACAATTTAAGAGTTAAAAAAATGTTGGTTGTATAATTTGTACTGTTTCAATGTTATTGTCTGTTCCGTATGGTCACCCTCGCCTGTTCAATTATCCTAAAACAAATATTTTCATATAAACTGTACAAACAGTAACTACAATACATTTAAAACAAGCACAATTTTATGCATATCATAAACACAATACATTTGAAGCATTACATACCAAACATCAAGTCCTCATTTTAGTCTGGCACGGTTTCTTACGAGATAAGTGGAAGAGCAAGTGTCTAATTATTTGCATTTTTAACAAAAGGAACATTAGGGGCCGTCCATAAATGACGTCACGCACCTAGGGGGGGTCAAACATTTGTGACGATGTGTGACGAGGGGGGGGGGCTTGAGAAATGTGACGTCACATCAAAATGCGCAACTTTAAATAAATATAGACAAACACGTTCTACTTAATTAAATAGACTTTTAAAGAAATGTTTTCTACTACAACATCAGAGTGCAGCGCCACGTTAAATACGCACTACAATGACTAGTTGAAAGCGATTTGAAGCATGTTTAATTTTTTTTGGGGGGGGGGGGGGTGACGTCATATTTGAGGGGGGGTCTGACTTTTTGTGACGCTGTGACGAAGGGGGGGGGGGTCAAAAATCGTCCAAAATCGCGTGACGTCATTTATGGACGGCCCCTTAACAGCAAAGCGGTACCAGAACCAAAGCGTTATAAATAGGTCTCGATCTCACCATCACTCCTCATGACTGCATTGAGCAATCCAGCCATTTTGTGTCTTCTAGGCATGAAGCGGATATGTAGGAATTCATGATTTATTATGTGTTGTGTATGTTATGGGTTCACGTAACCACTGCAGACAGAGGTGCTACATTCACCGCAATGTAAAACATGTATAATAATACTTATTTAACAAAAATATGTTTTTATCGTATTGTGATCCTGAATCAAGATAATGTATCTAATAATGAGGGGGGCAAATCATTAATGTGGGAGCGTGCGGATATTGTGGGGATTGGAGTTGAGAAAAATTGGTTTACAGTCATCAGACGCTCTCAGCTAGATGTTGTGTGCCTCTGTTGCCTCTCGCACCTGCTTTCGCTGGGTTGGTCCGGCCGCTCCCAAACAACGTGCAATGGTGGTCTCTCCATTCCCTCCACAAACCCTGCACTCGCACCATCCATGGCCCCTGGTTGCCCATCTGCAGCAACAACGAAAGCCTTTAGGTTATGTAGGTGCATCTACAAGGCTGTACCAGTTTGCGTCTGTGAGTGTACATGTGTGTATGCACGTGTGAGGGTATGTAGGGAAGCGCAGGTGCCTATGGGGGTGTATGCGTTGAGCCGCTGGTGCAGGTTGCGCAGCATGTATTTCAGGTGGGCAGTGGTGTCACGCTGCTCCATGCGCAGCAGGTCCAGCTGCCAGTGAATATCTAGCACCTCCTGGCACACCGATGACAGAGAGCCCGATGGAAACGGCCTGCGCACACACGCACAGGCATACATACGTGCAAACACTTGCACACAGATACGTGCAAACACTTGCACACATATACGTGCAAACACATGCATTGACCCCATGAGCTACTCCATTCCCATCTGGTTCTGTGGGCTTGGAACCAGGGACTAACCGGGGAGACTGAGGCCTGGTGGTGAAAGACATCTCCTTGGTCCCTCCGTTTGTGTGGTCATCACGCACGTACTCCCAGAGTTCCTCCAGACCATCCTGCCAGAAAAAAAATAATTAAACATTGCATCAGGTCGTCGTTTGAGGGTAATTCAACATTGAGAAGGCCCAGGAAATGTTTATACCACTTGCCCCAGACCAGCGGTAATTTTTTTGCACATATCCATAAAGTGTATTTTTATCTTAATCACTGATGATTGAGTGATGACTACGACTCCCCATAAAAGATCAAAGCATGGCGATTACAAGTCTCAATGAAGACGCAAACTACAATAATTTAGGAACATCACTGAGAGGATCAAAAATGGTAACTGGCAATATATGTGCGTACAACGGTTCACCAACTCACTAATGGGCTGACCTGATATTATCGGGAGAAATAGTGCGCCTCACACTAGCATTTAATAACAAAGAGTGGCCTACATTTTTGACTGTTTTAGTTAACAAGACTAAAAATAAACAAACATTAAAACTGTCAATTGTGCTAAGATGGAATTCGTACTCGGGTAACTGAGATTACAGTGCAATAAGCAAATGATTGCACAAATGCACCGCACACATCTACACACGTAACAATGTATACATGTAGGCTTCTACACATAATACAATAATTCACACGCAGCACTAGCATCAGTGACATGCATACCTGGATTTCACACGCTGCCGTGAGCAACTCGAATTCTGTCTGTACTACACTGCAATAAAAAACAACAACACATGAGTCTACGATATGCTTTTGTTATGTTGTCAGACGTTTTGCTCTATATGCTGGGAGCTTCTTTAGCAAGTGAAACATTGGACATCATGCTGAACAACAAGCGGTACAACCCTAAATCAGAGAGCTATACGGCACAACCGTGAAAACTTACACACTAATAAATATACGAGTCACTCAGAGAATGACAATAAGGTATTATTGCCAGTGCGGCCATACACTTTCAAAAATAAAACTTGTGCTGCTTTAGCAATCAGGGTAAATTTGTCCAAAGGTCCAAGTGGCCAGCAATAAACAGCGCGATTTTCATAAATTATATTTGTGATAGGCGCCAATAATTTTCTTGAATTGATTCTGCTGATATTAATCTTGAGTGGATTGATGCCGGCAGGGGATCCTGATGGCGCATGACGGCTGGCGTCACCCCTCCAGTGTGTGTGGGCATGCCTTCGTCTGCTTCCGATTAATTTTTAGTTGATAACGGTGATGACAATGTTGAAATGTTGACGCTGATGACATTTTAGAGACGAGAGGAAAAGCGGCGGGCGAAGGTGGTAGGGAGGCCATGCGTGCGTGCATGCACCGTTCGTGGCCGTAGAAGGCGTGGAGTGGCGAGCATTCGTTGTGCAGGAACCGGCGAGTGACCTCGCGATCCCCGCGGAGCAGCACGCTCTTCTCTAGCCCCAGCAGCACGCTGGCGCGCTGCATGTACATATTGGCACGCGGGTCCTCGCTCACACTGCACTCGAACACGCACCGTCACCACTAGTGTACCATGGTATAGCGGTGATACAATATACCATGCAATGACGTCCGCGATAATTGAATTGTCCGTTTTGCTGCATATCGTTATACCATGATTATCATTGCTCATTGAATTATCTTTTAGATATTTTATTTCCCGAAGAAAATAAGTACGAAATAACAAACCCCTAACAATTAATGTTCAAAATAAATAGCTATTATTTAGTGCTTTGCTAAATGTTTTGGCAGTCACTGATAGCATGGTTATATGAAGTAATTTTCTGTGTAACTGACAGCTTGTGTACTTATACATAGGTTGTAAACTTGCAATGATTAAAATATTTGTGGCAGGCTTATGGCAATTTAACTGTAGTTGAATAACTCAAGATTTTAAGTAAGAAATTCATTGTGATGCTCTTTTGTGTGCAGATCATTGATGATCAGGCTGCCACCATCAACTCACTGCACTTAATCATGCTTATTAGGTGTAGTGGTCACTGCAACTTGTACCAGTTCAGATATCAACTGCAGATGTTAGCCATGTCCAGTAATCTAACGCAAGTCCAAGGGTTTGTCGTGCAGTGCGTTAACCACTGCGCCACCCCGAATCATAACAATTCATTAAATCGCTGGCAGAGCAGTGGGGGCTGTTGTTAGAAGCAGAAATCAACATTGTTGAGGGCACGGTTGAGTGGGTTGAGAGCACGGGGGTAGGACCTCTCGTAGGCGTCGTTGAGCATAGCCACGAAGATGTTGAGACAGACGATCGAGACGAGGCCCACGTAGGAGACGACGAGCAGCGGGGTCATGAGCGGCGCGTAGGCCAGCATGGCCAGCGCCTCGTATTCGTCTGTGAAGCCCAAGCGCAGCACTTGGAACGCCGTCATGTGGCCCGATGCCAGGGTCTGGATGCCAGAATCTACGCGACGTGCCAACATCGTCAGCGATGTGCTTATCATCAGCAGCCTGACAACGACCACATCCTCATCTTTGCCACTGACACGCGAGCATCGTGAACAGTAATGACTCCGAGTGGTATGCGGAACAAGATAATGCGACCACAAGCTTAGGAAATTTATAGGTAACATTTTCACTGACGCGCGAGTCGGGCACATTGCATTTGAACGGGCTTTCCCTCTCTCTGCGCAATAAGGTTATCAGCCGCTGTGACGTCGCCAGCGAGAAGTGAGGCTCACTGTGGAACACGAGTAGGAACGCGATGCTGTACGGCACAAAGAACTGCAGGAGGAGGAAGAGGAGCTTGAAGAAGTGGACGGCCATCTTGCCCAGCATCACGATGAAGGGGCCGATCACCCTGTGGCTCGCAGTAACCCACACATGTTCACACACATCACAGAAAAGATCCTCTGCATACCCTTTTACGGTTAAAGTGACGTTAGTAAGCAGCTTTTGAGGCAGGGACAGCACATGAACCGGTGGTGCAGTCGACACCACGCGAAGCCACCCATGTATCCCTATTACGGATGTTTTACAGAATGCACCATGTACCCATTTTAGACCGAGTCAACCAATGGGAGGTCCAGGACCGGTTCAGATATCACTCTCCACTGATGTTAGCCCAACCACACATACACCTACCCAGGAACTCCTGTGAAACTGATTTGTCCACTGACTATTCAGTGGTCGTCTAAGCAGTGACTGCTGTTCTTGCAATGAGTGAGAAGACATCTGCCTTGGACCCCAAGCGAGCACTTTTTAAGGCCGACACAACGTAAGGGGGTGTGGCCAGAACGATAGAAATTTAACCAAAGTCAACGGGCTCATAGTGAGGTTAACTAACCACTATACAACCGTTTTCCATACACTTAAAAATAAATGCAGACAAATTACACATCACACACAGACACAAGCGCGTGTGTAAACTGGGTCCCACCAGAAGGACCGCATCTGCTTGAGGTTGCACATCCACAGCGGTACTATTGCCACGGCTGCCAGGCGCACGTGGGTGCGAGCGAGGGCGGCGCTCGGCCCTATCACGTCCGCCACATGTGTCACTAGCGCTGCCAACAGCGCCAGCAGCACCACCCAGTCCAGTACGTTCCTGCAACGGGGGACACAGGCACATAGCGCACACACACACACAGGTGAAACACGGGCGGTTGAGAGACAGGTAGCCGAGGCACGTTGGGAGAAACAGGCAGGTGAGAGATATGCATACAAACAGAAGGAAATGTATGTCTGTGTATCCCTGTTTTCTTTGTAGCCATGAGTAAGAGTTTGGAACAAGATTGTGTGTACTGGGAAGTGGTATATGTATGAGAGATAGGGGAGGTGAGGACATAGAGGCATACTGTGTGGATCCGAAAAATATGAAAGAAGTGGGATGGGAGGAGGTAGGGGTCGCTGTTACGGGAATCGAACCATTGACTCGACACGCGGTGGGTCAGTAGGGAGCGCACTCACTGCTGTCAACCCAGCCTTCCAGCAGAGAGCTCACCAGTAGTCCAAGAAGTAGAAAGCCTGTGATTTTCTCAGCTTCTTCATCTGGTTCTCAAGGTAGATGCTCTCCTGAATGCAGCGGTAACCAAAGACAATTTGTACACCCAAAATACATCCAGGATTAATGCAGTGGGATAGCTATCGAGTGTGCAGGCGGTGCAATTTCACTGGGGCACATGGGCCAGTCTATATATCAATGTGTGGGCAAATTGCACAGGGGGCGGCCACAATGTATTCCTTATACCAGGGCCCATAGGAAACAAGCTAGCACATTATACACATTGGGACCTATGGACATATCAAATATATTAAAGAAACTAGAAAATCTAGACACTGGCACATTATAACACACTTGAGTACAGCACAAGGACACAAGATGACAATTAAGTCCATTGTAGACTGGGCTGTTGGGCTGGCCTGCAGGATTCGGAACGGAACGAGCACCCCCTGAATCCTCTAACCTCAGGCCAGCACGGGTGGCAGAAGCGGCGGTCGCTGCTGATCTCCTGGTACCGCAGCTCCTTCCAAGCAGCGAACGAGCGGCGAGAGGAGAGGAGCTGGCGCGCCTCGAGCACCATGCGCAGCAGAGCGTGAGACACGCACCACAAGGCGAGCGCCACCCGCCACCAGTCCTGGCCAAACCAACGGCTTTGTACGTTAACTTAACGGCTGCTGCCAAACGTTAACATGTCAACTCATACAGCTCTCCTCCAATGGGTTTTCAAATTGTAGTGTGTCGTTCAGCACGATATCCGACGCTTATCTCTCTCTCCTCTTCCGTCAGTTTGACATTTCATTCAATGTGTTGGAATGGAAGAAGCTCCAAGCAGGTCGAGCATAATGAGACTGAAGAAGCTCCCAGCACATGGAGCCGACCGTCACAATTCATGCCGAACAACACATTGCACAACCAGAAAACACATCACAGAGCTGTGGTTACATCAGCATTCACACCAGCGAGCTACAGCATGACTTTCAACATTTTGCTCCACGGGCCCGGACTAAAGAAGCTCTCAGTATGTGGGGATAAATCTCAGACATAATGCGAAAAAAGCATGCAGTATATCCCGCAAACACATCATAGTGTGATGGCTACATGCAAGTGTTCATGCTAGTGAGCTGTGGCAAGCAGGTGCAGTGTGATGCGGGGCGGCCGTGCCTCAGGGAAAGTGTAGACGTGGCGACGGGGCCACGGCACGGCCACCAGCAGCACCATCCACGTCACGATGAACGCCATCTTGGTGGTCAAGGTCCAGCAGTTTCCTTTCCTGTGGGCGCACACATACACACATCACCATCGCGTAAATAGACAAATACATATGTTTATATACAATAATGCAAGAGCCAATTGTCGGTGTATAATCAGTGCTTATTATACATGATGTGTACATTTCAGGAGTGTATATTGCATGTCATGACATATGAATAATAAATATGGACATTGACAAAAAATCGGAATCAAAAATTGATAAGCACACCATGAGAGGAACACAAGGATTAGAGAACATACGCAAGTTAAGAGGAACTAAATTGTCAATAAAAATAAGTTGGCCAATAGTGGCTGCAGGGGTCACATGAATCCATTACATACAACACACAAATTGAATAACATTTATTATTTAAACCATTATTTATGCAGCATAAGCTTAAGATATTATATTAATTGATAAATCAATAAGATTGTCACACCTCTCGGAGACACCGTCAGACTGGAGCCTCACAAAAGGAGAGAGAAACCTCTTAGATTAGATTATATGGAACACTTACAGGCCGTATGCATTCCACTTGACGTCGATGAACATGCGTACGACCGGGTGGTCCACGACCTCATACAGCCGTCTCATCACCACGAGCTCCAACTATCAACATCGACAAGGCAGAGGGGGAGGAGTGGAAAGGCACAGTGGCAGCAGCAGGAGAAAAATTGTGGTAATACAGGCACTGGTACACCCCTCACCTGCGCATGAGAAATATGAGTGGTGGCGCAAGATGTGAATTAGCTATCACACTGCAGACAGCAAGGCTCTGTGTCAAAGGTCCAAGTCAACGTTCACTCCTCTGCTGCTCTCAATCTGGAAATCCCTTTCCTCCAGCCATCCGTGCTGTCAATTTAATTTAATTGATCTCATGGTCTATCAGCTAGCTGCCTGTTAACACGTGTATATTATTTATTATTTAAGACTTATTTATTGCTGGGAACTTCTTCTAACGTGACGCAATACGTGGTTCTAGGAACCCTTTTTAAGCAGGGAACATTTTTAAAAGGGGCAATGCCCAAGCTTAAAGTATTCAATGGGTGTCACTCTCCTGAGCTCAAGTCTACTGCCAGTTGAAGGGGTCAGTGTGTGGTGTTGGTCGCAGCTCCAAGGAGTTGTACATAACTCATCCACAAGAAGATCTTAAATAACGCTTTGTGGGATTAGATGCATCGTAAATTTCTAAAGGTGTGGTCTATTGAATTGAATACGCTGGTGCCAATGCTTACCAAGCTCTGAACAGGATTTTCTTGATCATCTGTATATAAAAACAAAAATAATAACAAGTCAGTTCCAGTGGCTGCATGTGTATAGTTTCACCCTATAGGCATTAACCAATGTTGTTTGTTGGGTGTGTTTGGCTGTATTTTATTAATGGCTCTGTGCAAGCGGTGCAATGATGCATCGATTCAGTGTTATCGATCAATAAACGCATGATATATGCATCGAATGAGTCACGTAAAAATGGAAGTCTTTGATTCGTATGCAATGTAAAAAAAAAATCAAGTTGTTACACACCGGACACGCATGATGATTTTTAAACATGTCCCATGTGAAGTATACAAAGCTCGCTAATTGGAATTTAGCTCCTCTTCATGGAAGTCAAACACGAAATCTTTTCATTTCAATTGGCACTCTATACACCTCGTTGAATGTGTTTAGCAGTCATCAGACACGTGCAGTGTGCAAAAACTCAGTATGTATTTAAAAGGAGGTAAGCATTGGTCAGTGAATGGTGGCACAGTAGTCAGTGCACTGCCCTATGAAACCTTTGTTCAATTCCTGCCTATGGTTAACATCTGTTGGAGATTTATACGTGAACTGGTCCTGGAACACCATTCACCAATCCATACTCAGTAGCGTGGTGAAGTATGGTCAAACAACCCGCCACAGCCAACACGGCGTGGAGAGGCCTTCATCCAGCAGTGGAGTTACAAAGAGCTCTACACAAAATATGTTATTACTGCAAGATGTACAGTGGTGGCTTGCAAGAGACTGTCTTTGGGAAACCCTGTATTAAGTGCTCGGTAAAATAAATACCACTGGGTGATAAGGGATAGCTCGGTAGGACGTTAACAGAATAATATAGAATTTCCACAACTAGCTCTTGACTAAACAGCAGAGGCCTCACCGGATTCTGTCGGCTCCAGTATTCTGAGGTAGAAGTATTGCTTCTGGTCAGACTCCTTTATCACGCGTAGCTGGTTCAGCGCTAGCAGCGCCTGATGGAGACACAGGCAGCGGGCAAATTCTTTTTTAAAAACACCGACGGCACTTGAGATGAAAAAATAGCTGCACCTTGTACTGGTTTCCATTCTGACAGCGACAGCTGCCTAAAATAAATGTGAAAACTTGGGAAGAAACACAGAGAAGCCACAGACAAAGCAACACATACAATTAGAGAACGTTGTTTAACAATCATTAAGTTATCATTGTCTATGCTAATTCCTTTGTCAAGGCGCTTTGTTCCTCTCACACAGCTTAAAGGCCGTATCTGAACGTGGCTCTTTCACTCCAGCGCTGTCCTACCAGACAGTCTCGCCCCCTTCACCTGATGAAGGCCGCTTGTGTTGTGGCCGAAACGTCGTGAGAATATTATTGTGTTATTTTATTTTATCAATTTATTATTTTATTATCATTCTACGTGACTTTACCGAAAGAACCAAAGAAGATGAATCATTGCAGTCACGAAAGCTTTAAATCGAAATTGTTTAACTTACTTAAAAAATCTAAATGTTTAATTCAAGGTATAATTTGACTCAAGTTATTTCCTAAATTACGAATATGGAAGTCCAAATTTGAAATAAATAGGGAACAAGAGTGATGGCTCAAAAATAATCATGCAGGGCTTGTGACAGTGGTGATGGATTAGTGGTAGCAATAGCAGTGGAGGTGGTGATGGTTGTGGTAATAATAGCAGCAGTGGTAAAAGAAGCAGTAGTGGTGTTGGCGCTAGTATTCGTGATGACAATGGTTGTGGCACTGGTAATAGCAGTAGTCGTGGTGATGAAAGTTGTGGTAGTTGTATCGGTGATGGCAGTGGCAGCATTATTAGCAGTGTTTAAAGTAGTACTAATGGTGATGGTAACAGTGGTAGTAAAAATGACGCAGTAGTAGCAGTAGGGGTTATAGTGTCAGTCGGAGCAGTGGTGGTGCTATCAGTTGTCATGGCGGTTGTTGGTGGCTGTGCTGGTGTCACCATGTCAGGAACGGTGTCGAGAATGACGCTCAGGCAGGATGTCCTCAACGAGTCCTCGGCACCAGCGTCCGCCCCCACGCTCAGCAGCAGCTGCACCGTGCTGCGCTGGCCTACCCAACATTTTAGTTGTGGTTGTGTTGTTAAAAAAGTCTCAAGCACAGGAGAAAATGAGGACTTGAGACAGAATTAGGATAAGAATTAGCATGTATAGGGTGCTTACATTTCTCAGCAACTCATGAGTGCCGCACATCTCTGCCCTTTGCAGTTTAGCCAAGGGGACCCCCAGTGGCAGCTGTACAAGTGCATCACAACATATAATCAGCACTGGCCTGTAAATCGGCATGAGTTAGCCAGTAGGGAGAGATGGTGTTATGTGGATTTTCCCAATTCAGTAATTTTGTGAGTAATTTACCAAATTTGGACCGTGAAGCTAGTAAACATGGCCTACCATTTTTTTTTAATGTCACCAGTTCTATAACGTCCACTGTGCAGCAGACGGGTGTGTATTCATGGTTAATACGTCTCGCAGCATTAAGCAGAGCAGCCGCTGGGCAGGAACCGCAAGCCTCCGCAACAAGCGGCAAACACGCTACCACATGTCAGCTAATTTCCCATCGACAAAATTCGACCCATCGCGGTGGTGCTGGCGGACCTACCGTACTTGGCGGCGAGGAAGAGGGGCGTGCGAGCGCGGTAGTCCCGGGCGTGGATGTTGGAGAGGCGCCGGTATAGACACTCGAGGGCGGCTCGGGCGCCGTGCTTGGCGGCGTAATGAGCGGCCGTTTGAAGCTCCTCCCACGTCGCCGCCTCTACATCGCCTGCCGGAGCCAAAAACCACACACGGCCGCCGAAACTCTTTGCTTAGGTCAAGGTCGATTTTTGTACACGGACTTAAAGGAAGACAAAAACTAACATGTTGGAGATACGTTCAGTAACGTCGTATATAAAAATGAGTGATATGTAAGCAACTTTAGAAAATGACAGTTAAACAATGCACAAATAAAGGTTAATGGAACCAAATAAAGTGCAAAGTGCTCTACAATAGGGAATATGCCTTACTGTACTTTACAAGTAAGTGAATGGTAGTGGGTGGCAGCGGTGTCAATGGTGGTGGTGGAGGTAGCGGCACGGTAATGGCGGTGGTGTTAGTGATTTGCGGCAGTGTTGATGGCATCAGCGGCGATGGAGGCGGCTTTAGCGCGTGACAGCCGTGGCCACCTCCGTGCTTCACAAAGAAGTCGATGACATTGGGGTGGTCCAGTGTGGCAGCCACGTGCAGGGGCGTGCGTCCGTTCGTGTCCGGCTCGCCAACGCGCGCGCCACGTTCCACCAGGAATCGCGCCGCGTCAAGGTGCCCTGCCTGTGCCACCTGTATGAGCGCTCACACACACACACACATTATAATACACAAAACAAAGATCCCCCTGTAGCCTTTAGCAGACTGTTGGGACAAGTGCTGTAAGTGAGCACCTATGAAAGGTGGCGTGAAAGCACAAGGTAGGTGTGGGCAGCACCATGCCTGCTGCCTATGGCTCCCAAGTGGTGACGTTTACACACCACACCAGGTACTCATGTAAGACTGAGTTGACCTAGAGAAAAGCGCAGGGGACCGGTTCATCATTGATTTGGCCATGGCCAGGAATCAAACTCAGATCGACGGGTTCGCAGCACAGGTGCATGAAACACTACACCGTCGTTCAACCCTTAGACAAACACACACACTAGCGTAACATTAACTAAAATGAATTCAACAGGTCCGCCAGAAATATGATCCAACACAACTGCGCATTTAAAGGCACTGATCTGGAAAGGGGCTTTTCAGGAGCTTGGAGACATTCGGAAATTGAAAGGTGAAGAACATAGTGGTGCGATCGGAACGCTAATGGAGGGCAGCCCAACCGTGTGCAGTGCCGTCTGGCCGTACTGGTCCTTGGTGTTCACGTTGGCACCGCTTCCAATGAGGCTACTGAGGAATCCAACGTCAAGCTGCTGGGTCAGAGGGCAGAAACAAATACAAGAAAACCAGCACACTAATGGAGCCTTTGCTGTCTGCTGAATGAGGTGGACATAGATGGATTTAAGAAACTTGTCCATTGTTTCAAGTGCTGTGCTGGGAGAACGAACCAGTGATCTCTGGATCCAATCAATCTTTAGTTTATCTGCCAATATCACACTCAATAACGGGAATGGTACAGGGGGAATAGAGCAAAGGGAATGAAAAAAAAAACCTGTCACGACTACAGTGGCTAACACGGACTGAGCAAAGTAAATTGGAACCTCGTGCATAATAAAATGCAATCGTGTGCAACGAATATCATAAGGTAAGTAGTAAATAATATAAATAATTAGCAAAGAAACAGAGAGGTTTTTTTAAAAATAATTTTACATTTTATGAGTCAAGTCTCAATAGGTGTCTTGCACAGATCAAGGAATTGAGAGACACTCGACACGTTTCGGATGTCCGGTGGCAGGCGGGGTGTTCCAGATTTTTGGGGCTGCGCTCGAGACGGTTCGTCGCCCCAGCCCCGGGTGAAACATCCTGGGCTTGGAAAATCTCGCTGTTCTCGTGGAACGGAGTGTGCAAGTCTAGCGAGTTATCATTACACGACGGAAACATCTGGCCTAATATAAATAACACGAATAACTACACCTATATAGACACAGGTGGGGGAAGCTCTGATCACCTCATGCTGCTCTCTGTCACCGCAGCCCAGTCTGTGGAAGTACTCCAGGAAGGCGGTGTTGAGTGTTGCCTCATTGGGCGGTGGTCGATCCGTGCTGCTGATGGCTGCACATACCTCATGTGGACTCGTGGCTGCTCAGGGTCATGGGGGATCATGGAAGCCACAGGGTGGGGCCGGGAGGAGACCCATAGATTTCCACGATACGTGACCTCCATAATAACAAAAAGACTGCTCACTCTAATGAGCAGATAGCAAACATTGGAAGACACTGAAGATCGACCACCACTCATATCACAGGCACACCTCCGATGAGCACGGTTGGCTACATACGGTGGGAAGGAAGTTCAATATATACATACGGCGTTCTGGATTCAAACTCAGAATCTCAGTTGTACCAGCTCATCGCTCTGACCTCTGAGTACTAAGCCACCTCTTAATGAATCAACACCAACAAGAAATGCTGTTTGGCACTCACGCGGTGTGAACAGAATGGACAGTCCTACAACTGCTTGCAATTTTTATCATCTCGACGCACGTCCGATTAGCACGGTTGGCTAAGTACGGTGCGAAAGAAGTTCAACATACATACATATACATACATGCACTAAAAGAAGAATTGCTCAAGCGGCTGGAGCAGCATCTTTTGGTGAAGCATCCCCTCCATTCTGGGTCCACCGGGTACTGCCACACACACACATTATATCAGTTCATCATACGGCAACCGTCTGTTCGTGAGAACCTACTCAGGTCATCACGGTTGCAAATCCCATAAAGACAGCAGAGACCTCAAACTGCATCGTAGCCGAAGGACCTTTAATTGGTTAACTGATTAAAATGTATGATTGCACTCAAGATACATGCATACAATGGTATCACGAGGGACCAATTTTAGTGGCAATGTATGCACATTATAAACACGTGCAACTTTTATAATGGAGAAAAAGAGACCGAATAGACGAGATAAAAAATATATTTTTTATATATATAAAACCGTGACCCTGAATGATGACAATCAAATCGTGTAGGGAGCGCAGGTGAACCATGACATGCTTCCTGAATTAGTAGTGGCACAAGCTAATCCCTCAGCTATTTGCACAAGCTAATCCCTCAGCTGTTTCAATGCTAAATTACTAGTTGCCTCTGTGGATGTGTAGGTTTTGACTTTAACATAGCCATTTCTGTGACCAGTCACAAGCTAATCCCTCAGCTATTTGCACAAGCTAATCCCTCAGCTATTTCAATGCTAAATTACTACTCTGTGGATGTGTAGGTTTTGACTTTAACATAGCCATTTCTGTGACCAGTCACAAGCTAATCCCGCAGCTATTTGCACAAGCTAATCCCTTAGCTATTTCAATGCTAAATTACTAGTTGGCTCTGTGGATGTGTAGGTTTTGACTTTAACATAGCCATTTCTGTGACCAGTCACAAGCTAATCCCTCAGCTATTTGATATGTAAACCCCTTTGTCAAGATGCCTCACTTCTCCCAACCAGCTTAAAAGTCGCTACGAATCTTAACAACGTTCATTGAAGCTCTGTCGTCCCGACAGGTCTGTTCCTTTCACCTGAAGACGGCCGCTTGCGTTGTGGCCGAAACGTCGTGAGAAATTTATTGTGTTATTTTATTCTCATTCTACGTGACTTTACCGAAAGAACCAAAGAAGATGAATACAGTACTCGACAAGCGGTCTTATTACTATACAGGGCTCCCGCAGTGGCTTTGGGAGAGTACACAAAATATCTAAAGTGGAACCCCTGAGACACGCTGATTTGAGAACATATGGCCCAACATCCTCAACTAACATGGCATAATCCTAATCAGACATGATCTATCTACTGCTGGAGACAGGCCTCACCCATGTCAACGCCATCTCTCACGGTATTGCAATACAATATACTGTACCGTTATCCATGTCACTCATCACATGAGCTGATCTCATCATACCCAGTGCTCATTATCACTCCTTTGGCTGGCATTCTGTCACTAGTCTCGTCCATGATCCCTTTTAGTAATACGCCCTATCCAAGCCGTTCCTTCAAGTCAAGATTTTGCCTGTTTTCTGATCCACGCGTTCTTCTTTTTGCACACTCAGTGTGCGTACAGTCACGCACCTCTTAACGCTTCTTGTAGTGCTTTTTAGTTTTTGTGTTCCATTCGTTGTGTAGCGTCGTTCCGAACAATTATATTATTTATTTGGTTTTACAAACGTGTTACACGTACGTACGAGTTGGATTCTCGGGCAAGGCTCAAATCAGTGGCGAGTTGATGCCTTAAGCGTTCCAGGGTTCCACCTTTCTACCAACCAGCACTGGGCAGTGTGGTGAGGTATAATCATAGTTGTCAACCCTTTATCAGTGCCCTACCTTATTACAGACCAATTCAGACCTTATTGGTCCCCTCGTGCCCCCTTATAAATGTCAACGTTCATGCCACAATGTCCCATCACGAGGGAGAAACACAAAGGCATTTTTTTGTTGCCCGCATTGAAACGGCTGTATGGACCTGAAAACTAAATTTCCCTGTAAAAGAATAAGGGGTAAGCCGTATGTGGGTTGACAGCTGTGAGTACATGGTCAAAAATACCCCCCCAATAGCCGATACGGTGTGGGGGGGTAAGGCCTTCATCCAGCAATGGAATGCAAATGTATATTATGTAACAGGTCCCTGCAGGGTGGGCTGGTAAAAGTTCGCAAATGAGATAATGTGACTTCCAAATGTTGGGTGCAATAAGACATCAAGTCTCTGCGCTGTCTATTGCTGATTTTACACCCAACAGCACGAGATTTCACTTCGTTAAAGTATTGAAAGGGGACGGACGGACACATTAATCTATTGCAGGCTGGTACAGTTTACAACTTCGTTCCTACCAGTATAAATGACGACATACATTGATATTCTTGGTTCTTTCGGTAAAGTCACGTAGAAGGGAAATAATAAAAATAAAACAATACAATTCTCACGTTTCGATTGCAACACAAGCAATCATCATCAGGTGTTTAATTTCTATTATTATATTTTTTTATTTCCCTTCGACGTGACTTTACCGAAAGAACCAAAAATTATGAATCCCTGCAGTCACGAAAGCTTTAAAACTAAATTCGACATACATTTAGTTAAGGGATTCTCGCTATTCCATTGTACGTTTGTTGAATGGCACCGTAGGTCGCCGAACGTGTTAATCGGGAAGTGCGGGGGGAAGAACGAATTAAACACACACACACATAAAGAACTGTTCTAGCATTGTCGATGAGCCATTGGTGAAAATTCCACGTTCTTGTGGCGGGAGCCAGTCTGTCCATAAGACAACCACTTGATTTACTGCAAAGTGGTCGCGATTTTTAATGAAAGGCTGTATACAAAAACCGAATCCAATGAGATACATTAGGCACATGGAAAATGTTACGTTTATTTATTAACTCCCATGTTAAATGATGCATATTATAAACACATGAAATACGTTACGTAAAAAGTGCACTTTTAAGCGAAATGAAAAAAGAGCAACGTCGTGTTACAGTACAGTATTGCGAATACCGTATTACTGCCAACACTGACTACAGTAATCATTGAGAAAACGGTACATTGCACTTTCATTTGATTGCAAATACATAATAATTAAACCATGCCACGCAATAACACCCGCGAGTTAATTGATTTAAACAAAAGAACACTGTACCTCCATACGTGAGTTACGTGAAGAAAAACAAAGGTTGTTTTTTTACAGATTTCTTTCACAACTCGGCCGCATTTCCTCTCAAGATGTTCACGGAAAAAAAAAGAAGAAACCTCGAATAAGTTTGCACTTTAAACTCGTTTCGTAATTACGATAACAATTTTTTTTAAATGTAACGGCGTAGCGAGTCGAAGGCCTCGCTTTCGCGCGGGAAAACAAACGACGAGCGCGCGCGCCCACGTGCCCGTGGGTCACGGGGTCGTGACGTCACCCGCGGATGACGTCACGGGGTCGTGACGTCACCGCGGGTAACGTGACCACACGTCACCACTCCGGTGGGTTGAAGTGCGGTAAGCGTAAAAATCAGAGCACAGGGCAACAGTTGATTCTGCTACATTGGTTCCCCCCACCACCACCATCCCTCTTCTGCACCCACGACAACCTGTGGCACCTGTTTTTACCCGTGGTGGTCGCTCCATAGAAGCCACTCTCCAGGACCAACCCCCCTCCCCTGCCCTGCTTAGCTTCAGAGATCCGTCAAAATCGAGCGATTTGGGAATACGTGAGATGTCTTTTTTGTTGTCGTGGTGTTTCCGTGGCCGTTGGAGGCAGAGGGAACCTGAGCGTCCTGAATTAAAATAACAATAATAACCTTCAGCACAATATAATTACATACCTATTTGCTGTACCCGCCCCCTTATATGTATTAAAAATTTTCCCTGAAGGTGCGCGTAACGCACATTTTTATTGCTCCATCTCAAGCGTGATCCACCAACGCTAGTTCAAAGTGGTTAGATAAATGAAATCATACTTACAATGCAATTTTAACGTCTGAGGAAGACGTACATATTTCCCAGCCCTAACTCTATCTCTTAACAAAAAGACGATCCCGGAAAACCGGGACAGGTGGCAACTCGACATCACACCACCGCCTCCATATGGGCGGCACAGCCTCCTTTAAGCCCCACCCCGCTTCTTTGTGCCGCTTTGATTCGTGCCACCACGTGGTCAGGAAAGCAGAGTGATCTGCACGTGGTCGTCGCGTCCCTGCCACAGCATCTCGCCTTCAAAGTCCACCAGCCCATGCTTGCGAGCCCGCAGCAGGATGCCCACGAGCTTGTCGGAGACACGGGCGTACGTGTGGAAGAGATGCCCAAAGGCAACCTGCTTGCGCCCGTCGCTCCCCGGCTCACCGATGCGCCGGATGAGGTAGCACATCTCCAGCATCTCTTTGCGCACGTCCTGTTGCGCGCGAGCCGCCCTCTCGGCCGTCCGCGTGCCCTCCTTGGGCCTCCCGTAGCCCTCTTCGCCCTTCTGCGGCAGCGTGGACAGCGCCTGCTCCATGTCGAAGCGCTGGCTGAATGGGTTCAGCTTCTGCCTCTCTGTGTAGTCGTCCGACCATTGCTCCCAGGCGCTGCGCAGCCCACCGACACAGCCACCCGAGCCGGGCGGGACGCGCGGACCACCGACGCCACACTCCCTGCTACTGTTGTTGCTGAGAGGGACCCGTGGGCGTCTGCTTGTACCTGCTGCTGCTGCTGCTGACACTGGAGGCTGCGAACCCCCTTTGGGCTCCAAGTCCATCCCTTTCTTGTTGCTCCCTAAATCTGTTGCACATTGGGGCTTACGGGGTTCCTGCTTTGGTTGTATGTCCGAATGTGTGACTTTTTTCAATTCCTGTTTGACCACCCCATTGCTCTGAAGCTGGTCGTCTCGGATGCTGTGGGTTCTTGATGGTTCTTGATCTTCCATGACCGTCATGTTGGTGGAGTCATGCTCAGCGGATACCCCGTTCAGCTGACTAAGCTGCTTTGCAGTCTGCATGGGAGTGCATTTCTCCGGCTGTACCTTGGGTGTAACTGCAGTTGGTGTTTGTCCTCGATTGACTGAGTCCTTCTTCACAACGTGCACCTCACTGGAGATTGGGGAAGCTAATGGGCTGGCGACAGGTTTTTTCACTTCCACATAAACATTCTCTGGAACTGACTCTTTCAGCTTTATGTTGGCGGTTATACTTTGGCATGTATCTGTCGATGGATTGCATATCCTAAAGGTCTTTCCTGCAGTGCTAGTAGTAGGCGAGGTTGGTCCTGATAAATTGAAGCTTAGTTTTGATACCTCTTTGATTGTCCTAGATTCATTAAAGTCCTCTTTGGAGCCACTGGTGTCTTGCTTTGGCTCAGATTTATGATCACTGGACCTGTCTTGCTTCGTTTGGAGGGACCCCACTGGAACACGTTCAGTCGGGCTGAGGGTGCCATTGGAGTAAGCTGGTGGGATACCTGAATAAACACCTTGGTCTGACGAGGTCTTCTGGGAGATGGACACCTGCGAAGTGCTGCGAGATAAGTGTCGGGCGTTCGCCGGGGTCGACTCATAGTTCGTCTTGCCCCACCCACTCGACAGGGTAATCACCATTTTTGAAGAACACAGTGTATTCTCATTCGTTGGTGGGGGCGTCATTGGACCGATCGCCTGGTTCTTAACTTGTGCATTTACAGGTCGATCTCCTGCAATGGGCTTATTCAGATGTTGCAGAGGGGCGGATTGCAACAAAGGGCAGCTGATTGGCGAACGGGCAGAAGCTGGTTTGGTGGGACTTTGAGATTCAGTCGTACAACATTGATCAGTCTCACAGCGCAGTGGCTTCTCCAGCTGAGTCGACTCCAATGTTTTGCTCATACTAACAGGCTTTTCTGTTTGCGGTTCAGCAGAACGGTCTTGAGACGCCAGATTGGTGCCCTTGTTGATGCCGCATTGAAGTCCCCTGGATCGTTGCACAGGAGGCTCTGAATTGCGGGAGCTGATGGCAACGCTTGCCTGAGGATGGATGGAATCTTTTGATAGATCAACAGTGGAGCCTTGCTTTGTTATTGAATCGTTTGGTACAGTTTTTTTTTGCTCTGGTTTACACCCATTCGAGGTCGCAATCCGGCCGATGGTGGACGAAGGCTCGCATTGCTTGGTACCATCAGCCCGAGTTTCAGCGTTCCCAACCTGCTGCTCCAAACATTCAGATTTTAAACTGGTGTTAGCTGACGGATCGGAGGTAGGCTGTACAGTGCTTGTGTTTGTCTTCAGTCCTTCGCTCAGCTCATTCGCTCCGCGATTGGGTCTCTTTACCGCAGGCTGACTCGACCTGTTGATCAAACGGAAGCTCGCAGCCTTCTTTGCAGCCGCGCGATCTCGTAATTCTTCCATGACCCCATTCCACACGACACTGCGCGTCGAATCCTCCTGCGCTGATTCATCTGAGTCGACAGACTCTGATGAGTCGGGAGGAGGGTCTGCAAAAGCAGCTGAATCTGCTGCAGCGTCCTGGTTACCTGCTGGCTCAACTACACGCCATTGTTCGCGCCTTTTTCCTTGCGATGGCTGTTCCTGTTGTGTCTGTTGCTGTTGCGGCTGCTTCTGCTGAGGTTGTAGACCTACACGCCTGAGCCCCGGGCCGCTGCGATGGTTCAAAATCGACTCGTTTATAAGGTCTCGCATTTCTTTGCCATTTTGAGTTGTAACATTGTCTGCTGCTTTATCTTCCTGCAATGGCTTTTCGAACAGAGTTGATTTGACCTCACTAATGGGCAAGTCGCCATTTGACACATTTAAAATATCTCTGTCACCATTCTCCCCAGATTCACCACAGGCCTTGTTCTCGAGTCTTTTATCTTTTGATGGCTTCTCTCGTTGACCTGAACTTAGTTCATGGGATTGCTTCTCAGTCTTTATGTTGGACTCAATTGAAACACCTTTTGCTTCCAACATTCCACGTTGCTTAATCATCTCACCATTCCGCCTCCTCTCCTTTAGCTTTTCTGACCGTGTCAAACTCAATTCTTGCTTCAGCTGCTCATCGCTTGACTCGTTTAAAACATTACTTCCTTCCAACATTCCACCTTTCTCAATCACCTCACCATTCTGCATCCTCTGCTGTAGTTTTTCTGACAGAATCGAACTCAACTTTTTCTCCAGCTGATCATTGATTAACTTGTTTAAAACATTACTTCTCCCCAACGTTCCACCTTGCTCGATCACCTCACCATTCCGCCTCCTATCCTTTGCTTGATCCACCTGAGCCGGCCTCAGTGCGCACTCTGGTTGCGCATCACTAGACTTGTCAGGGACACAACGGTCCTCCCGTGCACCTCGCTCCACCACTCTACCGTTCACCGCCCTTTCCTGCAACTTCTTGGAAGCACCGAAGTTCCGATCGCTCGCGTTACCCGGGTCATCCTGCCGACTTTGTGATCCCTTCCCATCAGTCTTCTCCGCGCCACTTGGCTCGTCTCTCGTGCCGGGGGACGTGGGTTGTGAGGATGGCCCTTGCGTGACGGGCGCGCGGTTGAACTTCTTAAATATATCCCCGAGGGAAATCTTCAGCTCGGACGAGCCTCCCACCACCATGGTGCCTCTTCTCGTGTATCACCGCTCAACCTATCAGCGTTGTCAAGGGTACGAAAGGTGCAGAAAGCATGAGAATCTCTGACTCATTCGGTTGCCTCAGTTTCCGCTGATAGTGTTAGCCAATTCTGCTTACCAGGAACACACAAAAACCGTTAAATACGGTTACATATACAATACACTATTGTCAGACAATTATCCATAAAATATTAAATACAACTCATGTTTAATAGACAAATAGAGTGATTAGTTACATCTTCATATAAGTTGAGTAAAATTTACGTAAGGAATACACTGCCTACACAGTTGGTTTGATTGGGATACACAGGAAAATATTAACCGTTACATGGATTAACAATAAGTCTCTGATTTCCCATTTAAAGTAGAAGACATCGCTTAATCTACAAGAATAATTAACAAAAACATCCTTTTCCTGATGACGACCGCTTGTGTTGCGATCGAAACGTCGTAGTTTTTTTCATTTTTTGTTATTTTCTTTGAACCTATCTACGTGACTTTACCGAAAGACCCAAAGAATATTAAAACATCTCCCTTTTGTAAATTTATGTAAATAACAAATGAAGGCAAATTCACGTCTCGGTTTCACTGGTAATATTTTAATTAGGCTTACTTAATTTTATTAATTAATTTCCCAAAGCCTACATAGTAGTTTTTTACCGTAATAAACACCAAGTATTCGAGCAAAATAAGATCAATATACACACATCTTTAGTTTTTGTCAAGATTAGGCAAAGTGAACATTAAAACTGTCATTCCGGTATAATGAGACCAACCGGCATGGCCTTTAGCGAGCTTGGCGAACACTTACACAGCCAGAGAGCAGAGCAGTCTCAAGTGCAGCAGCGGCCCCCGTATGTCTGTGGCTGCCTATGGGCCTGTGGGTTAAATATAGGATGGGGTGGCATCCCAGGCGCTCGTGCATGCATCTGCCATGGATAAATATAGAGAGGCTGCCACGTTATCCACACCTCCCCTATGCATCAGCAAACTACAAAGTGCACCCAGGATGTTCACGGCTATAACACGCCATACCCTTGGATGGCTTTTCCCATCTAAATTAAACGTCGCTATTGGAGAAGGGAGATCAGAAGTATTAAACAAAAATCACAGCGAGACCACAAGATACAATGTAGCGATACAAAAATTGAGGCACGATAAAAAAAATATGAACAAAATATTCCAATTGTTCAATCACTATTAAATATAAAAAGCTTCGTGATTATTGTATCCATAACATGTCAGTATTCGAAACACAGGGTGATACATTTATAGATGCGCACTTAAACAATAATTGGAGGAACAACACTGGAGGGAAAGCCAGTGTCTTCGTTTCAAGGCCTCCACATGTCTCCCACCACCAATCTCAATGCACACGTTCAATCTTCTCGCGCCTCTAGCTCTGTAAGATATGGAAAGCATCCTTTTCACAACATCTAATCGGCTGTAGGGACGAAAGTGAAAGGGTCGTTTAAAATCGATGGGGCATCTATATATACTGCGAATTTATCGTCCTTCATTAAAAACACAAAACCCCACGTAGTATACCATTGAAGTAAACGAACGAAAGGGTTAAAGTCAGGTTTGGGATGGCGTAGTTTGTAAGAGTATTCCATACGTGAAATTGTTCCACGTATTAGGGGTATCAATTGTAAAAGAGGATTTTACAATCAGAGTGTAAAAGCACCTCCGAAGCCGCGAGGCTTTACTTGCGGAGTTAGATTAGGCAACTGTTTGTGGAAACTTGTGAGTGAACACCTTGGCGAGGAATGTAGGCTAGAGTAAATTCATTCTTGTTGGTAAAGGAAGGTCCAATTATACATTAAAAAAAACGGATTAAAGTATCGTGTTAACCTGCAGATGCTGACCGTAACCATCGATGTATGACTGCATCACGCGGAATAATAATAATAATACATTTCAACTTATAACGCGCTGTCGGACAGTATTCACTCACTCTCAAGAGACAGAACGACTCACAGGCGCAAAGAGAAACCACAGACAAGAGACAAAGGCAGCAGCCACGCAGTGATCCGGCGCCAAGAGTTTCCCAAGCTCTGCGGTCTTCTGTATATTAAGGTGTTAATGAGTGTTTGCATGTGGGTAACAACCGGAGCACCCGGAGGAAACCCACGCGTGAGGTGGCAACACTATCGCATACCGATTGAACATACTATTAGTCTGCATTTTGGTGTACTGACTTATCCTGACGAGCCATGGCAATGGCTCTTCATCGATGCCCACGGGAATGAACTTTCACATCTTTTGTGTGATACATCAAGGCTTGCCTCCAGTGCTGGATTAGAGGCGTGGATAGCCACCACCACCGCCGTTATTGTCAGATTTCGGAAGCTAAGTGGAATGAATCGCCATGCCCATCAGGTTGTCAAATGTGGTTGTGGGGACGAGTAAATCCATCGTTGTACGGTCCCCCCCACCCGCCCGCCTCCATCAACCCGTACTGACCAGCGTGCGTAACAAACAAACACTCAACACATTCGTCAACAACATTGTGGTCTGAAAAGGAAAATTGTTTAATCGGCAACGTTTCGAGAAATGGCCATCAGTCGATTGACAAAAACGCTGTCTGTGCATGTTAACCACAGAGGCAGGCAATACGGGAGACTCCTCAGTCAGCCCAAGGGGGTCTCCTTAACACCAAAACTGGTCACCTCAAGTGACACTCTCCGGTCTGTCAACTTTTCCAATCAGCGCGGAGCCTCATCCTTCCAGTGCAAGGAGCTGGGTTGAGGATTTCTGGAGGGAGGGCCTGTGCACATTTACAAAGTGTACCCAAGACACATTGGCTGAGACATTCCTATTGGTAGGAGATAGGGGATAAAGTTAGACATCGATGTGTGTTCGGGCTGCACCCCGTATTGTTCGGAATGATGTCCGACGTTTCGCTCCACCTGCTTGGAGCTTCTTTATCATGATTGGAGCACATGGAGGGAAACGTTGGACATCATGTCAAACAGCACGTGGTATACTACCTGAATTGTAGCCATTATACAGCACAACCACTAGATCCAGCGATAGTGATATTGTCATGGTAATTAGTTTGTCTATCGGTGTATATTATGGCCTGGTCTCAGCTAGCTGATGAAAGTTGCAAGCGAGAATTTTATTATCGCTTGCGGCTGGGGTTGGCATCGTCCCCCACTCCTCCTGATGTCGAGGGTAAATGGGTGAGGTTTAGAACTGTGACTCAGACAGCTGCAATGACTGCTTTGGGTACGCGGTCCAGACCTCCCCAGGGACCCTGGCTGACAGAGGATGTGTTCAAGCTGGCTGAGAAAAAGCGACAGGCCCACTCTCATCGGCTACAGCATTCCACGTCGGACAATAAGGAGGCTTACCCTAGCCTTCGCGTGGAGGTTCGGACAGCCCTGAGGCGCTGTAAGGATGGGTGGTGGTCGCGGGTTGCTGAGTAGATGGAATCTGCCTCAATGGCCCGCGATCACAAATCTATATTTAATTCCATCAAAAAAGTAACCTGCAGCGCCACACCTATTATCATCATTAGGGGAAAAAACGGTGATCCAATCTCCGACCCCCAGGAACAGGTTTGCAGATTTGCTGAGCATTTCTGTGAAGTCCTGGGGGAGGGGAAATCCCTCCACATGGAAAACATCGTGGGACAAAGTGGGGAAGACCCTGCTGAGGCTGCGGTGCCTCAAATATTGGAAGAGGAAGTCACCCCCTATGAGTGGCTGCCTGAGGTACCATGTTGAGGAAGGATTGAAGGCTATCCAGAGTCTGAGACCAGGAAAGGCACCGGGCAGAGATGATCTCCAAAGCGAAATGCTGAGGGAGGGTGGCGTTTGTGCACAGAATGCCCTACATGACATCATATCAACAGTCTGGACCACTGGACGGGTTCCACAGGACTGGAAGGATGCTCATGACTGGCTCCGGTTTAACAGCAGAGGTCTCACTCCGAATTAGTCGAGCGGCATTATCTTTTCATCGGTTGCGTAACGCTGTGTGGAAGCTACCTGGTCTGTCGCTCTGCACTAAGCTTCACGTCTTCTCGGCCACGGTCATTCCCTCCCTTCTCTACGCTTGCGAAACGTGGACCCCCCGAATGGAACATCTTCGTCGGTTAGAAACATTTAGGCTGGCCTGCCTACGATCAATCCTGGGTTTAACCAGGCTGGATTGTGAGCTCACAAATCCTTGAAAGATATGGACAAAGTCCCATCAGTGAGCTCCTCCGGCAGGCAAGGCTGCGTTGGCTGGGCCATGTTGCCCGCATGCCCAGCCACCTCATGCCCAAACAGCTTTTGTTCGGCCGGATCGAGGGGGCTAAACGGGCGCGGCACGGGCTAGAGAAGAGATGGAGTGATGTGGTACAGGAGGACGTGGAGCTGAGTGGACTTGCCGATGACTGGTACCAGCGGTGTCAAGATCGGCCTCTGTGGAGGAGGCTCGTGAAGGACGCTATTGGGCAGTTGGAGGCAGGCGCCCTCCAACAACAACGGAGGGCGGAGGAGCGACGCTCACAACAGCCAACTTGCTGTGCTAAAGCACAGCAGGTTGGCACAATAGGGGGCACAGGTGGTGCATCAGCCAGTCATCTTAGTCAGTCGACCCGTGGCACCTGGGTCTGCCCCGTGACCTCCTGCCAGCGGGCGTTCGACACTTCATGTGACCTCAAGGTGCACATAGCCTGGCACAAGCGTCGTGGTGACGTCACCGACACTTATGTTAATCCGTAGCCCTTTGTCAAGGTAGCAAGCCACCCCAAGCCGACGTGTCGGTCATGGGGTTGCTGGACCATACTTCACCACGCCGCCAGTGTGGATTGGTAAAGAGATGTGTTTAGGGTTTCGGTAATATACCAAACGTAAAAACGAAGTGTCAACACCCAACTCGTTCAACATTTACGACAGTGGGGAGGAGCCGGGGGAGCGGTGACACAGTGGTTAGCCCACTGCGCTTTGAATCCACAAAAACTAAGTTCGTTTTGTCTAACACCAGTGGCGAGAGATATCTGAACCGGTTCTGGCCTCTCCCCCACCCCACCCACCCACTCACAGCCGCTACACCAACTTGCAAAGACCAGCATAGAGAGAGAGAGATGTGATCAAACAACTCCCATGACTTACACACCAACGTGGAGAAGCCTTCATCCAGCAGCTAGCGGATTAACGTAAGTCTGTTAAAGAAAACAGTATTCACAACTCGGCGCTATTTTGAGATCTTACCACATCGCCGCGTCAACAGGGGGAGGACTTCATTCAGCAGTGGATAGAAAATGACAACTGCTGCTATTGATGATAATGACATCTGCTAAAATATATCTCGTAAAGAACAACACTTGCCCGGGAGTAATGGTGTTAAACATAGCATCACGCGTCATGTCACTGACACGGGTGTTTGCGTTAGTGGACGGACGGCAGCTGGGAGACAGGGTGATGCATTCCCGTGAACGTCCAGAACTCTCGTGCCATAAAACAGCATTACAGTATTACTATACATAGTGTATTGGTATAGGGGACTCCCAAATGTGAAATCGCGAGTTCAAATCCGAGCCAGTCATATTGCTTTGACAGTCATACGACGAACATTATTATCTGCAGCAGGGCAGGCTTGAGTGCTGCTCTCTCCTTTGTAGACCAGAGTTTACTCGAAGGGACCTTATGGGTAGTTCTGACATCCGCGTCGACGGACCGTTTTCTTAACATGAAGATGTTGTACTGCTCTGCGAAATCCGAATGGATACTTCGTCTCGTAGCGTGACACCCATGGCATATCATCATCAGCCACGGTCAACTCACTTCTAAAGGCTTCCCAAAGCACCATCTCTCACAATTCTGAAATGGAATATTCGACCAAACACCTGTACACAAGCTGATTTAACTGCTCCACTTCGGTAGACATCCTCTTGGCCGTTTCATTCCTTGGCCGCCATTGTCATTGTTCCTGGCCATTGGCCATCCTGATAGAACAATTGGGATACAATTGTATGTTTGCTCGTTATCCTC